AAAATGTTGAACAAGGGAAGACGTTATCCTTTAAATCAAACACATGAATGTTTGCATACTTTGCATAGTATTAAATAAATTAGCATGCATAATAACATGAGGTGCTGCTGAATTGTATTTAAATTCACATTCATTTTTTACACATGAATTAAGTTTTCTACTCAATCTTGATTTGTAGTCATCCACACATGTTTAAATAGACAAAAAAGATTAATGTTTAGCATTGACAATGATCTGAAAATAATCCTTAAAACAATTAAAAACGAAAGTTTAGTGCTCGCTTTCACCCTAAACACATTCCACCCGCTATAACATGACAGTAACAATTTTTCATCGTACGGTTTCTGTTATTTATCATTTTATGTGGGTAGGTTTTTTTAAGATAACACGTCACGGAATGATTTTAGTGGAGCAGCATACATTAACATTATTCATTCAACTTTGCCGTTGCTCCAAATCTTTTTTGTATCCTTCATAATATTAAATAAAGGATAAAATGTCATTGAACCTCATTGGGTCGCTTAATTAATGCCTTCCTTAGCTCTTTTTTTATTTGTTTCTACGAAAACGTTGAGTTATGCTTTGCACAGAAATGCTATTTATGTTTTGTTTTATTGGAAATTTATGATGATCATAAACCTGACAATAAAACAAAAATAATCTGACCAATTTCTTCTATTTTCCATAAGCAGCAGTCACATGATTAAGCCTAGATTAACTTTTCTTATTCTAAACAAGGAATTGATTCAATGTGAGACGAAATTCAATGACAACGCACTTTCGTTTTTCGTTTTCTGGTAAAAGCTGTAATATTAATCTTTTGAAAGGAATTGGGGATAAAATAATCTCACTTTACGTAAAACATTCGCGAACATTTTCCTTCATGAATAATTCATATGCTTTGAAAGCCATTGAAACTCCTTTTGCGAAATTGACCTTGTATTATATTTTAGCACTTAACATTTCGCCCAACATAATGATACTCAAACTCGAACAAAAGTCGTTTTTCATTCCATACTTTCGTTATGACTTTTGGGATCAGACGATTCTTAATGCTTCAGAAGCTTTACAAAGGTAAACAAAGAACATTCAAATGTGAAATGTTTGATGAGTCAAGTATAGGAAAACGTGAATTAGAGAATGAAAAGAAGTGAATTGATTAGATTTATTTTACTTAGATAATTAATTTCTGAAAGTATTCTATGAATGTTTGGACAAAGAACAGGAAAAGTTGCTGAAGGATTACTTTGAAGATAAACCATAATTAAATCTCTTTAAATAAACTATTAATTTATTGCTGTGACAAGAAAACTTTGAAATACTTCGCTGATTAAATTGTGTCAGATGAAAAAATTCTAACAATTCTTGAAGTTAAAAGGATGAAAACTGATTTTATGAAATACTTTGAATGTTCATGCACAAACGATTTCTCGCTTTCACGCGCTCATTAAGGCATAATATTTGTAAAGATAACAAAGAGCTCGTGTTGCCGATCTTGTGCTTAAATAATTTCCGTTTCACGAAGAAAAAAAAGAGAAATTTAGGATTTCATATTTCGCTTTCTTAAATTTGAATCGTTTAAAGGTTTCAGAGTTAAGATCAAAATTTAATATAAAAATTTGTAAGAAGAATTCAATAACAAATAAAAAATATTTTTCAATCATGAATCTGTAGATCTTGATTCAAAACGATTTCAATTAATTAAACAATTCTTTGAAGAACAATCATTCAAATCTTCGAGTTATTAATTAAATTTCAAGAGAAACTCTCAGAACAAAATATTTACAAGACAACATTGTTATCGTTCACAGGAAAATAAATTAAAGCTTCAATTTCCGTAAACAGAGAATAACCAAAGCTAAAAAAAGTTTGTCGAAACACAAGTTCGTTCACCCAGGAAACTTTTTTTTCTTTACCGTTTTTGTTACATTGCAAATCCTCCCGTTATATACAATTTGAGCTTATTTTTCCTCTCGAAGGGTTCAACATGAAATTGAAATTGCAATGAATGAATCACATACACACACCCATAATCCTACAAACACACACCCACATGATATTTCCAAATAAATTTGCTTTAGTTGATTGAAACATTTTAAAAAATTGATTTTCCATAAATTACTCATACAAACATTAAAATATTTAAATAAGCAAACATTTCACTGCAGAAGAAGTTTTAATGATAGATTGCGATGTTTGAAAGGAAGGTAATAAATCATGCAGCAATAAAATCTTTGCTGACTTTTTTTTACCCCAAACTTTCAAAGCCTTTTCAGAATAAAACTTTTATTAAAAATTTGTGAAATCTTTTTCTTTAAAATGTCTCAAACGTTATTTTGTCTCAAGCTTTGGACTCATCAGGAAACAAGGCAATTTACTCACAAAATGATGAATGAGTCAAGATGACAGCTTTTCTTAATGTGATTTTTTAAGATTCCCTGAAATTTGAGATTCATCACAGTAGAATAATTTTCAACTGTTTGTTATTCTTATCCCAACAAATTATTTATTCTGCATTTGTTTGAGACTCAATTGTTGTTGACACAATTTCTGGCTTGCCTATGAATCGTTGATAATTATTTTTTGATTCGAATAAAATTTTATCATTATAAGAAACGTTTTTAACATTCACACACGTAGCGTGCTTATCTAAGATTTTCAATCTCACATTAAAGTTATTTTATAATTTTTTCTAAACTTCAAGCTTAAAGAGCTTGTCAAGAATTTTACAGCTTTTACAATATACAAACACATCATAAACGTCAAATTGTGACTGGGATTTTCACACGAGGGTCTACATCAAGATGTTTATCATGTTGACTGGGTCGGCTGAGCGAGATAACTCAACATTCTTTATAGATAATTTAAGGAGAACATTTCATATTAATGTTGCTTCTTCTCTTTTTTGTTCACAATTTCTATGAGTTCTGAATTTTCTCACAGATCCGTGTGAAGGACGGCGGTTCGTTGAACTGTATTCGTTGTCTCATTGTGACCATTAATATTATTATTTTCCTTGTTTTCAGGAATGCACGGAATCGTTATCGCTGTAGTTTTGACAAAAACATTATTCTTGCACTTATCTTGCTGGAAAACGACTGCTCCTTCAGAGTCTTTAACATTAGTACCACCACCAGCAGCGGTCGATGTTTTCGTTTTGTTGAAATTGTTTTTCGCTATCGAAGTCAACTTCTCTGAGCCTCGACTTCTTCCGAAACGAGGGAAAATGCTATTTTCTACATGAAGCGGACCATTGAAGTCATTGCTTCTCGCACACAAACAAGCTTTCATGAATGACTTCTTAAAGTTGTCACTAAATTAAAAGAAAAAGAGAAAAGTGATTTATCGAGAAACGACGACGACGGGACAAATGATGCATTGTGTTGAACATTTTTGTGCTTACCTAAGGAAAGCATAGAGTAAGGGATTAATAGCCGAATTAGAATAACCAAGACATCCAACGAGAACAAATATTGTAATCTCAAGCTTCGACTGACACAACTCTGGCGATGAATTAATTAAAGCCATTTGGCTCACCTGAGAACAAATAAAAAAGAGATTATCGTGCGATCATGAATTCTCATTTCATTGTCGTCAATACCCAATAAGGACTCCAACATAGAATGAACATTGTTAGTGACTTTAGTTTTAACATTCAACTCACTGTTCACATCAGGAATATCAAGGCCTTCATTAAGCAGTAAAAGTCAGGGTAACTTTCAGTGAGAATTGAACCATTTGAATTATTTATAATTAATCAAAATTTCTGCTGCTCGAAACACCTTGAAATTAAGATGAGAATAATCTTTAATGAAATTTTACCAACGAATATTCAGCAGAGTTTGAGTAATAAAAGTGTCTGATTACCATCTGGTTGGATTTGGAATCTTTTCTAATATTTACATGAAATGAAAGTTCTTCAGCCTTAGCGTGATGTTTTTCGAAGAATTTGTGAATGTCTAAAAGATAACGACTTCTGACAAGATGCCCGACGACGATACTTCGTAATCTTACCTCTCATGAAAGCAATCATATTAATGAATTATCATTTATAGAAAATTGTCATCATTAATCTTTATCTTCAATCATATAATATAGGAGATAGAGATTTAATTAAAGCTTTTGAACCACAGGCGCAAGACATTAAATGGAAATATTTCCAAGTCTAATGAAGTGTTTGATAAAATGTCGGACAAGTAAAAAGAAATGCTAAGCGCTTCGAGCTATGTTATCTTTCTAAATTAAATCTTCATGATTTTCGTTGAAAGGAAATTAGAATTTAAATTATTTTCGTTTTTGATGAGCTCTTAAAATGTATCAGATTGTTTCTAATATCGTGAGAATTTTCACTAAACTTGAGCTTTCCATTTTCGTTGAAAAACAAATCATAAAAATCTATGTAATAATATAATAGAATTTTCTTATTTCTATTTCATAAAATTGTTCTTCAATAAATTCATTCCAATTTTATTGTTTACAACTGAACTTTCGTTCTCCCGGAAAATTTGTTCAGCATTGGATTGAAAAAGTTCTTATTTTACAGAAAATTCCATAAATATTTTATTAAGCGTGCGAAAGAATTGTTGAAGTTTGTTTTGGGTTTTGTTTGAAAGTATGCTGACGAAGTCGTATAAAATTGAACTTCGAAGTTAAGTTTTAATACCTTCATCTTTTTTGAAACTTTCGCGAATAATTTCTTAACAACTTTATTCGTATTCAATAATTTTATGTCGCAATATTTCACGAAAATTTTATTTCAAAGCGGAAAAAGTAATATTGAGCTTGTTCCAACTGTTCCGGTGCTGCTCTTGAAAAGTCACAAATCAGCTAGAAGCATAAAGAACAATAAAATATTTGCTGCGTTTATTAAATTTAACAAAGAACTTCACCTACGGAGCATTTATTCGAAACTGAAAAAGAGAAATGAAATTAACGATAAAGTGAAATTTGAAATCTTTTCTTCAATCGCTTCAAAAGAAGCAAAACTTTGAACCGATTCACTCACCCTTTGGAATCGGTTAAGGGGCGCGGTATGTTATTATCGTGAATTTATTTTGTACTTCAACATTTAATAAACAAATTATTTAAGTTACAAATATTTAAATCGATTAACAATGCTCCAGAAAAAACATATTTTAACTGTTTTATCAATTATTTTAATTGTAGACTCAAGTAAGACCATAAATATGAAGTTAGTGTCAAAATTATATTTTGTAATTATTTCAGCTGTTGCCATTTGGTGTTATCGATGCAATTCAGCAACACCTGGCTGTTCAGACAACTTCAATTGGAAAGGTATTGGATACTTAGGAGATCCATGTCCTGAGGATGACGATATTTGTGTAAAAATTGTCGAACGAAAAGGAGGTAAAATCGAGTTAATTAATTCAATGTTTCAAATGAGTAATCTTTTAATTTTAGCATCTGAAACGATCACAAGAGACTGCTTAAGCGCTTTAGTGCCTTATCGTACTGATATTCCCGCTGATAAATACGAAGGATGTCGAAAAGGAACTTATGATCCTAAACTGGCAAATTATGTCAACAACTCCATTAAGCAAGTTAATGTCAAGCGAAATTACTTTGATGAAACAATTTTCTGTTTTTGTTTCCTTGATCATCGTTGCAATGGATCATCAGCTCTTAGTTATTCAACGATTCTGCTATTTACTACAACCTTTCTTATCATTTTTAGTCTCATAAGACAAAACTGAATCTTATATTCAACGAAAATTCTTAAACATTCCGTCCAAGTATTTCATGACATAAGATTGAATCTCTTAATTTAAAGCTTACCTTTTGCACAAAACAAACGTTTACAAATAAAAAATAGTTTTCTATACAAAAATTGCGATTTTTATTCAAATTTTCCCCCACAATAATATTTTCATTATTTTTCCTGCTCAACAATATTAAATAATTTTGAATTTTATTCAATATTTAATGAAAGAAAGTCTTTTCTTTTTAAAGGCAATTGCAAAAAAAAATTGGGAAAAGAAACGACATGACTTGATGGATGCTATTGAATGTTGACTTGCTTATTGGCTTCGTTTCTTCTAATACTTTTTATTACTTTTTTTTGTTGTTCATTTCTTCATCCGAAGAAAAAGAAAAAAAAACTCACTTCGTTTGTTTTCTCAAGTATCTTTTTTTCTAATACTAAAAATGCGTGAAGGCAAAAATATTTTGGAAAGTTTTCTCTCGAACATACACAGATTCGAGTAATTTGTGAAAGAAAAAAAAAGAAGAAACAAAACTCGGATCAAGATAAAGCTTCTTAGTAAGCAAAGTTGAGCTCCTTGTCGTAGTTCAATTTCTCAAGACTCGGCAAGCAAGCAAAGTTAATCATTGGAGGTGGTCCACACATTAATGTTATTGTATCAGGTGATGGCGGGAATAAATTTCCTTTAATCATTTCATCATTAACAAAGCCAACACTAAACTTCCATTGTGACGATGCACGATCGACAGTATACCAAACTTTAAATTGTTCTTGATGTTTCGCTGCTAAAACATCCAAATCGTCTCTTAATAAAATATCTTGTTCAGATTGATTTGCATATAACATTGCTAACTGCGTATCATCACCAGAACGTTTCAAAACTTCATTAACAAGTTGCAACATTGGAGTGATGCCAGAACCACCAGCAATCATATTGACTTTTTTCACACTGACAATTTGTGGTGGATCCTTACGAAGCTTTTTGATGGAGAATTTACCATTGCCGAGATATTGAAGTTTTCCAGATGGTCCACGGAAGGCAATTGTATCGCCGATCTTCATTTCATCTAAATATTGCGTCATTTTACCACCATCGGGGAACTTTGGATGAACATTTCGTCTGTACACTTTAATGACTAAATCCACAAAGCCATGGTCATCATCAGAGGTGACTGGAGTGTAAGAACGTATTACAAGTTCACCATTGATCGTTGCTGACAAATGAATGTGTTGTCCAACAGGTAATCCAAGAATGTGGTCTTTTGATTCCAATCCGAAACGAAACCGTCTTGTATCATGTGAAATTTCTTCTTTTTCAATAAGAGGCAACAAATATTTTTCATTTGAATCCTTAAGTGCTTTAAGTGGCCCACTTGACATTTCTTTTGTTTCTTCATTTTCTTCTTCTTCCTCCTCTTCCTCATCTTTGTGGATCTGCTTTGCCTTGAAGACCTTGTAAAGCAGTACAGTGATGACAATTGTGATAAGGCTGGTTACTACTGGAAATGTCTACGATTAAAAAGTAGAAAAATTAAATATAATTAAGCGTCTTTCATAATCTTAATGAAGCTTGACAATTTAAAAAAAAAATTAGAAAAAAATCTATTCGTAAATTGAAATGTCTTTGAAATCCGAAGTTGAAGGTTGTTGATTCTAACACAGAAATTATTTATGTATTAACTCTCACTTCACTTCATGTTGCGTAATAATTTAAGAAAAAAAAAAGCTTTGGCAATTTTAAGACGAACACGTATGCATGAAAATTAAATTTGAAGTTGTTTTTTTATGTTTCTTTGACGGGGTGAATGCGATACATGTGTAAAGTCCAAAAGCACAAAAATCACATCAACATCACTAATTTATTGTAAATCCAAACTCCCAGCTGTTGAGTGTACACTTGAATAATCATAAATAGCCATGAGAAACGAATCAGAAAAACGCGAATAAATTAAAATATTTGCTGGAATGTTGTGGTACAATCCGAGCCCTCAGTTTGACACGCGGATTCAAGATGAAAGCCAAAGAAGATAAAAAAGAGATGACGAAAAAGAAACTTACATCGAAATCGCCCATGATTAAGGAGGAAAACCAGCTCAGCTTATTTCACTTTATGTCTTTTCGCCGCGAGAGTCGAGCACTGAATGAATGAACCGCTAATAAACTTTTGTCTGTTTTCAGGTTTAATTTGTTATTTTTTCTTCTTTTTTTATTTGATTCACTGCTGCTGCTGTGTTAGACAGCAAATATCTCAAATTTCTTAATGAATTGAGCAAAGAATCTCTGACAAGCAGACACTAAACGAAATATTTGTCCTAAGTATTATAAATAATTTTTAATATTTCTGCAATGTTTGATTTTATGCAGCTATTTTTGTCGTTATTATAGAGAAGAAATAGAACTTTGAAGGTCAATAAGTGATAAATCAATAATATCCACCAGATGTGTTTCCTTTAAACGAAAGTTAAAGTCCGAGTAAAATCATGTTTTTTAAAAGTTTGAAAAGTGTTTATTTTGTTGTTGGTGTAATTTGTCAAGGGGTAGTTCATCGTAATGTTTTGTCAGCAGCCTTTAACTGATTCTTCGAAAAGCACTGATGGTTCTTTAAAATATGAAGCCTTTTGCCAAGAATTTATTTAGTTTTTCTTGGAATAACTTGTGAATTTCCCCTTGTGCATCATTTTGAATTTTATTCCCAAAAATTTGGGAGCGTTCTTCGCTCTCATTTTTTCTTTGTATGTGTGAGTGAGTAATTTTTATTATTTCTCATTTTTTGGTTAGATAATTCGATTTCGTTCTTTTTCACTTTTAAATTAAAGTCAAGTCATCACAAATTTAATTATCTACGTACCAGTCGTGAAATCATCCTTATCTTTTCCTATAATGAAGACTTCACTGATAACCTATGCGTTCAAATTTTTTTCACAATATCAAACTTAAACTTTGTTCTGTCGAAAAACCAAACTGAGACTGAAAATAAAATGTTTGCTGCCTTCTGGGTTCTTCTCTCCACTCGCACAATGTGCTTCTTATTTATTTTTTTCTTTCTTTCCTTGGGAAAATGTTGAGAAAAAAGCTGGAAGAATTGAGAATTGTTGAACAATATCAAGAAGAGAAAACTTTTGATTCCTAAATTTAGAAAAATTCTTCTTCTTAACGCTTTTTTAATTTCTCGTTCTTGATGTTTTCAGAATTCACACGTGGAATAGATTAGGGAATTATTTATTGATGATTGTAACTTTTGATTGTTTTACTCCACTCATTTCTTACAGGTGTGCCGTGGGTATTTGATAATGCCCATAATATCTCAATCATTAAGCTTTTTCACACATGTGTATGCTTCTTTGTGATATCGCTTTGTATAATTTCGTCATACTTTTTGGTCAAAAATTCCAGCGCTACATGTTTTGATTAGGCCATCTCTTTATTGATCACCTGTTAAGCGTGATTTTCAAAGCTCAATTTTAATCTCGATAATATTTAAAAAAACTTAAACACTTTGAACAACTTTAATTTCAATCTCCCAATCATTGTTCTCTAATTTTCCAATTTTTTTTTGCCTTCTTCGTTGATCGAACTCCAAAGAAAAAATTTGAACATTTGCAAGGTCCACAGTTTCTCTGATTTGCTCATTTTAATTGACGTTTCTCAATTTACGTTTCTTTACAGCTTAAAATTCAAAAAAAAAAATCTCGATGTTGACCTTCAGCTTCATTGTGAGCAAGTATTTGAAGCGACCAGTACAAGCTTAATTTATTTACTATTAAAATTACGTCAAAGTTTCACGCGTGTTAAAATTATTTTAATTGCACTCTTGTGCATAAATTCGATTTTAATGAGATACTTAAATAAGTTTTAATCCGATGGCGAAGAACGATCAAATAGTTTCATAATGTCAAATCTTAAAAACTTCTAAAATTCTACAAGACATTTGGAAAATTTTCTGTTGTGTGGTTTTCTTTCCAGATTTTGATTCTTATAAAAACAACACCTGTAAAAATGTATAAAATTCAATGGAAAGTTTTGAAAAGATCAATAAAATAATTATTAAAAAATTCTGCATATAAATTTTTATTTAAAATGTGTTTCACAGTCTACATTCGTTTTTATCTAAAAGAATCGTTTGAAAGTCTTAACAAATAACAATTTATATTGAAAGAAAAGCTAAACTAAAAGCTTTATGTAGATAATTTAAAAATACTTTTAAAAAACGTTACTTAAGTTTATTTCATTAAAAATCTATGGAATGATAATCTGATAAACAGTGGAATGTCATCAGTTCCGGGGCAGTAAGTATGCAAATAGATCTACCATCTCAAATTTCTATGACACCTCGCGTCTGACATAGTTTGGATCTTTTATAACATCATCGTATTTGGGCGGAAGGTCGAGATGAACATTGGGTGTGTTTGAATGACCGGTAGATCGACCATCAATGGAATAAATATAAAACGGTTGTGATCCTAAAACAAATTAAATAAATATAAATGAAAAAGAAGAAAACAAATAAATTTAATTTATTCAAGCAAACTTATCAAGTTTATCGAACTCTCCGGAAAAAAAAATCTGAGAATCACTTACTTAATTCATCGTTTTGTGCTGTCACTGTGGAAGATCCACTTGATCGACGTGTTGGTGGTTTAGTTTTATAGAACATCTTGTGCTTTGAAAATAAAAAAACAAAAAAACAAAAATTAGCATATAAAAAATTCCATAAAGCGACATTCAGAAAGAGAAAAGAAACAACAAAGTCTGGAGAAGAATTTAAGTTTGTGTTGAAATTTTTAACATATTTACCAGAGCAAACAAGATAAGTGTAATCAAACACAATATCCAGGATACGTACAAATATTCAATCATATCAAATAATAAAGAAAACTTCTTTAATTAAGAATGAAAAATATTAAAACAAATGACTTGATAAAGTGGTACTTTAAACTGAAAATATTTTTTGTGTGATTTTTCTGGCAAGGCCCACGTTGCTTATCAGAATAGCGATAGCTTAACTACAGCAAGTTAGCTGTATACCTTTTCAAACTAATAAAATACTGTTTTTATCAGTGAAATTGCGACTTGTGTTTATTAATTGGCAGCTTGGAATATACAAATGCTGTTTAATATGACGATAAGATTAAAGAATGAAACGATAAAAATATTAGAAATCATTCTTTAGTTTTAATATGTTGTGGTGAGAAACACTTTCATCGAAATCGAGGACAACAGAAAGATTTATGAGTTAGATCTGCCAAATATCTTTTCGAAAAGCTAACTAAAACATCTTATTATTAAATAATTAGATTAAATGAAGACATTCTGAATTTCATGCTTAGATTTGAGTTATTTTACATTTTCTTTTCTTCTTTTAATAAAATAATTCATCATGATTGTCTTTGTGACATCATGTTGCAGTAAAGCGATGAATATGAAACTTTTTTTTTATTTTTACCGTCACTGAAGCAGAGAAGCTTCTCAAGTGTTCACAAAAGTTTTATTTTCTGTGGTCTTTGTGGTCTTCTTATTGTTGTTAATCGTCACGATGAGTAAAGAAACAAACGACAAAAAAAAGAAAAAGAGTTGAATTTGGGTCAAATGCACTTCTCATTTCGTTTGTATTGCTTCGGGTGACAAAACCATTGCAAATTTTAATCGTCAGCAAGTCATTGAACTGGGCATTTGTCGAGGGAAACTAAAATTAAATATACACGAAATAAAAAGTTCTTTTAATTTGTGTTTTCACTGGGGAACTGAAGATTTTCTGTGAAGCTTCATAACAATTTTTCAAGTTGAAAGTCAAATGTTATGCAATGTTTGTTGAAATTTGTTTATCATACAACGAAAGCTTGACAATTTAAGATGATTGGGGAACGGCAACAAAACAATTCTTATATTTTTTTATTACTTTCTGCAACGGTTAAAACTCGTTTCTACCTCATTTCCTCGTTCTTAAGATAGGTCTTGGATTGTACAGCTATTCGAAGCGAGTGGAAATGTGGGTTTCATGCAGAGGAGAAACCAACGAAAGAAGCTCATACAGTCATTAGAAATTGTTATTTTCTGACTTCAACTCTGACCAGGAACTTTCATACTCGCACGATTTATGTGTCATCATTCCATTTATTTTTGTATTTTACTGGGACACATGTCGATGCTGTTGTTGAATTGAATCAAATACGAAAGCGAATCAACAATGAAGTAAAAATTGAAGGCGAAAATGAAAAGTGTTAGACAAACAAAGGAAAGCAAAAATTAAAATTAATTTAAAAACGTTCTTTTCGAAGAAGGCTTGTCGTGAATACTTACAGAATATTTGTGCAAATAAAGATTTCTGATTATGTCCATGATTCTACTGAGATTTCACTTCTGATTTTAATATTTTCTTCTTTCTATTTCAACAACTGAATGACAATTGTTGTGGTTTGAATGTCAACTAACGCGAATTCATTCACAATTCACCAGGTTAAAAAAACTATTTTACTGAGTTTTGTTATTTTATATACTTTGTTTTTTTTTTTGCAATTATTAACTGTCTAGTCTGGCTCGGATTTTTGTTTTGTTTGGTTGTTTCTTTTTTATTTTTTATAGAACTATATAAAATTTTATTTTAATATTCTGAGTTTTCCGGTGGGTTCAATTGCGATTTAACAGAGAATCTTTTTTTTTTGTTGGATAGTGGAACTGATTTCACTATCGGACGTTAACTTCACGTATGAATTTTTTAATTTTCTAGCGATATCAAAGCGTTATGATTAAGTTGATGAAATTTCCTTGTGTTATATTTCCTTCATGTTATCAATAGACGCATACACATTCACTTTTTCAGGTGTGATAAAAATAAACTGAATTTCGCAGGCAGACTGGCTATATATTCAAATAAAAAAATGTGCACGAGTAAGTTTTAAAAAACAAAATAAATCGAGGAAGGCACCGTCAACCGAACCGCGACAAATAGTTCCTCGCACTTCAAAGTTTTATCGATAAATGAAACGGAGAACTTTGTGTGATGAATTCTGTTTACTAACAGAGTCAAAGCTTTTTTCTTTCAATGCTTCACGTTATGCGATGTGTAATGGAGAAAAAATATCGCTGGAGAAATTTTTCAAGAAACCAAAAGAAGAAAGAAAAAACTGAGAAAGAGAACAGAGTGGATCTAGGGTACAAAAAACTGCTGTTAATGTTGTTAAAATAGATTTTTATTCAGATTTAATTCTCTAAGTAGGTGAAACGCTTGAGAGATTATGGTGAAGACTAGCAACATGAAGAAAATATGCAACAAAATAAAATGAAATCAGATGAAGCTTGTTCCAGTTTACGTAATATGTTTACATATAACAAAAAATGTTTTAAACTTGAAAGTTTCACGTGAGTTGAACTTCATACATCTCGATCTTAATATTAACGGTAGGTAGCGACATTAAAGATGCAAAAAGTATTTTGTTAATAAGACAAACAAGTGAACTTGAACAAAATAAACTAATTAATCTAGTGTCATAACTTATGTCGATGCAATATGATAATTTTTTGTCAATTAAACATTGCTTGGCATTCACAACTTGTTAACGCTTTAGTAAATGCAAAATATATGCTGACAAAGACCAGGAAATATTTGCGACAATTTTCGAGGGTCAATGAAACTTTTGAGCATTGTGTTTGTTTGTATTCAAAACGTTGGGTTATTTCATCAATGAAAGAAATTAGGTCAGATCAATAAAATTCCAATCAAAGCTATGCCAAATATTAAAGTTGTTCACATTTCATACAATGAACCTCGAATTTCTCTTGTCATCGGTTCATTAACTTTTTAACAGAAAATGAACCAGGAAAATTTGATATCATTGATTTGCAGATACGCTTTAAGTGGCATAGAAACCGCAAATAATAAAATGCTTTCGCCCAAATATCCAATGAGTCTTTAACCTGAAAGCTCATCTTGAAAGCTTTCAAAATTGAGCTTTCGGAATTGAAGATTTGAATATTAAAAATCCGTTAAATATTTAACGAATGTTTTCAACGTTTAATTCACTTAAATAAGAAGAAAGTAAGATGATTGACTCGTTGACCAGCCTCTAATATTTACTTGATATTTTAACACAAGCTGCAAATTTTCTGCATGTGTTTCTTTTTCTCCTTTTTTCAAATTATGGAGATAAACACAGAAAAAATACGATCTCTTCAAAAAACCTGTTTTTTTCTTACTTCATGCCAACGATGCTTATTTTTAAGCACTTGAACTCAGTCAGTTTTAATTCATCGACAAAAGAGCATGCATTATATTTAATCGCGATTAAGTTTGTTAGTTTCTTTGTGGTAATAAATTACATCGCCTCTTTGTTATCTGATAAGCTGCTTACAACATGGAATATTTTAATAAAGAAGCTAAAAAGAGAAGAGAATAGAATTGTGCGTTCATTTCTTTAGAAATCACGTGCTTAATTTTTTTCAAGATCGAGTGTCCGATACATTTAAAGTGAATGTGATTGTCAATGTTAGTAAACTTATGTTAGTGATATTCTTGCGAAAAGTAAATCATATTCAAAGTTTGTATACACAGAAGGTCGCGAGTGATAGTTCGTAGCTGCACAATAGAAACGGAAATAGTATAATTAAGTTGAAATTTTATGAATGAAATATTAGAATAACTCGTTTCGGGCAAATTTTTTATTGAATCTAAGCTTATTAATGAACTGTGCTTAAAATCGTAGTAGCAGAACTGGAAATCAACAGTCAAATTAAATTGAATCCTAGAGCTTATTGCAGTTTCGACAGCTGAAATATTTAAAATTCACCAAGAATATTCCATGAATTGTAATATTCAAATATCGTCGATATATTCATGAACATTAATTATGAGTTATTACCGTTTATTGGTGTGAAATTTAATGGGATAATTTGTCCCAATCCTGTATTTTATTTGGTTGGTTCTGACAATGTTGTCATTTTCAATTTATTGTTCAACATTACTAAACAGTAATTCCACTAGGGAGAGTAACATTCGAAACACTTTCATTTAAATACCTTTTTTCAACAAATACAAAGTAAATACCTAAATAATTTTTTTCTCTTCTCGTGGCCAAACAGTAAAAATTAATAGTCACAAGAAAAATTAAATAAATATTTCACCATAACTCATTCGAATTCCTGTTCAAGAATTTCCGGTTTGAATTAACAAAAGTTCCATATTTTTAATTATGTAGTTTATAGAATTGCTAGCAATTTGTTTACTAAATAAAAGCAATTAAGTTGTTCTGACATTGAGATTGGTTAAGACATGCTTATTGTAAATCGAATTTAATTTGTTTTTATGACAAACTTATCGGTTTAATTTCAGTTGTTGACTCTTAATCAAAAATCAATTGAAAAGTTTCTCAACTGTATTGAGAGTTCTTAAATTGTGTGGTCGTTATCTTATCGTTAAAACATGAAGCACACTCAAAATTGAACTGCTCAAGACAAAGCAGGGCTTAAAACAAGGAATTGTTTGCTTATAAATTGCGCGAAAATCATTCTCTAGTACACTTAGACTTTAAATATTCATGCCTGTTCCATTATTAAATAAATTCAAGATTGAATTTATGAATATTAATTCGTAGAAAAGTGACGTAAAATTTTAAAGTTCACACAAATAAATAAATTGAGAGATTTCACGGTGACGTTTATAAACTCTCACGAGGTATAAAAAATACAGAACAAAGTGAAATACAAATGTAAAAATAAGCGATAAACAAAATTGTTTTATTTCTTTGTCATTCCATCAAAAGCTGCGTAAACGAGCAGTCGATACAACTCGATAAGTAAAAAGTCGGCAGTTTGTCATTAACATATCAAACATTCAATTTGTGATAATTATCGTAAGACTTAATTAGAGGCTCATAAATTAACAATTCTCGTGATATTTGTATTGTTGTTGTTTATGTGTCATCGACATAAGAAGTGTTAAATTATTAAAAAGAGAACATGAAACCAATGACAAGTTTGCAGTCACATGACTGAATGTCGGCGGAAAGTAATCAACAATAAATGTAATTTAAACAATCATCAGACCAGACATTCACAATAAATGAAAATAATAAATTTGATAGACGAGAACATCATCTAATAGAGAGAAAAATGTGTAAATGTTTTCAGTTGTAAGTGAAATAAACATAATGAAGATAGTACGACGAAATATTATTATGAGGATATTTATCGATCATTCGAAGGCATTTATGGCGTTATCGGATTATTTTCAGATGCTGGGAGGATCTATATTGGCAATGCTATGAGGAGAAATATGGCTATGATGAGAGCATTGGTAAGTTGATTGCTTTTGTTGTTGTCGTAGTAGATAAATTGATAAGAGCAAAATTTTATCATGACGAATAACTGGAAATATCCAAAGAGAATGTCATGACTTCGATTGAACGTTTGAAAATATTATAAAATAAACAATTCAGTCATTCAAGTTCGTCATAAAGATTTGATGACTGTTAAGTTGGAATCCCACAAAATCTCTGAATCATAATAAAGAGAAAAAAGAAAGAAAGATTTTATCTTAAATGTGGCAAAGCTTTTAAATTATCCCATGATTTATTGCCAATAAAAATAAACTACCATGTGATAAGGAAATTGCTGCAAATCCTTTCGCTTATTGTTCTACTGCAATCGTTAACGCGATTCAAAGCTCATTGATAAACTTTTTTTATTTTCACAAATCCACTTAAAGAGTCTGAAAGTTAAATGCTAATTGCTCCATGAATCAACAATTCCATTAACAAACCAAAAGACTTGAAGTGTACATCTAAGTGTAAAAAAGTCGTTAAGATCAATTAACTTTAAGATTTATTTACTGAATCTTCCGACAAACACTTCACACGAGCGAATAATTCTAACTCTTATCGTTGTCTGGAAAACTTTTTTACGTGCATTAGTTTTAATGATAAAAACTTTTCCTTCTTTTTATTATTATTCTTTCATCTCCATTTAGCGAATTACGATCCGTCACAAGACGAATATTCTGCTAAGAATGGACACATCACAGCGAATGGAGATGTGGCCATAACATCACAACCAACTCACATTCAACGGAATATCTCCATGAATAGGTGAACTTTTTTAAATTATGCTTAAATGTGACAAGTTTTTAATTGAATATCTTTCTTAATTTTAGTGCAAAAATTCACGAAGATGATCATAGACGAGAAATTCAAGTTGCAAATGTAAACCTCGCACCAGAAATTGTCCAAGTTTTTGCGAACTCGCAGATTTTCCATGACCACAAGCCGCTTGTTACAAAGCCAGTGTCACCACAGCCTGCTACATTTTCTATTGGAGCACCAAAGATTATAAAATCGACTAGCGACAAAGATTCAAATAAACTTTTAAAACATTTGGAAGAAGGTAATGAATCAGAGTAGCAATTAATATAAACCGAAGCTTTTAAACCACATTTTAATTAATGCACGATGAAAGTAAACAAAATCAAAATTTGTCTGTGATGGAATTCAATGAAATTTTTGAATTGACAATTGGCACGATGCACATACAATAAAATACTAATTGAAAGATATTTTTTTCTGCTATTGAATGGTTGAAAATATTTCTGATATTTTTTTATCACGACACTTATCCCAATAAATATTTGAATTCATCCGCAAAATCTAAAGCTGCACATTCTGTGTTTGTGCAATGACCAACAAAGATTTGAAAGCTTTTTTCACTCCACCCTCAAATTATGCAACATGAAAAATTTTCCTCATGAAATGTACATAAATATAAAAATCTACGCGCGTCATTTTATCCGATGGAAATTCATTTACATATCAGATTGAAACATTTGGAGAAAAATGAGCTGCAAACATCAGGAAAAGGTTTTTTTTCAATTTATTCCTCTAATTGAAATCATTTCTGTTTACTAATCAAATTTCCACAAATTGGATAAAAGGAAATAATTAATGCATTGGTGAATTCATGAAAATGTCTTTGTGAAAAGTTAACTAAATTTTTATACGAGGTAAGGAACACACTAACGTTGATATGCATAGTCAGCACGATTATTTAACTCACGCTTTTTGTTGAAGCTTCATACATGTGACGATAGAATGCTTGAAATTTTCAACTTTTGTTAATATTTTTTCCATCAATTTTCGCAGAAAACCCTTCACATGCCACTCCAAGCACGCCACCGACAATCATTGAAACGCCTGTAATTGATGAGGAATATGATCAAGTTGATGAAGTCATTATACGTCCCAATTACTTGCGATCAGTAAACTCAACTGCTAATCTACGTCCAGTGAATAGAAGTCTGGCAAATTTACAAAGTCCGCCATACATTAAACGAAATGCAAGTGAAAATGACATTTTCACAATTGCCACGACAGCAGACAATAACGACGTTAATCGGTTAAGTATGACACCAGAAGTGCCGTCAATTACTTTCAGTACTCTTCCTAATAATTACGCAGTTACTCCGAAAATTGATAAATACAGAAAAGAACCACCGACACTTCTCGAGATTCAAACAGCAGAAATTAAAAATTCAATGGATGATTTCTCGATGCCGCGGTATTATGGAAAGTCTGATTTGATTCTTAACAGAAGTTTTGAAGCCACTGGCTCTTCAAATTCCATTGGATCATCTGGCTCGTCTTCGTCGCAATCCAAGAAAACACACGACAAAGGAAAAAGATTAAAGAATTTTAGAGCTCACTTACCGCCTTTGACGATTCATTCGAAAGAGAAAGTTGAAAAAGAGAAATGAAGACATCAACAAAGTCAACAATAAATTCCTTTTAGATTTGTAAGACTTTATCTGAACAGTATTGTTTTAGGATACGAGTTAGCACTTTAAGAATTTTAAGATTTTAGGTGATGGAACTTCACTAAACAATAAAATAAAATCAAATCTCTTTAATTATTCACTTTTTATTTTAATAAATAATTTTAACATTTCCAGAAATGAGCTTTCAACGGAATTATTTCAAAAATTGAGCTTTTGTTAATTGCATTCTCACCTACTACAAGTAAAAATAAAATAATCAAAGCTATTGAATTATAGGAAAGTCCAAGTGTGTGAACTTTAAAATCTTTTACCTGCTTTAAGTTTAGAAAATATTTTAAAGTCTTTGAGTCTTTGACGTTCTATTTTTATCAGAAAGAAAATTCTATGTGAATGCACAATTTTGTGATTATTAAAATAGAACACACACAGAAAACTAAAATATCATAAATTAAACAAGGAAACAGTGACTTTGTACGTAAACGTTAATATTAAGATTCCCCCACATATTTGTTTCCATTCACTTCATTTGTGACATGATAATTTTCTATGAGACAAGACGGTGGTAGACAGAGACGAACCAGAACATTTGTGTGTTCTGATAACGTCAAATCATATCTGGTTCTGATCGAATCTTATGTAAATTATTGTTTCTTCCACTTCATATGACTTATTTTTATTTGTTTAACATCGTAAGTGTGTAGGTTGTTTGTCTTAAATAATTGTTGATTGTTGCCTTAGTTTTAAGGAAGATTTTCGCGACAAGTCGAGGATGCTATATAAGCAGCGAAATTTTAAGATTTCAATCACTCTAGCTCCTTCAGCTGAACGAGCTTTTAACAGTTCTTTTAATAAGTGATAAATAAAGTAAATAAAAATCGTTCAAAGCGATAATTGAATTAAAGTGTGATTTCTCAAAGGATTCCAACAATAAAATGGTGAGTCATTTAATGGTCCATAAATTAAATGGTTTAATTGAACTGTGAAAGTAATGCCGATAAACCCGTGATACCCTTTCGTATTATCTCGTCTTGTGAGAACAACACAAAAAAGTTGATTGACACAAACAAAATTTTTTCTTTTTTGATTACGACAAAATTTCCAAATTCATCATTCGTCGCTTTGAATCTGAAACGAAACGTTACCAAGGGATAAATGAAATAAACACTTAACATGAATTATTCGGAAAACAAATTGGTTCTGTAAATAACGAATGAAATTATGATGAAAATTTATTGCTTGTTCATGATGGGTTTGTATGGACATTAAGTCACTTCACTATTAAAACTAATTCTAAATGAAGTGTTGAAAATGGGTGAAGCGTTAGACTTAATTTATGTACAAGTCACCTCCTTTAAGTAACATTTAGAAATCATTTCATTTAGAAAAACACGTTAGTTTCCGTAATACTTTCCTTAACAATGCTGTTGAATTCCCAAATCGATATTAATGATGTTAGAACTCAACCAGATTTCTTTTAACATCACCGATGAAGGATTTTCTGTCAAATTCTTAAAACTTTGAACAAAAAATCTTGTAAGAAACTTTTCACAAGTGATTAGAGAAATGAAAACATTCTAAACAAATTCTTGCAGTGTGTTGGACTTCGATCTTGAGAATAATCTCGAGTCATTAAATGCAAACTATGATGATGAATGCTTATAACGACATCAGCTTTGATTCAATTCCCCATTAAATTAGTTAAATTCCAACAAATTGACACAATAACAAAAACTCGCTGCAAGCCGTTGTGTGCTCAAAGCATGATGCCTAAAAGTTATTGATTGATTTAAAGATACCGAAAAAGATTCTTCCATCGAAATGAAAAGTGATTGAAAATGGATTTTCATTAATTAGAAATCGCTAAAAAATAAATTAAAGGAAGCTGAAAAGACTTTTAGATTTATTTCTACTTCTTAATGAGAACCCTCCGACCCTCACTTCTTAATGTTCGTCTTGAAGAATCTTTTTTGTAATCAGTGGCAGAGTGAGAAAAGATTTTAATATTCTAAATATTTCATTTGTTTTTCAATGAAAAGAGTAGAAATGCGCCGATTAAATTCGCTTCAATGATAATTATAAAAACATACAAAAAAACAAACAAACTTTCATCACTTAAGTTTGAATAATTAACTGCTATTAATTGTTTTGTACACGCATTTAAAGTTCATCTCATTTAATCTCAAAATAATAAAAAGAAAACAAGCGCTTGAAGGCAAGAAATACTTTTTTGTCGGTAAGAATTGCGGAACAAAAAAAGAACTTACAGTGATAAGTAGAAAGAAATTAAATCCGATGTCTGAACTGGAAATCCATTACACGAATTTGTAAATAAAGTGACACGAGTCGGACGCATGATGAATCTGTATTAACAAGACACCCAATCACTGCTTTCTTATCTATGAAATACATTGCAATGGCAAGGTCGGAGTCTCTGAAACGAAACTAAAAATAGACAAACAACAAGAGAAACTTTTTTCTGAGGAAGTTGGACTTTAACTCATGACTTAAATTGTTGTTTTTTTTTTTCGAAATGATGGATAATGTGCGTTTGAGTTATGTTGAACATGAATAATATACATAATTTATTACTTGAAACATTTCAATGAATGCTCCACGCATCCAACCCACTTACATTTACGACAAGCGAAGTTATTTTCTATTCAAATTGAGGATGAAACGCATTTCCAATAATAATAATAGAACATTTATTCCACTCTGCACTGCTCTGCACTAATTTTCTTTCTTGTTCTTCATCATTATACATACGTTATCTCCTATGATTGAATTATCAGTTGTTTACACCAAAATAAGCATTCCATGGCTAGAAAGATGAATGAAACACGCGCAGTTTCATTTCAAAATTCAATCATTGAAGCTCGTAAGGACAAGCAATTAATAAATCATTAAAAGTTTCTGAAAATATTTTGTTCTGTGAATTAAAGAAGCAGCAAAAAAAATTATTATTTACAACAAACACAATCATTTAATGTTGCTTAGAAAGACACACAAAAAAAGACTTAATAATAAAAAAATTTGAAAAATGTGAGTAGGTGCAGCAGAGAATCTCTCTAAAGTACAGTTGAGATAAAAAGCATGACGGGAAATCATTTGTGACTGTCTCGAAGAGCATAGAAAACTAAGATTTATAGCATTCAACTAGTAAACAAAAGTATATCTTTTTTTCGTAGTTTAAAAACAAGTCCTTTAATCTTTGGCCATTGCCTTTTAATGCTTCATTCGTAAACAGATTACGTTTGACATAAACTGGATAGAAATCATTGTGTGGGTGAAGAATTGAGGTATCTATTTATGAACAACATAAAATGAAATGCGAATCTGTACGGAATTAACGTCACATGCGAGATGATTCTATTGATTTGAGAATTTATAAATTATTTATAATTTCAAATCTCAAATTGAGCCCAATGGTGTTGAAATCATGTTAAGTGAAATTGTTTAAAAAAAATACATAAAATTTCTTTCAAACGACTTCACACTGTGCAACATAAGAAAATATAAATTTTAACATTCAATTTCGCCTCGGAGGGAGATAAAGTATGTTCAATTTACAGTGACAAAAGTTGCGTGGGAATTTCTACACACATATTTAGATTCAACAACGAACATTTCAACTCCAAGGAATTCGAGAAGATTTTTCTTTTGAAATTTTATGTTTTAGTGGTCCCTATGTATACATGATTTCTCTCACACTCTCTGGTCTTACAATTTTACTTCCAAAAAAAAAAAAAATAATAAAAAAAAATAAAACTAATAAATTAAGCCAGTTGCAATAGTGTAGTCAACGATTCAACATCGACTCAAAGTTTCTCGGTGCTCATAAAGAATATTTTCTTTTAAGATATTCTCTATTCGTTGTTGTGGTTGTCAGGAAAGAAGAAGAAGAAATTTCCCAAAAAAAATAAACAAATCAATTTCAATTAAATTCCATAACGAAGAGAGCATTTTGCTTCATAACTTGAATGTGCACCAAGAAATTTAAAGTCATAGATTGTTATTGCAACTCACCATCGTTGGCTCAATTGAAACTTCGCAAGTGGCTCAACATTATTCAAGGCTTAGACATCAAAAGTGATAAAAAGAACAACTTTGGCTGTTATAAAGGTATTCTTTTTTGCTTTTAAGAGTCCCTATAAATGATTCAATGTCGATTCATCTTCATAAAAGTCAGAAAATAGAATCCCACGAGTAACCAGATTTTTATGAGGGTCTAAAGGCCGTTAAATTGAAGCAACATAAGAGTCAGTAAATGTGTGAAGTTTAAGCGTCAAAATAAATGATGCAATCGCTCTCCATTAAAATAGAGATTTTTGGTTTTTCACTCACAAACTTCAAGTTGTAAATATATTGAAATTTACGAGCGAGTCTTTTACAAATACTTAATAAAACATGTCAACGATGTAATTCATCATTGGACATAGTTCTGATTATGATTTCATTTTCAATCACAAATAGAAATTATTAATTTCTTTTATGTCGTGTGAATTGAAGCTTCGAACATAGAAAGCTCTACGTGATGTCTCATTCTTTTTGTAGACGGGAGAACGACGAACCGATTCATCATTTAATTGAATGAAATTTAAGTTTATGTCTGTCATTTCTTCATATGTTCCATTTCAAAATGATACACATTGAGTTTAGACGACTTGTTTTAGTTTAATGTTGCGATTGTTAGAAAAAAAAATTCTTCGATTAAATTTTTATTTGAAAGAATTTTTTTTCTGTTGTGTTTCTTTCAGATGAATTTTCTCCGTAGAACTACAAATTTGAATGGAATGCAATTGCTTCTAATTCTTCTCATTTCATTTGCCGCAAGGACATTTTGTGCCGTGACAGAAGAAGATATCTCTGCAGCTATGTATGAAGCTGGCACGAACAGATATTGTGGCGACAAACTGAACAAGGCCATAAAATACTTCTGTAAAGCTCACAACAAAGCTTTAATACTCCAGCAAATGTCCATTCATAAGAAGACGCGTGGGTGTCAAAAAATCCTTCTCTAATTGAAGAAAATTTTTGAATAATTTTCTTTCAATTTCAGTGGATAATAGCGGATTCGACTTTGAATCATTTGACTTAGATAGAGTTGATGATGCCGGTGACTTTGGACGATCTCGATACAATGTAGACGATTCGTATTACTCAAACGATCTTCAATTTATGTGGCCATCGCAAGCTCATCGACGAAGACGAGGCGTTATAGAAGAATGTTGTAAGAGAGCGTGTCATCCATCAGACTTGATTCGCTACTGTCCACAATAAGTCAAGTGCTGCACCCATTACATTGGAATTTATGATATGACGAACGCTGGCCTTTGAACTATGCCTTACTCTCTCTCAATCTGTCTCTCTCTCTCTCACTCACACCAAGCTCGTGCTTCTAAACGCATTCTTCTCTCTTTGTCTCTCTTTCTATATAAATCAAATCAAGGGGTAATTCATCGGAAAAATTGGCCGGTAAACGTACCATTGAAATTAAAGCACTTGGGCAATTTCAAGAAAACTAAACAAGTTCTTGGAAAAAGGACATTTTTTGGAAAAGCGCGAGTGCTCTTCGAAGCGTCATTTAGAGACAGCTGTCAAACAACGATGAGTTACCCCTTTAATGAAATATTATAAAAATCTCTCTAAAACGTAAATTATCTAATTAAGATATGAATTTATTTGCATTAGTTGAAAGATGAAGAGAAACGATGTAAAGGAAGAAAAAAGTATTTTAATTACTAATATTTTTCGTTATAATTTAGGAAATTTTAAGTTACATTCATAATAGAAATATTTCTTAGTTGTTATAAGAAACTATGATTAAATATCTTAATTTGAAATTATTTTATTCTTAAAAATTTGTTCGGGAAATTAATGATATGAATTTTCGTAGCCCCAGAAAATAATCTTTAATTTTTCTTATCATTTTGCTATGAATTAACTGCTCATGGGATTGAAAATATTAAAAGGTGGAAAATAGTTTAGGTTTTTTATTATAATTTGTAGAACTTTACTTTTAATTTGTAACCTTTGTCATGTCTAGATGAATTTATTGATGGAAATTTCCTGAAATGTGAGTCACGTTAATTCTGTTGAAGGCACAGAAAAAATTGTATCCGATGGTTAAGGAATGAAAATATTTACAAAAAAGAAAACAAAGAAATGTGATGAATCAATTTCTTAAGCATGTTCAATATTAAGATGAACTTTTTTCAGTTCCAAAGGTTGAACATCTCTTGAATGATTTTTGATCTCTCATAAAAAACTGAATGCATAAGTAATTAATTTTTTTCTGGCATTTGTCGTTTAAAACAAATCATTCTTGGGATTAATCGACATTGTTTGTGGTTTAAAGATTAAGAGAAAAAATATTTTTATAAAACTAAAGTGGTAGATCAAAATTTATGGAATAATCTTTAAACTTACATAAGTTTTAATATTCCACATGCTCAGAACAATGTGCAGTTAATTCATAGTTTTAGTAGCAAAATCTTGAGCAGAATTATTGTTATACAATACAAAATAAAACAAACAATATTGTAATATTAATATTTAAATAAAATATTTATCACACACAAATGAAATGCATTTCATCAAAAGACAAAAAGCATTAATTGAAAGCTTTGCATAATGACATAACATTAGTTTAGTTTGTAATTGAATGCTGTTTGAAAAGCTTAATGATGGTTTTGAGGTTTTGACATTAACAGTTTATCAACCTTTTGATATTTGGTACACATTTTAACGCGCATGAACTTTTTTTGGCTTCGTTTAAAACTTTAATGTTCAAAAGCTTTCAACCCAAATGAGAGCTTTCTGTATTTAACATAAATTTTTCAATGGTTTTAATCTTAATCACATGAAATTTAGCAACTTGTCATTGTCAAGGCTTGTGGACACTTCTCATTCATTAGTTAGCTTGGGTTTTATGTTGGAATAGTTCGAGGTAAATAACTTAATTAATGTTTCAATTAAAAGCATAAAAGAGGGAGAATGTTGTGATGTTAACAAGCAAGTCATAGTTTGTGCAATATGTGCAGTTTTGATTAGATGAACAAAAAAAGATTTTTTATCCCTGCAAATTGCTTTCTTATATAAAAGTGCTAAACATCGCTTCAATCGTATCAGTTTTCATGAATTTGTTCACCTTCAAACTTGCATCAATTTCTCCCTTTTATGCTTGATAATTAAGCTTCACTTTTAAGCAAATTCGATCCCACTTAAAATTTTTTTTCCATCTTATTTTTAAAACTTATTCTTCATCTAACATTTTATTAAAACTTTAAATTTATTTAAGTAAAAACTTTAAAAGAATTTAAATGCTTTAACATTAATATTTCGAGGAAATTTGAAATTTCAAAAGCTTTTGAAGAAAGTTTCATGAAAATTGCTTGAGTATCTATCAGATTCTGGAAACTTCTATTTTTTAAATTCATCATGAATATCAGAAACTAAACCGAAAACTTTACACAACTTTTTTTTGCATGTAAAAAGAAATTTTTTTTTCTCAGAAACAAATGAAGACTCTTTGACTTAACAAAAACTTAATTGAAATTGAAAACACTTCAATTTTCAGTGAGCTCTTGAAACAGAGGATTATTTGAAATTAGTGCTTCGATCAAAAATTAATTAATTGATAACAGTTGTAAACTTTGGACGCAAAGCTCGGCTTAAAAATGACAGCAATTTCAAATCGATTGAAGGCGACAATTGACGAAGTTAGAAATAGAAAAAAATTATTAATGATGAGTTTCATCATTGAATTAAATCAAATTGATTGTGTTATAACTTCTAAGGACATTTTCATTATTGAAATCATAGGAAATTAATAATATCCTCAAAGTTTCACAACAATGATTAATATCTGAATGATATTTAATTCCTTAAATCAATCCCACCCTCACAAATTCATTTAAATCTACAATGAAAGAAAAGATAGCAAAGCAAAAAAAAAGAAAATACAATCACTGATCATATATAAGTGTAAATGTGTTAAGTATTATCACGATTTTCTGTTTGCTTATCAATATACCATTTTTCGGTAATAACAACACCAATAACCATTCAAAAAAGAGGCTTAAAAAGTGATTCGGTTGGTTGATAGGTTTGGTGGTTAAATGTGAACGTAATTTGTTAAATTTACTTTAGTCATAGGTTTGATTTGATTAACGAGTCCTCGATTCTTCTACTCTTTTATTTTTTATTTTATTTTATCAGTGCAAGTTATCAGTGAGAATAATTTTTGAGATTTTTTGCTTTGTGAATTTCTGTGATATTTTATAATTTGTTGTGAAAGAAAACAAAAACAATTCTTACGGATTTAGAGCAATGTATCCTTTATCAAAGAATAAATCGTCATTTAGAATTGCTGATATTTTACATCAGCAGCAACAGAATCAACATCAAACAGATAGTCAATTACTTGCACATCATTTAATGTTAAAAAATAATATTCAGTCAGGCGATTTGACCAAGAATATGAAAGCACATTCGAACGAGATGAAAAACACAAATGATTTATCGATCGCTTCGAAATCACCATCACCAGATAAATCTCCCATACCTGAAATATCTCCTGAACACGCAATCAACAAAGGAGACATACCAATGAAGCCAACACCGCTTTATACGAACTTTCCATTGCCTTTCCCACTAGGAATTCATCCGGCATTTCATCCGGCTGCCGCTTATTTAAATTATGCAGATGCAATTCATAAAGGTGAGACTTTAAATCCATTTACACAAAAGCTCGTGCAAAATTTTCGAAACATTAATAACATTTTCCGAAAATGAATTGTCAACATAAATTTCTATTGACTCATGTGACCAATTAATAACAGTTCACTAGAGAAACGTTGGTGATGGGGGACAGACATAAAAAAAAGTTCAGAATTGATTGATGATTGGTAAAGCATATTGAGCAAATACATCAATTGAATTATTGATTATATTTTCTCGAGTAACGATTTCATAACGCTTGAGTGTGGCGACAGGAACAGAAGTGTTAAATTAATTGATTTCTTTTTCTTGTCTCTTATAATTCTCATGACAATGGCATTCTGCAGAATGGAATCAAATATTTGAGTGAGCTTGGATAGAAGCGATTGAAATTTAAGGGTTAGGGGAAAAATATAAAATAAAGTCTGATTAAACTATGTGCAGTACGTAATCAATAATCGAATTTTAATGCAGACAATTTTCAATCTTCCTTTATCGCTCGATTGTAATTAACTTTTCAATCGATGAAATGAAAATCCTATCTGCTTTTTATAGCGTTGTGGTAGCTTTTTTTATATACATATATGATTTGATGTCATCGATAATCGCTACTCATCAACTCATCAGACACCGATCATTTGCTATCAAATATTTACAACATCACGGTAAAGAAAGAAGCCTAAAAAAAGCAAAATCGGTTTGTTATCTGTTGAAAAATAAGTAAATCGAATTTGATTTAATCGCATTTAATGCTCTTGAATCAGGGACGTTGAATGAATATTTCAGATGGTGTGACAAACTCAATTTGAAGCTTAGCCACCCTGAAAGCGATAACAACAATTATAAATGTAATTTGTTTGTTCGCTTTTGGTATTGGATACCATAATATCATGTCTGATATCATTTCATTCGCATTCGAAAAAGGTATCAGTGAGATTTTGATTTATTTTCGGTCGCTTGGATTTTACTTTTTATTTTGACATTTTAACGATTGGTGTGGAAATGTTGAAGTAATCATTATCTGTCTGTTGGCGCCATCATCGTAAAAAAAGATATCGAAATAAGGACTTATCATGACCGATTGTAAAACCTATTTGTCAATAAGAAGAACTTGGTTTGTTTGATTAGAAATAATCATATTTAGAATTGTTGTCAATGCTTATCTAATTTTTATGTGTTGTCTGAGTTCACCAAATTTATCCTTGAAGTTCAATTCAATTTAAATCTCTTTCCAAGATACATCGTAAATTCCTTTTCTGACATTGCTTTCTTAATCATTCAATTAATTATTGATTGATTCAACTCATTCCACTTCAAAATAGGAAGAAAATAAAATATAAATTAAATCACAGTAATTATCGTAATTTTATCGCCTTATCTATTGATGTTTCATCGATAGTGAATGTTGACAAACAACTTTGCAATTTAAACTTTATTCTTCTTGTTGTCTATTACGTTCATTTGTTTTGCTTGGAGATGCTTAATTGACTGCTGAATAACTTCCGGTGCAAATAAATGCTTAAGCATGATTCCATTTTCTGTGGTTTCCTCTTAATCACAATTTTAATTTACGACATGATTCAACCGCTAAATGAATAATTGATAACATTATTGACGGTAGACATCTAAATATTTTGTTGTCGTTGAACAAATCGAAAACATGTCGCATTAAATCATTCTCGGCTTCTTCATTTATTGAGAAGTTTAAATTGCGATCAAAGGCCAATTTACCGGCGTATTCCATTCAACGGCATTAAAACGATTTTCACGCGTATTCGAAAATCCTCCAGATTCGATTGAAACCTTTTTTTTTGTTTGGCGGTGGACTTGAAGTCGACGATTAATGTGAAGCAATCAGAAGTCGTGCTCTGCCTTTCATCAAACGCCGACTCGCCTTTTTTTAATAATTTTTTGATAGTCGATTATTAATCACGGATAATTTATTGGAGGGCTGAACGAGCCGACAATTTGCCAATTCATTCTATTTATAAAATACTTGCAAAGCAAACTTTGTATGAAGCTTTTTTGGAGGAACTTATGAAATATAAACCAAGTCATGAATCATTCTAAACGAAATACATTCAGAAGTTTAATCGCCATTCACTTTTTAAATGTAATTTACGACAAACAATTTAACAATCGTTCTTTATCATAAACTCCTCTCTCTTTTTTTTATTATTATTATTTGTTAATTTACTTTTATCAACATACAGCAAATCTCCATTTTTTTATGCCCTAAACAACTCACAATTCCTCGTACTCAACTTGACTTCGCTCTTTTTAATTGCCAATGAATTAGTTCAAAGATGATTAATTATTAATGATGATTAATTAGGTTTGATGTTTGTGCCATTAAAAGAGTTAGGCGCAAAAATGAATGTGGAAATTTTTATAAGTTTAGATTTTGATTCAAAACAATTAAATGCAATTATTAAGAAATTTGAAGGAAAATTAATTTATTTGACATCACTTCCAAATTAATCCTGCTTCTTTCAAATAAACCACTCTAGCTTTCAAGTACCAAGAAAGTAATTCCACTTATAACATTCAATCATCAATTTATTCGAATTCGATAAGAATGTCGCAATGCTATTAACAGTGATTGAGCTTTGTATTGACACAATCAAAAGGTTGTTAATACTTCTTTTTCTCGCCTTCTATTCGTTTTAATATTGACAATTTGTGTACTGTTCTTGTTGATAATAAGTATGAGCTACTGAAAATATGTATTTACTATCGCAACAGAAAAAAAAACCAAAATTACAATAATTTATTGATTGATTCATGTTTGATAATAAATCATCAATGTTTCTTTTATCTTTATTTATTTGTCACTTTAGTGTCTTCATCAAGAATGTGGCCGTTCTACCATCCTTATTCAAGTTATTTAATGCCACCATGTGGCTCAAAGCGAAAGGGTGGGCAAGTTCGTTTTACGCCCCAACAGACACAAAACTTAGAGCGAAGATTCTCCAACCACAAATATCTCTCACCCGAAGACAGGAGAAAGCTCGCTATGGAGTTGAGTCTGAGCGATCGTCAAGTTAAGACATGGTTTCAGAATCGGAGAGCTAAGTGAGTAAATATTTATTGAATGTCATGAGGAAATGCATAACTTGACCAATGAATTTCCTACAGATGGAGACGAGCAAATAATGCGACGGGTAGTAGCAATGGACAGCCTAATCAATCTTCGAATGGAGATAATGCGTCATCTGGTGCATCAAGTGATGATGATGACATATCACAACGTCCCTTACAAATGTACTTACATCATCAACAATATTATAAACAAATGAAAGAACTGCAGAAGCAACAAAAAGAAACATCAACTACTAGTGATAATAATAGTGACAACGATGTTGATGTGAATTAACTACATAAACTTTAATTTAAGTGCCGAAAGTTTATCTTTCCTTCCATTTCATTCTTTCGAATAATAAAAATTTAATGTTAATAAAAACTAAAGAGAATTTGTTTTCCTTTTCTTATCATTGTAATTCAATTCTTGATGACAATGCTTTTTTTTCCCTTATTTAAACTATTTAAATATCTGTTTTATATTACTTTTCCACCATAATCAAAGACAGATAAAACGTATTAGACAAATAATAGCTTCAAGATTTCAAATTTCATATAAACTACAAATTAGTTTCAGTGTTGAAGATATGCAGTGGATATCATTATCCGAACATGCCAAATAAACAATGATTAAGCATAAACAAATTGCTTTAGTACGATTATTTCATCCCTTTATGTTTTGTGTCACACGCTATGAAGGCGAATCGAACACGCTGGTATTTTCATTTTGACATAATGACATAAATAAAATGAAGTGAAAGATTTGCAATAACAAGAGAAAACGGGATTCACAAGAAAGTAAAGTGAGTACTTTTATTTTTTTCCTTTTGAAAGCTTTGGAGGTATCAATTACATGAAAACTTTTCCAACAAACAGCGCTAACTGCGAAGCATTTATGTTGTCGAGATTCTTTTTTTAAACTTTTCCTTTTTCTTTCAAATCATTTAAAACTGTCCGAAACCTTTTGATTGATTGTCATCAAAGGTCCTTGATCCGTCATCTGACGTCTGCTTTTTTTTCATAAGTAACTTTTCTTGTAATGAAAAGCACAAGACGTAATTTAAATAAAATGATTTCTTTTTATGCTTTTAAATCTCGACGAAAATTAATGAAATAAATTATATTAATTTAAAAGTATACTTTTAATCTTGTACATCACAACATATTTCTTTATTTTATCATGTTTATTTTATTTAGGTCTCCGTTGAATGGATAATATTATCAGTTTAACGTCACTCTCATCAATTTTTCGGTGGCATACAATACATACAAAACATTGGCATGAAACATTCAACATTGAAAGAAAACATTGAACATTATGTTTGATAATGTTAGTGTCACAGAAATAGAAAACATTCAAAAATTACAAGAGAATGAAGTATTGATTTTCGTGAAGTACATAATGAAACAAGAGTCCAATTTATTCACTCTCTCAACTGTTATATTACGTCTTGTATTACGTGCGCAGACGTAAAATGTTTGAGAGCGACTTGCAAACCATGAATATTGTAGAGTTTTATATTTTCATAGATTAATGTTAGAGATTTTACATATTTTTGTTGATATGATTTAAAAAATATGATTTAATTCAAATTATTAAAATTAAATTCAGTTTCATTCCACATTATTTCTTGTTAAAATTCACATCTAGTCATTTTCTATTCTCGTTGTAACATAAGTCGTTATAGCGAGGTTCTCCTGAGCCATGTTTTTTCGTTTTCATGCTTCACAAAAATATTTTTATTCAGTTAGTCTCTCTCTTTCATGAATTTCGTTTGTGTCTCGCGTAAAAAAATTCAGATTTTATCCAAAATGTCTACCAAGTTTGGGAAATTAATTGCTGGAAATTGAGACAGTTTAAATTGGATACATTTAATAATATTTAATAGTAGAAAGTATAAAGTTTAAGTGTGAATATTTAAATTTTCGTTTTGTGTTTGAGTTTTGTCAGCAGTGGCTTTAGTTTTGTCTGTGGAATAAAAAAAAATTAAAAATCAATTGGATTGCTGCTGCATAATATTTAGGTATATAAGAAAATACAAGACAAGAGAATTTTTTTTCTTCTTCTTTTACGTTTTAATTTGTTAATCTGCGTCGAAGACAAAGCTAAGAACGATTTTCTGAACTTGAGATAAGCGAAATTACTCAAAGTTCAAGTAACATTCTGATAATATTTGTTTGTGCATCAATTGAAATTAAAGTAAAAAGGATTCCGAAATATTATCAAAAATATTTTGTGTGGCCTTAATGATGTTTGCTTATGGAGCAGCACATGAAAAAGGAACGACGGATCAATAAAAAGGATTTCTCTTTCAGAGTGGATAATTTGTGACTCATGGAAATTTAACATCATTGCGGTGAACATGAAAATATTTTGTTTATTTGTTGGAAAACATAAATATGATACCTAGAATTAAAAGATTAAATTGAAATTAATGACGATATGTGCTGGTTGGATGTCACTACGTGATTCTTTTACTTTGCGCCTTAAAGTTCTAGTTTTTCTTTTTTCCGGTGACATGAAAAGAAAAAATAAAGTTGAAAAAAAAATTATGAAATAATCTCACACATTCCAAGTGAACCTATTGGCCTTTAAAAGGTTTAATGCTGTTTTGTCACGTCAAAGAATGGGGGATCACAATTTGCCAAGGAAACATAACAAGAAGTAAAGGCGAAGAAGAATTCTTTTTGCTTTGTGATTGTGACATTTGGAATGAGAAAAAGGATATTCTTTGCAGCTAAGACGTGATAGATAATATAAGCGTGTTCATTAAAATTTACGCACGTTACATACACAACTAGAACACCCAAGCATATCTTTATGTTCTCCATGCCATTACGTACATAGATATTTCCCTTTTACAAAGAACATTCTGCGTATCGTGTCAAAGTTTAATTGTCACTTAAATTTCATCATGATGTATTTCTGATGAGATGAGAAGAAATAAGAAAAGCGAGGAAAATAAAAAGGAAAAGAAAAAGAAAATAAAGATTCCGTCACAGTTGAGTGATTTTATATGTAGCTCGTATCATCCCTCGAGGCTTCCTTTAACAAAAAAAAATGTTTTCCTCCCGAAAACTACACTAAAAGGCAAGCAATTCCGGCTATGAGAACATGGAAAACTTTTTAATTATCAATTTCCCCTTGAACTCTCCTTGTCCGAGGTCAACGAAGCGTTACAAGTTAGATACTAAATTTTCCTCTTTTTTTTTGCGAAAAGCCTGGCAATTTGTGGACGATCATAAAATATAAATTAAATTAAAAATATAAAAAGGGGAAAAGAAAGTTCTAAACACCACCCAAGACGATAAAAATTTAAAAATAGACAGAAAGTCTAATTAAATTATCATTATCATGCTTCGTTCGTTTGCATGACGCTTATCAGTAAAATGAAGATTAAAAAAAAAATCTTTTCCATCAAAGATTGCCGGTCGGTTCTTGAATAATCTTTAAAAGTCTTAATCGTCAACAGTGAACGAGACTTTAGCTTCATATGCTTCACTGGGTCGAAGAGACGCTTTTTATGGTATCTTTGCTAAAGGCAAATAGAGAATAGAAAGTAAAGAGAATGAACGAGATTTTCGACACTCTAGAAGAATAAAAGGAAGCCTTCATGCCATGTTACGTGAAAGAAAACAACAAATATTTAATGAACCATCGAAATAAAATCGATTTTCCATTGAAACAAAAGAATTTTCCCCAATAATATTTTCCACTTTTACAAAACAATGCACGATGATCTAAATGAGTGCGTATGGGTGTTTATAACTTTTTGTTTTCCAACAATCAGATAAGGGAATTTTCATGAGCGCGAAAAGCAATTGCTTTTCCATCGTCATTAAAGATATTGTTCAAATACTGTCATAAGGGTCGGGTCGACTGATTAAACGCCTGCGATAAATGGGGATTGAACGAAGAAAGAAACAGAAAATATTTTCAAATACTCTACACTTAAAGAAGTAGAAGACGGGCAACTAGAGAAAGCGATTTAAATTAATGTTAATTAGTCAAAGTTGATAGAGTTAATATACTGAATCGCAATTAGATTTAACGAAATAAATCAGTTTCTTAATGACCCGTGTATTTGTAAGAAGTAAAGAGAGTCAATTTTTAATAAAAGAAAAAGAAAAAGAAAAATTTTCTTTGTAATTTCATTGATATTATTCGCGTGGGTGGATCGCATACATTGTTAACAATTCGTGTATTATTCTTGCAAAGAAATTTACATGGAATTAAAAAAACATGTTTGAATTTTGTTAAAACTTTCGTGACGTTGTTCTTCAGATTTCTCATGGAATTCGCTGCACATGATACGGATTTTTCCCGTAACCAACTGGTGCAATGATGTGACAGCCTCTGTTTGAAATTCCGTGAAATTTAGAAATTGTCTGCATCACATTTAGTGTGACTGTGCAAAACAAATTCATTTTACAATATCAACAAAATAAATTTTTATTGTGGAAAGCATGAAATGTAAGCAAGCAACTGAATAATCTCGACCACTGCAAACGAGTTTACTTTGTGACTTGATTAATGTTTGATGCTACTAACCGATCGTATTCTACTAAATTCTTATTTCAAATATCGGAGTTTGAGTTTGGTTGGAAAACAGCAATTTATGGTTTAGTGATCAAAATTTAGTCTTTCATCGTGCATTGTTCAAATAGATCATTTAAAAATATGTTTTACTGTTATTACAATGATTTGGACTTAAATCAAAAATCAACATTCGATGTAATGTAATTATCTGAAGAAAAGCTCAAATCATTCGAATCGACTACAAATGAAGTTGAAATAATAATTGAAAATTAAAATTAAAAGGGAAGAAAGATTACGTGGGTAGCTTTGTTAATTATTTCATATTCCCAAATAGTGTTTAAACATTTTTTATTCTTTTACATTGATGTCAACTTCCGTTAATATTGAAACTAAATTGAATGGAAGCCAACTGCTCTTTTGGAACGAAGAAGCTTTGCGGAATTGTTCCATTATTCGGATTCATTGTAAACAAAAAGCGAGTGGAAACTATTCAAACGCTAATGAAAATTGTTATAATTAATTATGTTAATAATTTGTTTAACTACATATATCCACGAGCTACACTTAAATCATGTTTTGCACTAAGTAAACACATTGAAAGTACATGCACATTTATAAGAAGAAAAAAAGTTTAATTAAAGCACCTTACAAGAAGAAAATTCACCTTTTTCTAAAATTATTGTTTTCTTTTCTACTTTCAGGGATTTCCATGATAATCGCATCGCTTCTATATTCGTGACACTCAAAAGTTTATGCAAAAAATATCCATTCCAATGTTGTTGTAAAATATTTGTGTGGTGACAAAAGCAAAGGGAGAGAAAGATGAGATTCAAGTGATAAAGAAGTGGGCAAGTGTAAATATAACGTAAATTCACCTATTTATTTAAAAGTAATAAAAAAAGAATAAATAAGTGAAAGCAAACATAATATTTCTGGATTAAGCTACCAAGAGTAAATATTTGAATTGATATAAAAGTGAGTTCAAAAGGAAGAGAGAGAGAGAGAAAAGTTTGCAGCTTCTGTTTTTCTATTTCAATGGATCAAAAAGCGGATAACAACAAAATGAATTCGATCAGATACAAAACTCCAACAAAGTCTTCAAAATCATTAACCAAACATCTTCAGCATCGACACAATTATCTGAATAAAATTATTATCATTTTAATTGTTATATTAATTAATTGCATTGTTGGAAATTTATGTGCCTGGCAAGACAATGTTCGACCAAAATTATTCGTTCAATTAGGTGAGTCGACTCCTTATCAATTAATTGTCTCTCTTTTCTCTATGTTAAAATAATTGCATAATTATTTTTTAATTAAATTTCTCTCAAGGACCTTTTCGCAATCTCAAAAGCTTTCGTGACAATTTTTGGCAATCAATCTTATTTCCTTTTGATTTTATAATCTCTAGAGGCTTAGCGACAGACAAGAGTGTCTTAGTTGGTGTAGGATTGTTTTATTTTCTTTCAAACAACAGCATAAAAAAACAATCGACAGAAATGGCAAAGATTGTTAGACATGAAATTTGTGAGCTGAATTTATTAGTGATTTGAATCATTGGAAAGATCGCAACAATTTTTTTTTCTTGAAGTTTCTTGGAAGGAAGAAAGAAAAATGAAAAGTTGTCTCAGTCAAATTTAATTAACCGTCTGGTACGCGTCTGCAGTCATTGTCGTCTTCTTGCTGCGCCTTTAAATTTACGTCGTAACAATAAAATAGGAAAATTAAGCAAACACTTTAAATTGGAAAACATTTTTGTTGTTTCGTTTCTTGATACTCCGCTTAGCATAATTTCAACAGTAATTCATCACAATTGCGCAGCATACTGTTTGAGCTTATCTCACACACAATTCTGTTCAATAAAAAAATAAACGTACTTTGAGAACGTTCAATGTTAGAGCTTAATGTCGAAATAAATCAGAGGTAATTGAAAGAAAAGGATTTATTTCGGTTACGGTTATGTCGCTTGATCTTAATCGCATGCGTATAGACGTGAGAAGTGAGATATGCAAATTTTATGACATAATTTACGACTGATTTTATTTTTTGCGATTTATTTACTCAATTTTTGCGGAATTCATGGTCAATGGTTTTGAATTGTTTTTGTTTAAATATTCATTTGTAGAGGGATATTTAAGCGTAATGACTCTGCAAGTTAACCCAATTTTCAAAGGGTGAATTAAACATTTTCCCAATTGCACAATGAAATAACATAAACTTTAGCTTTATTGAGCCCCCTCATAACTCGAGGGTGCATAACGCCAACAAACGTACAAAACAGTAATAAACAAAACTTTCCCATGTTTATTTTTTGAGAAGAAATTGGTTAAAATAACACACAAAGCATGTCAGTAATTGAGATTGCAGCAATGTATGTGCTTATTTTATTAAAATTTTAAACAAATAATTGAATGGAACGTTTAACAACTGTTCTTCTCATCACTTTAACAATAATAAACAGAAGGAAAAATCATGAAATGTCTCGTATTTTCGCTCCTAGCAATGATATATTTATTTAAAGAAGAAACGAATCGGGAAAAAGGCGAGAACTTAAAACGAAAATAATTCCCAATTACGAAATTGGCAACAAAACTTTATGCGACGAAATTTATGTACGTTTCGCATCAATTCTTAGACTCTCGAAGGCAAGAAAGAGAAAAATGTGCAGCTTACAAATCGAGTTGGTGGCACGTAGAGAGTGTTCGTTCTCATTTATATTTCGAAGACATAAAGATAAATATTAGACATGAGCATACAGCATAAGCAGACGTACACGTTTCAACAGTAAAACATCGCAATTTTTCCCACCACCTCGCATCGGTGGAAGAAAAGAAGCTTTTTCTGTTCTTGGAGCAAAGGAATTTCGCCTACTCTTCTCACTGCTTAGGGAAAGTAACGCAGAGTTGTTGACTTACTTGACAAAGTTTACCAAAGATCGATTTTCAATCAATGTTCAACGTCAATCAATTTTCAATTTCAATGAAACATTTGCGCTCATTTTTCTTTTCCATTCTTTAACAACATACAATATTTATTTTATAAACTAACAACCCTGTTGTGAACATACATAATAGACAATCTCACATGTATGCAAATAGATTTGAAAGAAAATGATGGAGAAAATTAGAATACTCGTGCGTAACGAGCAAGAAAGAATTCGCTTTGGTGTTGTGTTATTTCACTTCTTCGCCTTTTATTATTTCTTTTTTGCTTCTTTGGTTTATCTGGTTTCCTTTCGAAAGAAATCTAAAGATATTGTGTGAGTTTCCATTTACAACATGAGTGCCATTATGAGAATTTCATTCTTTTTCATTCGCTACGCCATCACACCATCACTTTGCCTTGTTGACTTTGCTCAAAGCTTATTTAAATAATTTTTAAATTTGGATACAATGCGTATGAGACACTTTAAAGCGCCATGGCTTGCGAGCGATGTTATCTAAGTTTCTTCATTGAAGCTCTTGTTAAGCTCATCTCCAATATCATGTGTAAAACATATTACGATTATTGTTAACATCTAAAGACGACACATGATCTTATGGAATGAGATTTAAGGTTCAAAACCCTTTTCTATCTTCATTTACTTAAACAACTTTTAACATAAACGTTGCAATGAAATCAAAAGCTAATCATAACTGACATGAACTTTTCTTTGAAGTTTTTAATGAATTATTTTCTCATTTATATGAAACTTTTAGCCAACCATTGAGAGAGTTCTAAAAGTTCAACATGTGAAAAGAAATAATTTTTCAATCTCAACAACATAAAATCTGTCTGCTCAATATTGTAAGAATGACATGTAAATACAGGTGGATGAAATCTGCACAGATCTTACCACACTAAATTCAAAATCTTATGAAATGACGATACATTTACATTCTCCATTGCACAAAACTGTTTTTAATGACCCTCAGCTCATGTTTGTTTGAATTGCTCTACTTTGTTTAAATAACACTCACTGAGAAAGCAGACAGCATGACACAAAGCCTAGCAGCCTCTTCGATGTACATATTTGAAAGCAAGCGGATGAAAAGAATGACAGGCAGGCAAGCAAGTCCGAATATTGTTTTCCTGCACCCATTTGCCATCTTCTCTTAAGTGATACATAATTGTTCAGTTTCAAAATGTGCATGTAAAATGATATTTCTGTGCTCAGCATATATTTGCTTACGACATAACATCGAACGCTTGCTCCTACCAGATGTTTTATAGTACTTTGATGGGTGTTTTATATGGACATAAACAAAGAACGATGAGGAATAAGAAGAAAGAAGTGAAAAGACAAAATTAATGATCGAATAAATTCTACATAAACTCTGCCTTCGACGTATTCATTGTACGTAAATATATGAAAAGATGAAGAAGGAAGAAGAGAGAAAACCTTACTAGATATCGTTTGTTTATTCTCATTAACTTGGTCAACAAATTCCGCGGCTTAAAATTAATCTTTTTTCCCTTTTTGTATGCTGAAAGTTATGACAGGCAAAGTGGAGAGCAGAGTAAACAATTAATAAATCGTATTTCAATTTAAATGAATTTAAATATATGTTTTTCTCAAATTCTTAACTGTTCGCCATCTTAACAGATCAATTTGAATAAAAATTCCAAATGCTTTTCAATGCGGCTTTTTCACTGACATTCCAAAACGATGAGAGGAATGGAAATGACGAAATTGTGGTTGAATGAAAAATAATTTTAATGATTTAGAATTTATGCGTGACATTTATTAATTTTTGCGACATTTTTCCCTTTTTTTCCTCCGAGCGCATATGTTGAACAGACGCTGCGTGATATGCTGCGCTAATAAATTAAGACTTTACTTGGTGCCTGGTTTCATATTACGACACATGAGTATGAGTAAATAACAGACAGAAGCAATGGTGATGATGATTAAAATTAATACATTAACATTTCAACATTTTCGGATCATTAAACAATGCGAAGAAATTTCGTTTCCACATCTCACTCTTCCTTTGCTAACTAATAAGCATGAAATCATTGTTTCTTTTCTGTCTTTATTTGAAGACAAATGTGCATAAATTATTTCTAATTGTCATCTGATTGTTGTTACAAGAAGGAAACGAGGAAAGCTGAATGATGGAAGTTTAACAGAAGCTTTCATGGAATTTGTGCTTTTATGTTTGTGGTGTTATGGACAAGTGAAAATAAACGAGAACAGAAGTCAACATAAATAAAGAATGCGAAAATGAAGACCTAGAAAGCTTTCTGAACCGGCAAATTGCATCTGCGCGTAAGCATTTCTTGATAAATATTTAAGAACTCAAACGAAAATCTCTTTTGTAAAATATTTTCAACATTTATTCTGGCTTCTAATTAATGACCATTAAAGTTCTCAAAACAACATCGTCATTTACTTAAAGACATAACAAATGTCATTGAAAAAAAGCATGAATCGTTCAAACACGTTTCATCGCATTTTATACACCCACGCATTATTTGTTATACCCAAGTGACATTTCAAATGCCTCGAAACAAAGTTTAACATGAATTTAAATTATATTGAAATGAAAAAAGAAAAAAAGAAATAAAAATAAATTAAGAAGAGTCTTGATTGTGGATGAAAATGCAAAATAAAATACCTTTCAGCTATGGAAAGTCTTAAACTACAATCACGTGTCTCGATTCATGCAACCTACGCACGAACTTGTCATTTTTCATTTGCCTTTAGGAAATTGCAAGCATGAAGCTGTTCAGGTTCCATTTTGATTTGTATTTTTATTTTATTATCAACGGTATTGTTGCATTCATTACGTTTTCTTATTACTTGCAACATAAAATAAAGATTAAATCTTTTCACCAGTGACGTTTGCATATAAAATAAAGAAAGAAAGAGAAATTGCCTAGATAGAATTATTTATTTATGATATAAATCAATGCTAAAGTGAATTCCAACAAAACGGTTCTTTATCCTCCAATAAAAGTTGATTTCTCTTCATTTTTACGTCTTTCAACCTTCTTGATAATTTCAAAGCAACTCGAATCTTCCATATGATCTAATAAAACTTCTTTCAAATACCAATACGTATGTACATAGATACTTGTAAAGAATGTTATTCAATCTCTTTCACCTTTAACAAGAAATCTCTTTATTTGTTTTTGACTATGAGACTTTTGGAGAAAGAATTTCTGTCATGCATACATGTGAATGTTACGAAATCATGAACATTTGAATCACCAATCAAAGGGGAAAATTATTAGCATATGATGTCTGAATGAGATTTCAAATTCAAAGATGTGAATATAAATAATTTAAATAAAATTTCATTTTATTCGAGTTAAAAAAAAATTCTGATGAAAGGCGACAAGATTTGCTTCATTCAGATGTGCTCGCAAATTGAGCTTAACAGCTCACATTGGGAATTATTTGGATGAGTACTTTTATGACGCCAATAAAAACCAAACAAATGTGAAGGATATAAGCGAATAAATCAGACGAAATAATAAAAGCATCGTTCGATTGCGGTCTTTCACTCTTAAGTGGGCTTCTTTATGATTTTTTATTTTCCTTTCCAATTTCGAAACGAACAACAACTGCAATCTCTTTACAACACACAGTACAAATTTATTATTTTTTATTGAAATCTTAACAAAAACCAACGTTTGAATAAAACATGCTTTTATGAATTGATTGTTACGAAATCATAAACAAGAGCATGAAACTAAAAATGAGTCTCGAAATTGAATTTATAAAAAATGTGTTTGTTCAACTAAACGTTTAACGATCTGAAGTCTTCTCCCCCAGCCTTCCAAAGATTTTATTTCTTATTTCAATGAGTATTTAAAAGAAGGTGTGAAGTTACTCATCTCATCCTTCGTACAAATTAGATAGAAATCTGTGGCAGTGGAAAGATCATAAATAATTTTTCTCTTTTTCTTTCACTCTATTGAGGTTCGTCCAAAAGCATACAACACAACAACCATCAACGACTCTTCATATTTCTTATTTATTTTTAATGTCTTTTCATGAAAATGAGTTTTAATATTTTAGAGACTACAGAATTTTTAACACCTACTTGCGCGGAAGAAAGCGATAAAAAAGGCATTTTTCTTCCCTTTTTCTTTCTTGCTTTTCTACCATTGTGACTTAGTTTCTGTAATATTTAACTTGAAACAAACATCAAGGCAAAAAAAAAGTAGGAAAAGTCAAAACAACACAAAGTCTTGTTTTTTATGTTTTAATTTTGAGCACATAAATCTGTTGTTGTTGTTCATGCATTGAGCTGTTAAATTTTGTGTTTCTTTATCAGACATTTTCACCAAACAGTGACTGCTTTTAAATGTCATGAATTCGTAATGAGAGTGGATATCAAGATAGTTATTATCGTAGTTTTTTTATATCTCTTCCTATGTTCGTCACTCAAAGTTTACAAAGTAAAGAAAAGTTAGAAATAGTTCGACATTGTCATGTTGTTTAGCGGAAGAAAGACGAAGGAAGATGCATTTGGAAGTTAATTCTCGTTGTAGCTTTTAATGAATGAATATTTCATACTTTAATGCATTGTAAGTGTATTTCATTTACCTTTGGGGAAAGAATAATTTTAAAGTCATTTATCGATTACTATCAGCTTGATTTAATAATGGTTATTGATGAAGAAACGTGCCTTCCTTCTATCATCATTTATCGAAATAAGAAACTTACGCAAAGGCTGAGAAAGAAAAATAAAGAAATAAACGTAGACGAACATGACAGCCATCAGCAAATGCTGAGACTCTCTCTCGTGACAAATCAAAATCGCAAAAGCAATGTCAAATATTTGACGATAAATCTTCAGATGTGAGCGAAACTGTTAAATAATAAAAATAAAAATGCTTGAATTGCGAATCCATTTGGATGGACGTTATGTAGACTCGCAAGTACAACAAACAGCTGAGATTATTTTACTCCCGTTGTGATTATTTTTTTGATGTTAAATGAATGAAATTCTTTTTTTTATTGATTGTTGGAGCTTTTGAAAAGAAAGTCATTATTTGAGAGAGCAAGGCAAATCGTACGTAAAATAAAAAGCAGACTTGAACACACAAAAATAACAGTTTTATGTTCAAACATTTATGTTCCTACGCTTGCTCTCACTCACAATGTCATAAATATTTTATTGCATTTTATATCATGCTTCAGAAAACAATATTCTGTGTCAGTTCGTCTAGCTCTGCTTTCCCTTGCTTCTGTGATGTACGACGAGATTGAGAGAAGTGAGAAGTTCAGCAAAGCGGCACAACATCGAATTTAATGTGAAACAAGAAAAACTTTTTTATGTGCTGATGCTTGGGGGTAGAAATGAGAAGTAAAGAGTTATAAGTAGTTGGAATAAGTAATGCATACACGTTTATATTGCACAGAATAAATCCGCTCTCATTCCTTCTGATCCTACAAAATCTATACGAATTGGGTATTAGTATCGAATTTAGCATTCGATGAACAAATTAAAGAATTACAACTCCGAACAAATTGTTAAGAATATTTTCTTATTATCATCATCGTCATTGTGAATGTCGCATTATTGATTTTGTGGAACTTACATGTGCACATGGGTGAATAAACTTCTTATTCGTGTTCGTCATTTCTTTCCAATCGAATAAAATGAAAATAACAAGCAATTTGCATTCATGAGCATACACGATAATGCAGAAGATTGACTTCTTTCCCCATCTCTTCTCCGTCATCTCTTGAGACAAGCATAAATGGTGTTTTTCAGAATGGAACTTAATGACTTCTTGAACTTACTTGAAATCTCAATTCTAACTGCTCAAAAATCTTTCAAACTAAAACGAAAGAAATTTATATGGTTAACTAATGTAATCATAAAATGAAAATCACATTTTAATGTCGCGGTAGTAGCGGAAAGAAAGACTTTTTTTAGATATGAAATAATTTAAGTTTCTCATGCTGAGCGTAATTTTTGAAATTATGGAAATTTGTAGTTTTTCAACTTTTTTCCCGTTCTGCTTCTTATCCACACACAGAATAAAAGTTTTTGCATGACTGTGAAGAAATCATTAACGGTTCATGGCGTGGGTGGGAATTGAAAAGTTTATGAGGTTCTTGGGGAGAACCTAGAAAAGCAATTATTAATAAGTAATCATAAGGGAATTATTCTTGAGTTGTGTCGTTAACTTCATTGCAAACATGAAGCTTACGAGATTGATAACAAAAGATTCTTGAAATTAGAAAAACTTTCCATACAATTCAAACAATTGAACTTATAAAGTTCTCGTACAATTCAATGTAGAAACATTCTAATAAATCAAATTTTATGCTACCAGTGACATTTTGTTCTAAAGTCAATTCCCGATAGGATTTCTAATGAAGAAATTTTCATTCTAGTAATGTTGACTTTATCCCGAATTCTCCCTTGGAAATTTTAAGAAAAAGAAATAAAAATTAAGTTTTCATAAGAGAAATGAAGAAAGAAAGAAAAGAAAAAATCAATTTTGTAACATTTAGCTATTTTCCACCCACGATATCAATTTATTCTTCTTCTTTTTCTCTTTCAATATCATCAAATTCACGGGAGTCGTAAGCGGATTGATTTAATCTCTGAGGGTTATTCATCGACGGTGTATATATCACATAAGCAACTAATGAATTTTTTATATCGAGTAGGTTTGTTGATACTTAAAAAAGTCGATGTCAGTCAGTCAACTTTGATCAACAAAATGTATACAAATTTCAATTTCAGCTTTTATTTATTTTCTGAGCATGAAATCGAATGAATATTTTAACAGTCATTCAGCTTAAGGGAAATATGAATTTCTCGGGTGATCATAAACTTTTATTGTGCCATTGTCGATGGTCAGCGAGTGTTTTTCTTTCTCAGTTTTATTTTTTAACCATCGGCTTCTCACTCTATCAACACATTTTGTTGCGCGCTTTTAAAGGCGATCTAAAAATACGTTTCGGAATTTATTTCCTGACTTTTAGGGAGGGTGTGTGTTGTTGCTTCGCTCATTAACGACTCATGATAATGCGATTTGGTGTAAGAAAATTCCATTCAATTCTTCTTTCTGTCGGAATAAAATTGAACGTTGTCAGTAAATGAAATATGTGATTGACATATCAATGAATTCAGATATATGCAAAGTTCCTAGGATCATCACACAAAATAAAAAAAAATAAAGCGATTACTATCAGAAAATAGCTGAATTTGAAAATTTAATTAAAATCGGAAATTGATTATGCAAGTTATTCAAATGAAAAATTTCTCAATTTTTTCCATCTGTGCGAATATTTTTTTGATTGAATTTATGTTTTTAAAATGCGTTCTATTATGAGAAATATTGAAAAAACTATCAAAACTCGACAATGAAACTCACAGTCAGTGAGTGGTGAATTTCCTATTGCTTACATTTCAATTTCAAGCGTTTTGATTAAATGATTTTTTATTTGAAGAATTGATGACCAACAGTTCGCCGAAAACTGAATGAATGGAAAAAAGTAATGATTCCAATTAAACAAAGAAAATGATTTACAAGTGAACGTAAAAAAAAAAAGCTTAATTAAATTAAGTTTACAGCTTGTATTCGGTCATATGAAAGGAAATGCCGTAAGCATTGCTGTTGCCAATTCACTCGACGTGAAAAATTTATTTATTCTTGTGTAGAAAAAAAGAGAATAAAAAGAACCGAAAAAGCCAACAAACGAAATAACAAACCGAAAATATTTATTGAATTTATATTCGCCATGGCTAGACTTACTATGTATGAACGCGAGTTGTGTAAAAATGTGTGCAGCAATTCGTTCGTTGAATTTTTATATTATTTCTAAGTGGTTTTCGTATGGTATCGACATAACAAATTGAATAATTTAATAAAGTACGAAATTTTTTGCGCGTCTGCTGTGGAGCTTTTAATGCTTGTCTTCGAAAGGATTTTCCCAATGCACGACGAGCAAAATGAAGGAAAGAGTCGGGAATGTTTCATGTAATGGTATTTTTTGATTGAAACATCAATATGCTTGTACTCGTATTATTGATCGCTCAATCTTTTTTCATGGTTGAATAAGAAGACAATGACAACAACAATGATTCTTCTTTTTTTTTACTTTTCAAACTATGGTGAATGGTGGTGGTGAAAATGAATTCCAGCTGTGAAAAGCTTCACTTCTCATATATATGATCATCAAAGAAAATAAATCATGCAGAAGCGACATTTTAATAATGGACTTTTCACGTTTATGCCGCTTCTAAAATGAAGATGATTGTATCAAGTGAGAAACAAGAGCAAAAGGGTTTTTCATCGCTTACAGCAAGGCAAAGATAAAAACTTTTCTTCTTTTTTCCGTCTCCATTTTTCCGAGAAATAAAACTTATATCCAATAATTCAAACAATAGATAAAAGCGACCGCAATACATTATAGGGAGTGAAGCAAAGGGCTTACCCATGAACACAGAAAACCCTTCACAAACCCACAGCAGCAAAATGATTAATTCCATCATTATCGATTTTTTTCGCTCCCCTTTTTCGGACTTTCTCGTAATTAATTAAATATTTTGAGGGCTTGCATTTATCGCGAAAGTAAACATCATAGAAAATCTGAATTCACGATTTATTTTTTCCATTGTTTTCAATTGTTGTGGGAGGGTTTTAAAGTTTTTAATGAGATTAACTCAAATGCATTTAAATATGAATTCAAACATTTAATACTTGATTGAGTAACAAGATTATAGCCTTCAGAACAAATAATCAATAATTTAGTTCTATTGTGACTACATTGAATACAAATAAGATTAATTTGAAAAAAAAATTCACGAATTTACTTCGTTTGTAGATAACTCATTCGTTGAATGTAATGCTTAATGTTACCGCTAGCAAAGCATTTATTTGGTTCCTTTCAAACATGCATTCATACATCGATAAGTTTGAATAGAAAAAAGAATTCTATTAGCTTAATGGAAATTTATCTCACGATGAATTTAAATGCATAAATCCAATAAAATTAAAACCGATAGAAGCTATTTTGTTGCAGCTTTTTTTTATCGTTGAATGTGACATTGTTCATCTAATATGTTAGCTGGAATAATACAAGAGTGAAGGAAATTATTTTTCTGCATATTTAATCACAAATTGTGAACTAAGTAGAAGCAAAATGAGATAAAAAATGATTTAAGTTTATGACATAAGAAAAATAAAATTTTTCCGGGGCTAAAGAAATAAATAAAAAAAAAGCATAAAATCATTTTCCAAGATATCCCAACATAGATATTTAGTTTTTCACTAAAAGTATGTTTAAAAGATTGAAATATTTATTAACCGATTTCAAAAGCAAATCACGATTGGATTTGAAAGGAAACATTCTTCCCTCAATGCATTGCAATGTCTTTTATATTTCTACTTTTCGTTTCGTTTCTTTTTTTGTTGAAACGAAGCCAGAAGGTATCATCGATTTTAGAAAACGAAGAGTTCAAAGTAAACACAAATTGGAATTCAAATCGTAAACATACAACGATTGCGAATGAAAAATTGTCAATTCTCAGGGAAAAGGAAAATTTGAATGCATAGTGAAGTTGTACAAAGCGAGACGAGAAAATACATTACTCAAGCGAATTTTTGGTTATGAATTGTGTCACGATATGCCAATGTTGTAACAATTTCATAAATGCTATCAAGTATTGAATCTCCATTACGCAACTTGCAAATATCCCAAAAACATTTTGTGAAAACTTCTTCACCGTTATGGAAAATTTTCGACATGAGACGAAATGTGCTCATTAGTCATTGAGCTGTAATTCTTCATCACATCCGTACGTCGTTTCATGATTTTATTGCTTCTCGCCATTCAGATGCTTTTTCATCGAGACAAGGAATATCGTATAGGAAATGCTTCGATGAAATTGTTAGGCGAATCCTTTCAGAATCCAATAATAAAAAAAAACTGAGAGAAATGGATGAGATCGATATTTCGTTTTTACGTTCGTCCTCAAAAAGAGCATTCATCTCGTTACAGAAGCTTTAGGAGCATGAGAAAATTGGGTAAAGTGAAAAACTCATATCACGAATTCACCAAAAAAAAAAGGAGGAAAACGAACGTAAACTTATTTATGCCTTGCCTTACCCACTCTCCTGAATACAGCCGAATGAATTCATTATGAAAAATCAATATCGAACCCTTTCATATGAATTTTCAATTTTCAACCCCAATAGCTTCATTTCGTTATTCCACTCAAGAAGCGAAGCTAAGGAAGGGTTCGCCAATGATCTCCCGATTCAGTTAAAATGTGTTTTGCACTCTCGTAAACACTTTGCACTTGTTCTCCCAACAACACAAATCAAGTTTAAAGTTTTGTTCAAATATTTGATTTCATGTTGTGAAAGTTGAACTCGAAGAACTCGTTTATTAAAATTATTTTCGTTTATTTTAACTTAAAACGATTTAATGATTTTACTTTTAAATTGATACGTTTATAAATTTATTTTATGAACTTTTAATTTTTACCTTCTTTATTCATTCAACTTATTAATTCTCTCGGATCAAGAAGCATACGAGAAAATGAAATTTTCATTTCGTTCATGTAGATCTTTACAATTTAGGTTCATAGAAGGTTTTGTTATGTTCTTCTGAATAATTTGCTTAGGTTGGAGATTCGATTCCAATATTTTAATAAAACAAATATCACAAAGACATTATGTCAGTTTTTATTGAAATTTATGCTACAAGGAAAGGTCAGCAAATTTTTCTACATAAATTTTTATGTTGCAATAGAAGTTTTAAAGTTTGCTACTTTTATTGAAGGGAAAGTTTCCCCCACACACCCACGCGTAGACATGAATTGATTGATTGTTTCTGTAATCAATTCAATTCCTTCTTTCTTCTTATTTTACAGAAGCTATTAAGGAATTGAATGAACATTTAGACGGTGATTGAAAACTTCCATTCACATGAGTCGAAATCTGTTACCGCTTGCACGATTATCACCCTTCAGATGCATTCTTCCTGCAATTTATTTAATTTTTACATTATTTTCTTACATTTTCTTATTTCCATCTACATTTTCCGCAGTTGATTGCAAGTTCAGGTTATGCATGTGTGTGGAAAATTCAATGTTGATTTAATTTGCATCATGGCATTATGCAAGTACAAAGAAGGAAAGAGAATGAAACTCATGCATAATCAAAAAGTTGACGTGATTTAACGCCTCGCTTTGCATATGCTGTAAGCCTTCAATAGCCTAAGGGAATTGTCGAAGAAATGTGTCGTTTTCCCTCGTTTTGATAATTGAAATTTTCATTGATTGTCCCAACTCCCTTTATGTAACAACATCAAGTGAAATCCGCAGTCGTTTTAAAATCAAAATGGCTGTTTTTTTTGTAAAGATACACATTTTGCCAGCATCACGTTGAGCCACAGCAAGAAAGCTCAGTGAAAAATGGATATAAAATGTGAAAAAAGGGAAACGAAGAAAAATCAATAGTTTTTTATTCTTTTCACATAAATAAATATGTCCTACCCCGGCTCTACACTTTGCTACCGCCACCATGTTTTATGATGCTTTCCTTCTTTTCATTTTCCAAGCTCTTGTTTTTTTCTTTCATTCTTCTTTTTCCTCCACTCGCATGAAGGGGAGCTCGCTGGAATATCTTGTTTAGAGTATTTATGTGTTGTTTTTGTAACTTTGAAATATTTCACATTTCATTCAAGTTCGACTGACATTTTTTATGAGATTGCTTACAATTCTTCTTCAATTTCCATCCCTGAGCTATTTATTTCTCTTCATTCTTCTTTTGCCCAGCAAAAACATTCCACAACTATGGCTTAGCCATCATAAATATTTACATCACAGAAAACAAAAATATCGGAGAATATTTGCTTCTTGTCTTGCTCAATGTCGTCATACAAGGATGTAATATCGTGAAAGTTTCTCCCTCTTAAACTTATTATTATTATTATTATCATTATTATTATTATGAGAAAAAAATCAAACTCGCCTTTCTATTCTACGCCAAAGCTTTCCACAAATAAATAAATTCTCATAAATGTGTTGACACATCCATTCATATTGAATATCGCTGTTTGAAGTCGAACATGGTCAAACGACACTCGAACGACAGACGACTACAAAATAGTTTTCGGAAAACTTATTTGAAGTTGTATCAATTCGAGATATTTGTGCAAACAAACATTTAACAATCTTGGCATGAACTTGCTACTTAACAATGAAAGACGATTTGGAAATTGATTGAGATTTGTTTAAAGTAAAGCCAACGGTTCGTCTCGTTATTATGTATTTGTAAAGCTTTTTGAAGAGTAAAAATAATGATGGGGAGAAGGGAAATAAAAGTGCGTAGAAGAAAATCCTATTTTCCAGAAGATAAGCATTTTGAAGGGATCTTTGCTCTTTATCGTCAATTTGAATGTTCGTACTTTATTCACATTGTTACCTGAATTTAAAAAACCAGAAGGAAACTAGAAAGTAAAAGTAAAAAAGGATGCGGAGAGCGTATAGAATTTTATTCAATATTCACTGCTGCAAGTGACACATACGAGATGTAGGCTTTGAATAAGAATTTGGGAAAGTGCGTGAAGCACATTCAAAACTTTAGTATTACGTCTCAATCGATTCGAATGCACACAGAAATTAAATGTAATTTATTTTAACAGAAAATTGACATTTATGTCTTCTTTCATATTCTGACATAGAAACCATAAAGGGAAGACTCAACTCGAGCAGAAATGCGAATGTCACCTTCCCAGGGGATGATCGACTAAGCCCCTACGCTAACTGCATTGACAAACGAAAATGATTAATTTATCTTTTACAATCGTGATGGCGAAAATGGTTAGCTGAACAATGGGATGGTTTTCCATTTCGTTGATGTATCGTATATTGAAGATTAATGAACCAAAGATCAGAGGTTGTTATCAGCGATTCAATTTTTCATTTATCTTGTTTAAAAAGATTTTTATTTTCATTTCAATGTTCCCTTTTTTCCTCCTGTTTCAATTGCATAACAAAACGACATTTATGGTTTGTGATTGAGAATGTTCTGCTAATCAAAATATTCTCTTTATGTAACTGCGATTAGTTTCAATCACTTGAGCGATTTGAAGTTAATTGGTAGTGTAATAGAAATTCCGGCTAACAAAAATGAATTAAGGGAGTTTTCGGCTTGAAAACGTGAATATTACGCAAGAAAACATTCACAAACACTGACACAAAGTTCATATTCGTCTTGTGTTCATTGAAACTGAAAACTTCAACATAAACTCTCATGTTATGTTTACCTCTCTCAACCATCATCTCAACATCTGAACAAATTTCTTGTTTCACAGCACATAAAGCTAAAACTTCTCATACAAAATGAAACACTTCGCGGGGATGAAAAATCAATATTTCTTCTCTTCTCTCATGAGTACGAATTAATGTTGGTAGTATTAATGTTATATGCTTTCTCTTATATATTTATTCACCAACACATTCACATTAAATTTATGCTGCTCAGTGTTTCGCTTCGATTCAATGTTTTCCTTTTCTTTTTATTCACGAATCAAGGAAAAAACTTATTGTACTGCTGCATAATGTTTTATTTTAAAATTCATAACAAGAAGAAAAGCAAAGTTGGAATTGCAGAGGGAAGAAAAGTTATTTACACAAAAATCCTTTAACAATTGTTGTGCTGGAAATATTTAAAGTTCTTTTCATTACTTTTCCCTTTTTTTCCTATTAGGAAAAGAACGAAACTTGTTTTTCGAAAAATTACTCAATTAAAATATTCTAACTAATCAAAAAACCAGTTCTTTTGTGGAAAATAATTTAATTTCTTTAATAATCTGAATTCAACAAACCCCTCGGATTCTCTTATCGTTCGTCTTGCACTTGCATTCATTAAATGTTTCTCCTTCACTACTATGTACTGTAGTTATATTTTATTACCATCAGCAATTGTAAAGTTTTTCGTTTTTTTTTTATTTCTTGTTGTTTCACATCTTTTGGGGGAGATTTGATTTGATTAAATAAAATAAATGTGTTTAGAGTTGTATTAAGAAGGATTTTCTTTGCGAATAAAAAAAATGATCCTATAAGTTCTCATAGCTGTAATGCCACTCAGTGAATGTAATAAATATATCTTCTTATACCATATCAAATCATATCATGCTTGAACGTTTGTTGACGAGGGAAAAGCGTTGACTTTTCATACAGACCCTTCTTCATAATGATGAGAAGTTCTCGACCCTTTAAACAAACATCTGACGCCCAACGACAGCCAAAAATAGCGATTGTCGTGGATGTATATATTTATATTTAATTACAATATTTTTAATACATTTATGGTTGATGATTTTATTGCACTCCGTGGTGAATTTCTTTTACGAGCTGCTAGGATCTCACGAGAAATTTATGTTTCTGAAGAAAGAAGAAAAGTGAAGGGTGGATTTAAATGTCAGCAGCGCTTCGTTAAATCTTTCTGGGAAGAAGCTGCGTCGTACATACTTATATTTCTTAGATGACTGACTGTAAAATGCTAACACAATTTAGAGAAAAGGAAAAGAAAGATTTAAATATGAACATTTGCTGTTTCAATTTTCCGTTTTATGAAACAAAATATCGTGATATGATTTTACACCAAATTAAACACAGCAAGATAACGATATAGAATCATTGCGTCTTATGTCTTAATTGTGTCAGAGATTTAAAAAAAATGAGAGATCAAAGGAGTATGAGGGTATCTTTAAGACTCCATGCATCTCGCTTTCGTTCAGCAACCCCTGAGGAAAAGGGTAAAATAACGATTTACGATGAATCCTTAATTGCATTTGAAGATGTTTCACATTAAGGTCGTTTAAACTTTATCATAAACTCTCCTCGATGGATATGGATAAACTTTTCGTCTCTTCCTTTCGAAAAGAAGGAAATTTAATAAAATTTCCATTTCAAATAAATTGCTTTGCACAGCAAATAAACTCCTAAATCGACGGATGAGCGTAGCGTTAAAAAAAGAAGAAGGAAAAAAATATAATATCCTTATTAAACCTAGTTGCGGAAAAAATTAATAATCTTTCCTTTCGAGCCTCCGTAAAAAATAAAATAAAAAATGGAGAGAAACGGAAAGTTGTTGGGGGAAAGCACGCACGCCAAATTGCTGACGAATTTGTCGAGTGAAATCTTCTTAAGTTCACTGTCGTGAAAGGAAACGAGAAAGAAGAAGAAAAATTGAAATATCTACTTAAATGAAGAGAAAAACCTTTCTAAGAAATTATTCAAATTCGATGATTTCAAAGAATATGATTTTAATCAAATGCGAAAATCTGAAGATGAATTGTAGTTGAAGAAGAAATAAAGGAGAAAAATAATAATAATTTTGAGATAATAGAGTCGGAGGCAGAAAAATGTATTTATAAAAAGATATTGTAATAACAAACTCACTCTAGGATGGAATTAAATGAAAATTTGATTATGTAGACGAAATATTCCCTTCCTTTATTATCTGCCTTGGAACAGAGTTAAGCAATCTGTTTCTGTTTATATATATTTGCTTGAAAGAGCATAAAAATTATAACAGACACTGAGCGACTCTATTGTGAGGCAGACATCTTTAGATATTTTGCTTTTCCAAACAAATATTTTTTTTATTCACCGGAAAGTTTTCTTTAGTGATTTATGCTGAAAGTTTTTTCATGCGAGATAAGTTTGGATTTTTAATATCAATATAAGAGCAAATGATATTCAGATTATTTTTTTATTTTCACTAAAGTTAAGTTGATGCATAGACTCTGAGCTGACTTAAAGAAACTTGAGATGAAAATGCTTTCAGTTTTGATATGTGAATAAAATTTTGTCATGGTAAAAATGTTGGAATTCCCAGGCATCATATTTAAATATTTAAAATGAATTTATTTATTTAAAGTAACGAGAATTTATAATAAATAAATAAATAAGAAATGAAAATAGAGATAACAAAACATGTCACAGTAACGTGTGGGTGGAAACTACACAAATATTTTCACAACAAAGAATAATAAATTTTAACATGTAAACCACATATGACTTGTTTCAAGAACTCTGTTAGTTCTAGTTTGACTAACATTTTATGTTATTAAATATTGTAATAGAAAATTTGTAAAATATTTTCGAATCAAAGTTCAAGGAAAAGTCACATCGAGATGATGTCTCATTATGTTTCAATTTCCTTCTGTATATTATGTTTCTTACCCACCTTTGATCATCGGAATGAATTAATCTTCTAATCCATATTTGAAAGCTCGTTTGCTTTTATCATAAAACGAAATGAAATAAACAATTTTTTTATTCGTGTTTCGATGCCTACAACTGCTTCATGTTGCGTAAAAAAATTGAGCATATCGATGTTCGTTACATTAGACAGCTTCTGCCGTATCTTTTATCGAAATGGAAACAGCCGGAGCATGAGGAGAAGCAGCAAAAAATAATGGATGTTCCTTTTTTCTTAATGTCCTCTCGTCCTAGCCATAAACACTTTCGCATTTATGCACACCAACATCACAGATAAGTTTCCTCTGTTTTTTATTTATGTGTGTATATGATGTGTTATCGTTTGTCAGTTTAAGTTCTTTTTTTTCTTCATACATGGCTTGACTCATAAATCAAATGATTCTACTAATTTATTTCATATTTCTCGCCATTTTCGCCGACCACGCTCAGTCAGATTGCGATAAAAATTAAAAAGGATTTTTTTCTCCTTTCTTGTTGTTGCTTTCGCTTCCATTTTATTTCCCATTCTACTTTTATTCAGTTGAAAAACATTACAAAAGTGGTTTGATTGTTGGAAAAGCAGGGGTTGGCTTGTCGCATAAGTGAATGAAGAAGGAAAAAAGTTGATGTAGCTGCTTATGACTTGCAACAATCTTTCCTTTTTTTCTTGCCTTGTCTTTCCTCAAGCCACATTTTATCGTTCTTATAGCTAGTGTCCTTAATTCTTTTTCTTTTTTTACACGAAACCAAAGAAATCACTTCCTCGTTGTTGTTTGTCGTCTTCGACGAAAGAAAAGCAGATTAAAGGCATTTGAAGCGGGGAAAATTTTATACAATCAGCCTTGTAATCAGAACAATTTCTTTCAAACTTGTGCAGTTGTGCCCAGATTTGTTCTATGCTAGTTTTCTTTATTTCTCAACAGCTACGAACGAAGGAGAAACAAGGGAGAGTTGAAGAAAATCAAATAAATTATCGACATTAAAGGAAAATTGGGTCTTGTAGATGGGAAAATGTTTAGTTTTTATTGTCTTTGTTCGAATAAATAATACAGTGCAAATGGGAAATATCGATCAAATCCCAAAATAGCTGGCCCATCAACAAAAATAAACTAAACTTTTTGTGTTCGTTGGTGTAAAGCAATTGAATGGTCGGTCGTTCGAGTCGATCCACCATGAATTACTTGCAAGACAGAAAGTGAGATGAGCATTGAAAGACGGAGGAAAAAAACGAAAAAGTTTCTAACAAGAAAGGGAAGTCACAAAACTTCTTCATGTGCTAATCTCTGCTGTTCTCACAAAATTACTTATTTGGGATTTTCCATGAAAACATCGACGAATTTTTCCCTCCATTCGATGATTATTGCGGTCCATTTGCTTATTTATGGTATATTCATGCAAAATTCTTTCCTTCCTCACTTTGGCGTGCGGTGAGATGAAAATTGTGGAGTCGTAAAAGCAGCAGCTTTGAACCTTTTGCACAATTCCTCCTTTCTTTCTTTCTTTTTTATTCCGACTTTTATTCAAATCGCTTTTCTTATACATACATATATATTTTATTTCAAATCTTTTGCCATCGTCGGAGGGAAAACAGAAAGTTTCAGACGAAACACGCCTATAACGAGAAAATTTCTTTACATTTTTTTGTGATGTTATAAAAATTGTGGATGTAAATCGATATTTCGTATCCAAATGTTTTCCACTCAAGCATCACGATTTACCTCCATTTATTACAAATTGAACTAATTTGAGGTCATAAAAATACAAATTAAAATGAAAGTACTTCAAAATTACGTTGTAGGAACACGAGAGATGAGCAAACGATGCGATGCTTCAAATAAAATAGAAAGGAAAATTCTTGTAATTTATTTGGAGTGAGAAGCTTCCTGACCGTCCCACGCGTACAGTAAAAAATAAATAAATTAACTTTGATATGTAAAGGTACGACTAAGAGTAAAAAAGGCTGATGAATGAATGAATGAAATATAAAAACAAATCAAAACCACCAACTCATGGCACGTACTTCTGAAATTTTATTAAATAAAGAAAAGTTTGCGGTTGTATGGAAAGCGAAGGTGAAAAGAGTGAAAATCATAAAAAGAGTTCATGGAACCTAAATATGACGCAACATGTTAATGCATCCATCGCTCCCATAAATGTCCACAAACGAAGCAGAAATTTTTCAACTTAAGAAAGATGGCTCGGTTCGTATGTAAAGTGAAAATAAATTTTCATGCGATCAAATTGAGTTAGCAAAGCCTGTCTACTTGCCATTGTTTTTAGGCATGATAAACGAAGCACAAATTGCCCAGATTTTTGTTAGAACACAAAATGAAAAATTTAATTCTCTCAAGCTTGTTTAATGATGTTTTTTTGTTTTATTTATTTTAATTCATTGTAATTCGCAACTTTCAGAAAAGGGATTAAATATTTCATGATGAAAATGAATGACTTGACATTTCTTAGGTCTTTTGTGACAGTGCGTATGAATACTTAAACGATTTTAATGACAATTCGTCTTTTTTTATGAGAAAAGAATTTTCTTTTTTTCTCGACTATGAGATAAGTTAATGAGATGAAAGACTGTGATTGCTTCTGCATGTGCTTGCGGCGGGAGACTCCTAAATGTCTTGCTTTACGTCTCGTTTCCCTTCAAATTTATCGTGTTAAAGGCAAAGTGATAAATTACATAGAAAATCAATAACTGTGCCAAAGCACACAAGTGCCTATGCCTTTGAATCTTTTCTGAAAATGTTACACATTCCGTTGTTGTTTGCTCACGATAATATTAATGGGGAGGCATTACACTAAATTTATATTTTCGACACAAACATAATTTTCCATTAGATATTTGCCCGCGAGTGTATTGCAATATCAAATAGTAAGATATTTTATTTATATTTGCCATGACTCGATCACGTAATAAATCTTTGACGAAAATTTTGTGAAAATCTTCGTCAATTAAAGTGATTGGCAAATTTAAATTCAAAACATTTGTAGGCTGAATGAATAATAAAGAAAGTCTACCAATTAAGACTTTCATAATGCATCAATAATTAAGGAAGTCTTTTATTCAAATATCTGACGTGATGTCATGTTTTTATGAGTTGACTTCATTCTGTCTATGACAGAACAGAAAATGATGTGAAACATTCAAAGTTTCTCTTGTTCCATTTTATGAAAATCTACCCAGTTTGTCATTAAGTCTCATCAGATTATTCGATATGGCTTCGAACATTCATTATTAATATCAATAGGAAATCTCTTTTCATTCTGCCAACAATGATGTTGCTTTTGATTGAGATGGAGATGGAGATGGAGAAAGAAAAAAAATTGTTGTTCACTGAATTTCAGCAGAACAAATATTAATAATAAAATATGAATGGAAATATGTTCAAGTAATGATGTTAATTGATATTCAGGTTGCGATTTGTCTACTTCCGGAGCCTCGCTCATTGCTGAATATTCTTTTATTTCTTCGAATTTGCCGTCGTCAGAATAAATCGTCTACAGACCATAATTACTTTCGTTTTTCTCCCTCCTTCTGCCTCTTTCACGCCACACAAAATCTGTCCGACCAAATAATCGTCGGCCATTTAAATAATTAATTTATGCAATTATTTTTGTAAGCCCTCGCGTCAGAAGAGCGTAAGTGCAATTTATTAACATTTGTCTTTTCTTTTTCTTCCTTTCAGCCGCTGACGACGTTCTCAAGTTCCAAGGGAATGAGTCGGCAATTGATCATTTCCGACTGATATTAAGATCTGGTGATAGTTTGTTGGTTGGCGGAAGGTAAGTTATGCAAATAAATGTTTGCCTTTTTCTTAACTTGTCACTTGTGACTTGTATCTACTTGTTTCTACATTTGACCTTACTCCGTTGGATCACGTTTCCATGATATCCAATCAAACCTTCATTACATGCCACAAGCAAATTCCATTCTATTAAGATAATATTAACCACAAACTATGATACACTCCTCGAACAAGATGAGACGAAAACTTATCCGCAATTTGCGTCACTTTTCTCATTTTTGTTGTGTTTTATGGTTTGAGAGATTAAAACGAAATCTTTAAAAAGATAAAAAAATCATCAAACCTTTTCTTAATTTTAAAATAAGAAAAACTTTTAAAGGAAAAGTCTCTCGTGACAAAATTTCAAAACTTTCCCAAGAAAAAAAAAAAAGAAGGAAAACCTTTTTGTCAATGGCTCTCATCAAATGTTGTTTTTTTTTCTTCACGACTCCCGAGAAAAAAAAGGTTGGAGAAATTTCCATCTCAATTTTTCTTTAACATGAGTGAGGAAAGAAGAAAAGGTTTTGGTTCCTAATCTTTTTTTTTTTGTAAGAAAGAAAGCAACATACATAGCTGAAAAATAAAGCCCGAGACATTTGAAATCACATTTGTGCAAGAACGACAACCGAACGTTAAAGAAAGGGATGAGAAAGTCTGAATGTGGAAAGTTTACTTCTACTTCTGTTTCCTCAATTTATAAGAAAGAAAAAAAGGTTTAATAAAGATGAAAACATCCTTTCAGCCTCTCCATTATTTCTCATGGAATTTTTCCTTCTCACAATCACATTTTATTGTGATCATTACTTCTAGTTTACGAGGCAGAAAAGGAAGAAAATTCTACACATGGCTGTGTGTGTGTGTGTGTGTGGGGATTGAGGGTGCAAAGATGATACCAAGAAGTAATTCAACTTTAAGAGGGAAAGAAGCTTCAGCGATAAGACGACATCCTTGAATGTCTTTCAGCCTTATTTATGGATTTTAATTATCACCCAACTCATTTATAATGAGTGTCATTTGTCCTTACACATTCCACTTGAAATCCACACAATTTTATCGCCATAAACACTCGGTGCGAGTCGTCTCCAACTTTAATTCCAATTAGATTACATTAACGACAATTTTTTTTATTCATCTTCACGCTATTAAAACAAGCTGAAGACGACAAAGACGTCTAAGTATTAAATTAAAATAAAAAATAAAAGTGATCGTCATTTCCTGACTTTATAAACTTCTCGTTAAGGTATCAATCCGGGAGTTGTTGGTTTTAACACCGCCTGATGACATTGTTTGAGCTCTTTTTTCTCTCTCTCTCGTCAAGGGGAAATTTATGTTAAGATATAAATTTCGTAACTTTCTGGAAAACAATGTGAAAGAAAAGAAAACTTCTAACTGTTCTCAAAGCCTGTTAAATGTCATCATCTTAAGGCCAATTTATTTAATTAGTTTTCGAGTTAACATACTTCGTCGTTTTTCATGATTCATCTCATTCTACCAAATTCATGACTCAATTTTCTCTGTCGTTAAGTAATTCCTTCCATCACATTCATCAACACTCTCAAGCATGATGAAATTTGTAGTCTTGTTTAAAGAATTATTGGAAAATTTCTGCGAAAACTATGTTGATATGTATGTAAATATATTCTTGAAATGTTTGCAAATATTTCCTACCTCCCACACAACAATTTTCTTATGACATAAACACAAAAACTTTCTTCAAGCTCAATAATCGAGAAAGTGAAAGTTTCGTTTTAACTTTCAAAAGCAAAACTTTATCGTACGCAACTTTTTCGTCTTCGTCATCTTCAGTTATACTTTCAGAACGAACTTTTGTTAGCTTTTTGTAATCAATTTTTGCATCATTACTTCAAACTCAATTTCCTTTTGTTCTTCTCTTTATCAAATCACTTTGCAAGCATATGCGACGGTAATGAGTTCAGGAAAGTAAGGCAACAGAGAAAATCGATAACTTAATGTGACTTAATTTTTTCATAACGCGATTGTGTGGTAAAAAAAAGTCTTTTGGTGTCTCATTCCACATTTTCCTTTTATTTTCCCTGCTAAGTAATCGGATTACGTGAAAAGAAACTTTTACTGATAATTTGAGGTGGAAGTATTTTGAAAATTCCTGTGCTATGGAAACATTAAGTACTCTCTCGTGAACTTTAACCCCTCGATATGATTGAACATTGAACAACATAGAACAAAGGCATTTCCATCTCTAGTAAATTCTATGTAACCTAGATTGTAATCAAATACACCTAATTATTCAACTGATGGTAAATGATATACAATTTCAACATTCAATCACACATCGTAAAATTCCATGTTGTCACGACTCCTTTTCAAATATGTATCATTGAACCATTGTTGTAATTCGTGCGTGAATGAATTGCTCTGTTCACAGGTTAATAATGATTCGAATAACAACTTATCATTTAGGAGCGAGCAGTTAACATGCAATTAAAATGTTGAACAGACATTCCTAAAAAAAGTATTAGAATAATTTATGACGTGTTTTCAAAAGACAACATTATGTTCAATTTTCAAGTTATTAAATGAATAATTATGCTTCACAGTTTAATTTTTCGTTACTTTCTGATACTTATGTCAGGATATTTATTTTTCATAAGTATTGAAAGCATTTTAAAGATATTTACGAGGAATTTTATGACATTTTTTTTAACGAAATATTTTTATGCTGATTTATGTAGCTTCAAATTTAATTTCTTGAACATAATGCGCATAAATAAAAATTTACGATGTTAAACGGTCATTCTCAAACACCCGAATCAAGGTGATTTACATTCGTAGAATCAACTGAGGTAGAACTATTTTCAAGAAAACAAATAAATGAAATAGAGACCCGTTCGTTTAACATAATTATCGTATTGTATCGTTCAAAACATCAGCCTGTTTAAAGTACTTTGAAAGCTAAGCACTCTCATTACACCCAAATTCACTACTAATAGCATAATTCTTATGTAGAACTATATTAAGGATTTAATCCAAGTACTTTCTTCCTTCGTCAATAAATGAAATCCTTGCCAAAAGCTACAATTTCAAGCATTCATACCACATCTCATTCGTTTAATTAAAGTTTATAATGAAAAGTAGGTCAAGCACCTTCGTTAAAAAAGGGAGAACGTAATAACGAATGTGTCACATTATATTTGAGTTTATGGTAGAATAAAGACTTACACCATGAACAAAAGAGAACATTTTCCATCTCTTCTTTTGAAACATATTATAATTGTCCGTAATAAATAGTTATTAGATGGTTGGCTCTGGGAAATTTCCTTTCAGCATATTAAAAGTGATTCTGCACATTTCGACAACGAACGACGCCATTCAAACCTCTTTCACCATGAAATTTATTTCGAAAGGATTTCAGCGATTCTCGGTGTGAATCTACTGTGGCAATATATTATACACTGCAGTAACGTATATTAACGAGAAACTTAATTACTCTTTACATCCACACCCACGACGTTGAAGTCTGAAATGATTAATTAGCAAGGGGAGCTTGTATAATTGATAAGTCACTATTGCTTAGTGGAATGGAGTAGAAAATAGTTTTCTTCTTCGACATTAAGCAACCCTTTTGATATTAAAAGATATATTGAATTTCTTTCATTAAAAAGCAATGAGAAACTTTCCTCTCCTTCATCATCATCATCTTCTTCGTACCTTTATCTACCTGAAAAATAATTGAAACGACAGAAATCTTTAAACGAAATTTAATGGAGTTTGGTTTATAAATAAATCAAGTAATTAGAGCATAAATCTAATATATGTTTTTTTTCTCCATTTCTTGCAGAAACGTTATCTACAATTTAAGCATCTACGATTTAACAGAACAGCACAAAATTCTCTGGCGCTCATCAGAAGACGATGTAAAAATGTGTCTTGTGAAAGGAAAAGATGATGTAAGTTATGGTTGAGACAGTAAGAAGCAAGGCATGAAACATCTATCATATATTTTAGCATAGAAATGGTAACACATGCCTTGTTCGCACTCCAAACCACTTCACCTAAACCCCCCACCCCACCCCCACAATCTTCCTCCATTTCTCTTTATTTTTTTTTCATTTTCCTTGGATTTTCGTGTCTATGAACAAGTAAAAATGTCTGGGAATGGAATTTCTCACATTTCCGACAGTTTGTGAGCATCAACACACCTCATTGTTACATCACATTTTACTTAATTAAAAATTATCTTCGAGTTGTTTCAACTCTCGTTCATATTTATTTGAGAAAATGAAAATTTAATGAAACTCTTGTTCTGAGATTTATTTCCTTTCACACGAATAACTTCTTGTGTCCTTTGTAAACTTGCAGGAAGAGTGTCAAAATTACATTCGAGTGCTGACGATGACGACGCCGGGAATATTGTTAGCATGCGGAACAAATTCTTTCCGGCCAATGTGTCACTTCTACAATATAACTAGCAGTGAATCTCACATAGAGAAGTCGAAGCCAGGTCAAGCACTCTGCCCTTATGGTCCGCATCACAATTCAACATCAGTCTTTGTTGGTAAGTTGAAATCGGGTTTAAAAATCTGATAAGAAAATTTCACTGTCTTGTTTGAAAATGAATGAGAGTCTCACTTGATTAAATAATTGAGCTTGAGCTGCATCTTTCGTTGTCGTCATTTAAGCTTTCTTTCTACTTCTCTTCTCTCGTCAAGTCAATGACTCAAAGTAACCTTAATAAGATAACAAACTTGATGGATGTTTCAGATATTTTCATTGAAAAAGAAAACTTTTGTTTTATCTTACGTCCGATATTCACTAACCAGAACATCGTAACATGAAACCAGAGAGTTATGAAAGATTTAAAAGAAAAAAAAGAGTTTCGCATGAAATGAAAACCACAAACTTTGGATTTAACGAGAATATCTATCTGCAAATATCATGTTGCGCCAACCTTTTTCATGGGAGTTACTCTCTCAGGCGATTCTACTAATTTTATTTTCTCTTGTTAATTAAACGTGTCAGACAGAAAATGTTGTGGACTTAATGATAAGGTTTTTCGTTTTACGCTAATTCACTACAACGAAAAAAGGGGAAAACAAAAAGATGAAGAAAAAAAGGTTTCTCATCAAACATTTTAATGAACTTGACGAAATGCGGGCGCCTTAACGAATACCTTTGAGAGATTCTTCATCAGAATTAACACGAAGATATGCATGAAAAAGGTCCTCAAGATGTTGTTATCGTAACACATCCGAAAGAAAAGAAAATAATGGGGAAAGAAGCCTTTGATAGGCGAAATGTGGTGTTGTTCAAGTACGAGGAATGTATCGTGAAATGACATTAGAAGAGGCAATAAAGAATCAGCTCAGGATGAGATAAGAAAATTCGTTATGAAAATGACTTGGCTGTGCCATTGCGCGTTTCTATCTTCATTTCACGATGGTGCTTTCTATTGATGAAACGATATTCATGGTGGGTGGATAATTTTGTAAGTGAAGTAGCAAAATATTTGGCATCTTGGGAGTTTATTTTATACCGCAACCTTTTTTTTGAACAAGCAAATTTTCCTCATAATAGTCATACACATGTTTACAAGCAACAAAATTGAACCTACTGAGAAATGACGTCAAACGAAACTTATGAATCATCCCTTGTCAAACCTTCTACCCACAATTTTCCTATAACACCTTTCGAAAGTATTCATGACGTTAATACACAAAAGTATTCTCCGCAATATCTCTCATTAATTTCGCAGGGAAAATCTAATTTCGCTTTTAAGGGAAAACAGAATATCTAAGTAAGAAGCATGTGATCGTAATTGAATCACGACAACATCTTCTTAAGGTTGAATTTAATTTTGATGGTGTGAAGAAAATTTTATCGCCTTAAAATATGAAAAATCTTTTCTTGTGCCTTTTTTCCTGAAACGATTTTTGTAATCGTTGAAGTGAAGAAAAGAAAAACACGCGAATTATAAATATTTTCATTAAGTCTGCTGTCGTCACGGTCGAGACAATTTTCTCTTGAGGATGTTTTCATTTTTTTTCCCTTTATCCGTCCTACTTTCGGAGAATTATGATTAATGCACAATTTTCTTGTTGAAATCCGCTGTGGGACCCAATTTATTTTCTTGTTGCTCAAAATTAATGCTCAACATGGATGATAATCTTCTTAATCTTCATTCCGGTTAGTAGTCGCTGTCTTCATCCGACAAAATCAACATCCGCGAATGCTGAATTGCATTACTTTCATTCTCTCTTCCATCCTTATTTATCTATGTGCAAAGAAGAAGATAATTTGTTTTGAAAAACGCAATATTTACGATCAATTCAAAGTGTCTTAAAGTTAACGAAATGTTTTTCGTTTCTATAAATGTGAATTTATATGAAAAGTTATGGTTTTTTATGTTTCTCGCTCTCTCTTTATGTTCATCGTATATTTTATGTGCCGTTTGCCTGCGTGAAAAATAAAACATTAAAAAAAAAGGGAAAAGCATCGTCGTTTAAGGCGCGTACATTGTATCAAAGGATGAGAAGGAAAACGAGTTTCACAGAAGATCGAGCACATTGATATAAGATAAGGGGGAAAGTATTGTATCAGCCCCACAGCTAATCTCTTACGTAGCTTTTGCCTCTTTGCTTATTCAGTTTCATAACTTGCTACTTCCCTTGGCAAGGACAACAAATGAATATTCTGTCGACTCATTTCATTGGTGTTCAAAAGAAAATGGAATCTTTTTTACGACTGTGAATTCATTTGTCGGTTAGCGGCTTAAAATTTAAAGTAGCGGAAAATTCTTTCCGCCAACATTCCACCCACATAAGTTTGAGAATTTCATATCGTGAACATAACAAAACAATGTTCTAGAAGGGAAAGAAAAATGTTTTCTTCGATAAAATAAATGAACGAGTCTTGAGAATATCTTGAGCTTACGACTCTCTCAATTCGGAATTTTCTTTTCTTTTTTCGTTTACTTTATTCAATTCATGCTGTCAATAACAGAACACTCAGAATACTTCATCTTTTTCCATTATTTATCGAAATGTTATTTTGTTATCAAATGTGACACAGAAATTTCTTTTTTTTGTGATAAAAGCGATCAATAATGATAAAGCCATGTATCAAGGAGATTTTTCTGCAATGAACATGAAAAACGATGAAAAAATAAACAACAATGTTGGATATTTTCACTTTTCATCCGATTCGTTTCTGCTTGAACATTTTTTTTTTTTCGTTTTTCTTTGCTTCAAGAGCTTCCCAACGAATGAAAATTCTTCTTTTGATCGACGACAATGAGAGACTTTTCTTTTCTTTTTTGTCATTCATTTTGTCAATTGAAGCATTTTTAAGCTTAATTTAAAAGTGGATTGAAGAATCTCAGCAACAACAAGTGAAAGCTGAAATAAATTTTGAATATTCATATTTACAAATAGAAATGCACAAAAAAGTTTCTTGGAAACAAAACTTCATCATTTCATCCGCTCATCATTCTACACCCACGCATAATTCCTTGTCCCTCTTATTCTTATAAAAAAGAAGGGAAAACAAAACAAAAATGCAAAAGAAAGAAGCTATTGTCAATGCAAAGCCAGAAAACTCCTCGCTTTGTTTGGTTGAAAAGGTAGAAACGAAGAAAACAAAATACTCGGGATTTCAATGTCAAATTTCCGCCTAGAGCTTTCAAGCACAATCTACATTTTCATATTCTTTATTTATTTCTTCTTTCTGTTTTATGATAATGATGTCGTGAAAATATGAAATGTTTTTTCATACACATCTACCTGCTTTGTCATTAACTTTCTCGTTTGTTTGTCAAATCTTCTTTCAGATAATGACCTTTACATTGGAACAGAAGCTGATTTCAGCGGTAACGATCCAATCATTTATCGTGAGCCACTCCAAACAGATCAGTATGACAGCTTGAGTTTAAATGGTAAGATAATGGTGAATTACAATTGTCATAATCAAATAAAATAACGAGATTCGTTTAAATTCTCATATTTCAGCACCCAATTTCGTCGGATCATTTACGTTCGGTGATTTTGTATACTTTTTCTTCCGTGAAACAGCTGTTGAGTTTATCAACTGCGGCAAAGTATGTTTTAACTAAATTATATTGTTTTTAATTAAAAAAGAAAAGCCACCACCACCATCGAGTGAATAATTTTCATTAATTTATTTAAAATTAAATTCTCTCATCAGGCTGTTTATAGCAGAGTCGCACGTGTTTGTAAATGGGACAAAGGTGGTCCACATCGCTTCCGTAACCGTTGGACGACGTTCTTAAAGACTCGTCTCAACTGCTCCATTCCAGGAGAATTTCCATTCTATTTTGATGAAATCCGTAAGTGAAACTTTCCTTTTTATGTTTTCATGTTTTGTTTTTATGTACAAAGAAAAGTTTTCAACAAATTTCATTCTCGTTCATTTTTCAGAGTCATCCAGTGATCTTGTAGAAGGAGCTTATGGCAACACAAATTCTCGCTTGATTTACGGCGTCTTTAGTACACCAAATAACGCAATTGCTGGGTCAGCCATTTGTGCGTTCTCCCTTCAGGTAAGCTGACTAACAGATATTGCTTTCCCCCTCATCCTTGTGATTCTCATCTGAATTCTCTTCATGAAATCATTTCGAAAATGTGATTTGTAAGGGATACATCAATAAATTATGTCACGCTGTGTCAGTATTTGGGTTTAGTGTTAATAAATGACACACTAAAAGTGATAAATGTGATTGAGGTGACATTATTGCTACATGAACTTATTTTTCATTAACCAAAATTTCACTGATTTTCCATTTTGCGTTTTTGAAGAATTTATAAAAGAAATCGATAGTTTAATTCCACATTTTATTTCATTATTCTCTCCATTTTCATTTTATTTTTTTGCTAAATCGCAAATAAAATAAATTTTTGAAAGCTTCTGAAATGATTTAAAAATAGAAATGAAAGAAAATTCAAGTCTTTGTTCAATCGAGCATTCGAAATCATAAAAGAAGAAAATCTTAACAAGAAGTATTTTTTTATTGTTATTTCTTTTTATCTCATTCCACTCATTGAAAATTTTCTTTCGATTATAAACAAACAAAACTAACAAATAAAAACCATCAGGATATTGCTGATACATTTGAGGGCAGTTTCAAGGAGCAACCTAGCATAAATTCCAATTGGATGCCGGTAAATAATGCAAAGGTAAGGAAGATAGTTTGTTGAGAAACAATCTAAGTTTTGTAAAAGTTTTCTAGCACCAGATTTTTGTTTTCTTATTTTATTCTCTTTCGCTTCTTTCAATTATTTCTGACCCCAATTCAAAAAACTCCCTTTGGGAGTTGAACATTGATACAATGTTTGGAAAGGAGAAACTTTGTATCTGATTATTTGAAAGAATGTTTTCATGTATCTTTTGGCTTTATTTCTTTCTCTCTCTTGTAATGCAAAAAGCAAGCAAAAGAAATTCTAAAGAAACTTCTTTCTTTTGAATAGAATTGAACGCGTTTCGACAGTGAATTTTTATCAAATATAAATGAGAATTCAAGTTTATTTGCTTTAAGTATAAGAAGAGAAATGAAAAAGTATAAAGAAAAGAGAAAAAAAGGATTTTCAAGCAGACAAGAAACACTGGAGAGAGTTCAAAAGCATATTTATGAGGTTGAAGCTTTCCTCCATTTGTTTTCACTTCTTCACATTTTTTATGCATACCGAGAGAGATAGAAAGCTTTCGTGATTCCATAAAGTATGGTTTAATGACTTAAAAAAAAAGAAAAACAAAGAACTCCAAAGCTAGCTATAAATTCAGGACAGCGACAGACATTTGTGCGATGTGGTCATGAATGAATGTAGGACGCAATGACAGTTCTAAATTGTACTTAAAAAAGGAAGTAAAAAAGAAGAAGGAAACTTCTCCTCAAGCCTTCAAGCAGACTATACTTAAGGAAACTTTTCGCATTCATTCTGATTCATTAAAAGCCATTCACATTCATGATTCACGTAACACATTCCGAGAAGAATTGTTCTTTAGTTTCGGTAAGCTTTCATTTCGGAATCCTAAACGCGCGGCTGTTTCCTTAAGAATTGCTTTTCTACCTTTTTATACTCGAAGATTTCTCTTCTCTAGAAAACTAATTTAGAAAGTACCTTCATCTTACCTAAGCTCTATCTTATGATATCAAAAAAAAAACGAAATAAAGAGGAAAGGAAGAAAAACTTTTTACTCCCAAAAAAAAAATGAAAAATTCAACAAAACGTTTTCCTTCAAAATGATGATTATGATAATTTCTCTCCATCTCGAAACAAGAAAGGAAAATAAATGAAAAAGTTTCATTCTGAGTCTCGAGCAAAGTGTATAACAATACAATGAAAATTGTGTTATCACAAAAGCATCTCAAGTTTATTCCTTTTGCTTCAAATAGCATAGGCTGGTGAACTTTAATGTGATTCAGTAAACAATTTCGAATGATTTTCACGTACGATACCTCTATTCGATCTACTTAGTTTCCTTAATATTCTCTCAAATGAATAAAAACTCATGAAAACTTTTTCCCTTCGTTTTTAAACAAGCGTCATAAAAGCATCACGAAATTATAAACACCATTGTAATAATCGTTAGTTCGTTTCCCTTTTTTCTTTGTCTTTCCTTCGTGTCAGTCGTTTCCCGTTTGATATTGCTTCAAATTAAATTGCCTTCCCTTCCGAGCTTTTTTCTAATGTAAATGGAACTCTCGGTCTCTTTGATTACCAAACTCGAACTAAAACAAAATAAAATCCTCTCAAAACAAGCCTCATCATATTTATGATGCATAAAGAAGTTTCATTTTGTGAGGAAAGCTCTAACAAAGAAAGCTTAGCGTGGCTTGAAAAAAGCCAAATGAAATTCTCTTTAAGTGTTATGATAAAAAGTTAAAGCTTTAAATAATGTTTGAGTCCGATGAGAAATATTTTTCTCTGCAAGCTAAAAAAAATTCGAATCAACTTCCAGGCGAGTGTGAGGGGAAATGGAAAAAAACTTTTCTCATTCTAGCAGGAAAAATTAATAGAATTTTTATCTCACTTTGATTATCGCAGCATGAATGGTGCTTTTTTTGAATTAATCTACAACAATTTGTTTACTTTTGTTGCTTGTTTTTTCACATTTCTTTTTGTCGTTTCCATGCAGATTCCCGAACCAAGACCAGGCTCTTGTCATAATGATTCTCGTGCACTGCCTGAAGCGACGTTGAACTTCATCAAAACACATTCGCTTATGGACGAGAATGTTCCGCCGTATTTCGGACATCCAATTCTGACACGCGTTAGCACACAGTGAGTAGTGAACTATAAAACCAAATAAACGACAACTAAGCTTATTTGTTTCATCTTTCAGATATCGCTTCACACACATCACCGTCGATCCACAAATTAAAACGCCAGGCGGCAAAACCTACGATGTTATTTTCGTTGGAACAGGTGAGAAAACGAATGAAATGGTCATTGAGCACAAATAAAATATTTTGACGTTTGTTATGCTTAACCTTAAGGGTTACTCGAAAATAAATGAAAAACTCTTTCATTGTTCGACGTTAGTTTTATTAAATGTAAAAGAATACGAAAAGAAAAAGGGATAAATTTTCGCCTCGAAGGAAAATCCACGGTGTTTGTAAAGAAAAGTTTCGCAATTTCAAAGTGTCAAAGCTTTACGGGGGCTTTCGAGAAAAGCTCCACACAATAACTTTATATAAAATGTTAGAAATCCTTTTCTTTTCTCTTCTCCTCATGAATTATTCAGTCGGATTAATTCCAATATAATCGTTTTAATCGAACTACTAAACATTGCGGTACTTGTTGTGTTTTGTATCCACCCCCACACTCATTGTCAACAAGAAAAACTTTCATTCAAAACCACATTAAAAACTAATTAAAAGTCATTTTTAATTTTTAATTTAATTCGACATGTAAACAAACAAGGAAAAAGTAGTGTCGTAACAAATTTCAAATAATCTGATTCACACACACACACATTTCATTAAAGTAAACAGAATTTGGTTACGAGTAAAGTTTGTCATAAAACAATTTTTTTTTCTCGTCCTTTCTCGTTTTTATCACTGCACTCTTTAGACTAACCATATCAAGTTTCCACCCCCACAGTCATAATCTAGAAAGTTTTATTTTTATTTTTTGCCTTTTTTCTCGCCACATGAAGCATGTTTCGCAAACACATGTGTTGGGTATTTTAAACAAACTTTCCCGTTTATTCCATTATATAAAGCATCGAACATAAATCATATCCAAGAGCCTTTTGATGGTTAAGCACTTTGATGTTGCCATAAACATTGCACACATCGTCCATTTTAATGCCGAAACATGTGAAAAAGAAGGGAAATAATGTTTTTCAAAGTGCATGTACTTCAATTTGTAACAAATTTTTAGGTCAATTCTTTTTATCTGTTTTTTTTAGGCAAATGAATGCATTCGTTTGACAATTTTTTTTTGTTTGTTGTGTGGGTCGAATAACAATATTATGATATAAAAAGGATAAAATATCAAACATGTTTCCATTAATCAATGAATTGTGTTCAAAATCGTTTAATTGGCTTTCAATTTGCATGATAGAATTGACATCGAATGACTTAAATTTAATATTTAAACATTGAACTATAAAAGTAAACATAATTGACGGAGCTTTCAAAATGTTACTGCTCATACTTCTACTGTCAATATTTTTTTATTATTAGAAATTCAAACGAGATTCAATAAAAAACATGCAAAACCGAACGAATGAAAATCGGTTTAATTTAAGAATTTTTTATGCTGATGTTTCCTGTTGAAACGATGCTTCTTTCAATTCCATAAAATATTTTGCTTGCTTGAATGGCAGCGAAATTCTAACATAAAAAAGAAAAAAGTTTTGGTATTCAGGGAATTCTAACACAACTTTTACTGTTCAGTAGATGTTTACTTACTTACGGATTGAAACATTATGAATTGAAGAAATTCTTTTCATCGAGAGAAAAAAAATGCAGAGAGAAAATTATGAAAGCGACTCGAAAACGCAACAACACAATTTGTAAAACTTTCCGCACTTAAATAGTTTCCAACTGCATTCAAGTTCGTTACTCTGCCAACATAGTTAGTGTTGTTGAAACTTGCTTCAAGCAACGAAAATCAATAGAATTCTTTTTTACAATCTAAACTCTATCGTTTGATGATCTCACACATTGTCTGTGACCTGGTGAATGGTAATGACGATGACGAGAGATGAGAGATGCAAATGCAATTCTTCCTATCAATTGTAAATTTTATCATTGATTTCCTTTCTCCACACGACATGACATGACTGTCATGACGGTGCTTTCACAACTTAATTTAAATACTTACCACGTTCAATGTTCTTGTGGAAAGTTTTCCATAAATTTCATAAAGAGAAGGAAAAAGAAAATTTTATTCTTTGTCTCGGCTTCATACAAAACCAATCAAAACATGTTACAAGCGGGAAAAGGGAGATTGAAAAAAAAATTGTAATATAATTCAATATGTTGACTTTTTGATTGTCACTTTTGCTTGGAAAATTCTATCCGATTTATTCTCATTTCCTTCTTTTATGTCTTTTTACTTCCTATAGATCATGGAAAAGTGCTGAAAACAATAAATGCCGCATCAGCAGATGACTCAAGCAAAGTGTCATCGGTGGTTATTGAAGAGCTTGATGTGCTAGCAAAGCCCGAACCAATTAGGAACTTGAAGATTGTCCGGACAATGCAATATGGTGAGTTTGATGTGTCATTATTTCTTTGGTTGCGAACATAAGAATAGAAAAAAAACAAAAACCTCTGCTTTCAATATTCTTCTATTCGAAGATGTCACAAAGTTAAACATGGGATGCTTTCGCATCTTTTTTCTTTCTTTTTCTGCAAAGTCATGTAATCGTCTCCGAGATCAAATGTCGGGGTAAAAGTTTCCCATCACTTTAAACTTGATTGGGTTCTCAAGATAAGACAAAGAGTGGAAACAACGGCATTTGTTGACTTTCTCAAAGAATAATAACTCGACATTCTCAGTCATATCGGAAAACTCTCAATTTTTATCACGCTATAGACCAATGGACATTATCATTCAGTCAAATGGTCACAACGGAGCTGAGTGAAATGAAGCAGAAAAAAGGAAACATTTCCTTTATTTCTTTAACATGACGTCATCAATTTCCTGACTTTTCTCTCTTTTTTCTTCGTCTTTTATTTCAAGTTGAAAAGAACAAAAAAAAAGAAAATATAAAACAAGAAAAGGAAAAGCCTAAAGCGGTCTTTGGAGGGAGAAAAAGGCGAGTCGAAGAATAAGAAAGCAAACACACGAGAAACTTTTCATTTTACTTTTCTTCATCTTTAATTTATTCTTTTTCCGCTTCGAGTTCGAGTAGCTGAGGATGGAAGAGAATAAAACAAAAAAAAATTGTCTTTGCGCGTCTCATTCTTCTTTTTTTTGTTCAAGTCAAGATGATTTTGTTTTGTCTTCGCCTCCTTGAGATGATGATGAAGGAAAAGAAAAGAGTGAGAGCTTGTAGTGTTGTTATTACGGGTGAGGGTAGAGACGAAGGAAGTGAAAGACTTCGAATACATAATTTCTAATTTAATTTGAATTGCTTGAGTTTTTTCGTATGCTCATTTAGTTTGCGCTTGCTTTAACATCGCTGTTTTCCATTTCATTTTATGCTGACGATGGCGAGAAGGAAAATTTTCATACAAAGCTAAGCAAAGATTTTTTCCGATGAAATAAGATACAAGAAAAGAGTTTTTTTACAAAGTTTTCTTCAACAGAAGGGAAAGTGAAATAACTTTTTGTTATTCTAATTGATGATGAAACATAATTTTATGTTTCTTCTTTTTTACTCTGCTTGGTTCAAGCAATTAAATCGGTAAAAGTGCGACAGAACGAAGAAGCGTTGCTAAGAATGCTGAATTAAGTTATAAAAGCGTCGTCGAAATAACTCTAGTATCAATTACTTAGTGTCGATGATGCTGAAGGCAAAAAGCGAGAAAGACACGACGGCATGTTTCAGAAATTCTTCGTTTTGATAATCAAGAAACGAAAGAAAAACTTTTCCTTCAATCCCATTTCTTATCAAAGTCGTCGTAGTTACAAAACCAGATCGCTTGGGTATAAAAAAAAAGTTTTTAACAAATTCGAATTGAAATGAAAAATCAATTTTTTTTATGTCGATCTGGAAGATGAATAAAAAATGTAATTGAGAGGAAAATTTTTATCCCAAAACTTTTTAAGAATTCATTGCAAAATTAACCTTTCTTTGTACACGCAATAATGACGCAAAAACAATTCTAAGAAAGTTTCATAAACTGAAAGCTTTTTCCGCTCTCAATTAAATATTTTCGTGCTTTTTCTATGTAAACAAGAAAAGATTGAACTTGAATGTGTTTACAATTTAATATTTCAGTTTCCATGGTTTTAAATTTTAATTAATTGAACTTGTGAAAATTACGTAATATGAAATTTTCTACACAATTTAAATATCAAATTACTAATTAATTAAATTTCGTTTTCACAAACTTAATCACCTAAATATGTCAAAATCACAATTTCAGTTTTCTTCACAATCACTCCGGTCAACTTTAATCCGTAATTTAATTAAAATTCAAGTTATCTTTTTGAAATTTCACTAATTAAAAATTCTCTGATATTCTCAGCAGCAGATGTGAATGAAAATCCTTTGAAGTAGTTTTCCTTGGTTAAAGAAAAATTATTTCCACGATACAATGGAGGGGAAAAATATTTATTTTTATTTTGAAAATTGAAAATTTACCAGAAAAAGGCCTCGGGATGAAAATTTTGTTTCTCAAACCAAAACACTTGAAAAGTCAATTTATTCCTGATAAAACAATAGAGTTAAACATCGACTTTCTCACCACAGGGCATAACACAAAAATATATCAATTTCTCAAGACTTTTCCCTAATCTCAACCTTTAAAGATTAATTCGTAATTGCTTTCATTTCCTAACCTTGTTTATCTCAAAATGAAATGGTAATAAATAAACACCACCAAATGATATTTAGTAGGTTATCTTACACCTACACAAGATTAACAATAAATTTAAACTTAAATTACTATTACAAGTCTACAGTTCAGTGGATAATTTGATGTTTGAAAAACCTTCATCAAGTTCATAACTTTTTTTCCCTCCAGTTTTTAAATAGAATCCTAAAAATAACGAACAAGGCTTAGAAGAAAATTTAAAGGAATGAAAAGCTCTGAAGTATAATACGCGATGATAATTTATGTTTTATTATTCTCTTCTTTACCAAGCCATAAATATGTTTAATGTGAAACACGCGACACAAGAGTAAATAAAAGTTAAGGCAAGAAAATTGCTTTTCAACTGCATAATTATTCATACTCACATGTCATTCATGCTAACGTTTTCGCTTCTTCTTTTAATTGAAGCCTTCATTTACATCGTAGAAGAAACTTTTATAAAAATAAAGAAAAAGTTCAAGATTCTTTCCCTTCTTCCTTTTTCTTACATATAAAAAGTTGCTTGAATTTCAAAGTCGATTTAATGACTTCTGATTGTTGTTACTTACAACTCACTCACATCAATCAAAAGTTTACGCTGCTAATTCCAAATCAATTTTACTCACCTTAATCTCTTCCGTAATGAACTAAAATTTAACTTTTTTCAGATAATAAATATTTTATTAGTTTCTAGAATAATTTATAACGTCAAATTGGTATTTCATTAAGTTTGCTTCTCGTTGATCGTCTTATGTTTATCAACTCCATCAAGTTTGGGAAAAATGTTGTTTAGTGTCTCGAGAACTGATCCTGATACTTCCTGAATGTCTTTTAAAACTTTATTGTCATGAGATGATGGAGTTGCTTGAGGTGAATAAATTACTTCATCACTAGGTGAGATGGAATCGATGTGCTGTGCATAATGAGTATTCGATTGAACATTATTATGTGGTTGGCTTAGGTAGTGAATCATACCTGGATCGGTGTCAATTAATCCACGTGTAAATGGACTGTAAACTTCGCTATCTGGCTTAGGTGGCATGTGATATGTTGACACAATGAATTCTGGTGGAGTCAAATTTTCAGCAACTTGACTTGGTCGTTTCAATGGTGCTTGCTTTGCAACTCTCGTTTGAGTGTAATGTGGATGATAATTGTAAACGGGACGATGTGCTGAATAATCTCCATCATAATGTCCTGGTTTATATCGATTCGCTTCTCTTTTAAATAAATCTTCGTGATCATCATGTCCATGACCACCGAATTCATTGCTGAGTCCAAATAAATCTGCACCATGATCATCTTCTTTATGAAAACTTGACCCAAATAACTTTAAAAGTGGCCCCAATAGTCCATGCTTGTTTTTGAAATGATCGTGTTTTCCAAAAAAGTCAAAAGGATGATGTGAATGATGTTCATATTCATGTTCATGGAAATTATGTTTGCCAAATATATTGCCAACTTGTTCATGGAAGAAATGTTTCTTTGCTTTGAAAAATAAAAGGAATAAATGGAACTTAATTATGATAGCGACAGCGACAAGTAATTTCAACTTGATCACAGCTTTTATTCCTTTGATGAAGGCGTGAATGACACCACCAATGAAAGCAACAGCCATCATCATAATCATCTTCTTCTTCTTCATCAGATGTTGCTTATGTTTATGTTTCTTGCCGCGACCATCGATTACTGTGAAACAAAAAGAAATATTTAAAACCGTCATCGTAAACTAATTTAAATAGATACAAATATGGGACTCGGAAATAAATTTTTGGAAAGAAACTAAAACCATAAAATAAGAAGAAAAAGCAGGTGTGTCGTGCTACTTTTTCCCAAAATATTCGATTTTAGTCTCTTTCTTTTTAGTCTGTTTCTTGCCGCGACCATCGATTACTGTGAAACAAAAAGAAATATTTAAAACCGTCATCGTAAACTAATTTAAATAGATACAAATATGGGACTCGGAAATAAATTTTTGGAAAGAAACTAAAATAAGAAGAAAAAGCAGGTGTGTCGTGCTACTTTTTCCCAAAATATTCGATTTTAGTCTCTTTCACATGATAGAAAGGAGAACAAATATTTATCATTAGCATAATCTTATCTCACCGTCATTGCTAGCTTCACTAATATCCCAATTAAACAAAAGGTTTTCCACTTGATCACGGAGGCTCATTGAGTTCTCGCTTGTATTTACTTCACTACTTTGTAATGTTGTAATCTCGGAGTTCTCTGTTGTGTTTGTTATTGCTTCCGCTTTAGAAATTAAGCCTGGCGTTATAAGAAAAATGCCAAGCACAAGTAATAAAGCCACATAATGATTATTGTCTTTCCACATGCCTGAAATGATAAAAAGCTTAATTTTTGTTTCTCTCGCACTCAAGTAACAATTAAGCTGATTAATTTTGTTTATTCGTACTGGATTTTCTTTTATTTTTATCAACAATCAACTGTTTACACTTAAAAACATTAATTAACACTTTGAGCAGTATCAATAAACAAGGAAATGTTTCTTACTGTAGCTAAAATCTTTGACTAAACTTTTGCTTTTGAACACTTCGAGATCTCTTCTTCAACTGATAATAAAATTGACAATATTCAGTCGATATATTCGTCTTCCCTACTTACAAACACAATCACTTTTGACTTCATTTTAAGAGATGAAACTGTTTTCTATTTCATTCATTTCTTTATTTCTAATAAAGTACGAAGAGATCCACCACATGTGATGATTTAAATATTAATGAGTTAAAATTCTTCTCTGTTTTTATAGTTAGACGCGCACAGAATCAGGTTTGCAGAAGAATTCGATGGTCCCCTAACACAGTTATTTTTAGATATTTATTTTAATTCATTTAAAAGCTTTGATTTACAGCCCATTTAGAAAGTCGATAAAATTGAAACAGCAAGTTTCATTGACATTTACTGATAACATATTTATGCAAATTTTAAAATCTCTTTTCTGCTGATATACATATCAAAGCTCTTCATTTAAATGATTAGAAATGAATAACAAAACATAATTAAAAACATCAAATAATGAAACATGTTCTACATTTAATTTGTTTATTAAACGTTCTTTACATTAATGAAATGTGAATTTTTTTATCATCAAAATCAACGTAATGAAAAAATTTCTTAAGTTGAAAACTCCTTTGACTTTCAAGAGCTTAATGAGAGCTTTAAAAGGAGAAAAGGAAATAAAATAAAACTCAACAATTTTAAGAGATAATCTTGCGTCTTCTTGTTCTTCTTATTAACTTTATGTTTTTACAAAAATGTCAGAAGAATTTTCCATTCATTCATCTATCTAGTAAAGTCATAAAAAATTCACAAAATAAGGATTGTAAGAATGACGAGAAATTATATTCCCATTTGGTTAAGTTAAACTACATAAAACTTGACATAAAGTTTAAAAAGAAATCTCCTTCTCTATCTCTCTTTCCTTCCTTCCATTAAGTCTGTAAATGCAGAATTTTGTGAAAGGTAACATGTGAGATTGTGAAACATATTTCCATGCTTAATTAAATTACATGTTTAGACATATCTAAATGACTAGGCAAAGCTGAAAAAGATTGATTAGAATAGTGTTTGAGTCAGAAAAGCTTCCAATATATCTTTCAGCTGTTACATGGTCAGCTTCATTTAGAATTCACAATTTTATGAATTCATTAAACACTCCCACATTTAACTCCAAGTTGAAAATTGATCGAGGTCAATGTGAGGTTTTATCATCTCAAAAAAGGGTTCTAGGGAATAATCACAATCCTTTTATCTAGCAGCTGCCAGACATTCTTTCAAATAGCAAAAAGCTTCCAATTAAAATTTAATAAAATATTTATATTGAATTATTCTTGTTGTTGGTTTTGCTTTAAAATGGTCTTCAACATTCATAAGCTAAGCTTAGTGTTTGGAGAGACACGTCAATTCCCAAAACATATTTAAAATCGCTCAATACTCGTCCATAAATAAATTCATTTATTAATATTAATTCCTCGCCTTTCTCTCTCTCATCGTATACATTACATGTATCCATATATCGACACAGTAATTTATTTATGTTGCTTCTATCAATTTGAATTTAATATTTCATGTCTTGAATATCAAATATTCGGTAAATTTTTCGAAAGATTGAAAGCTTTTCGTTGATAGGGGAACTTGCTTCTTCTTCTCGAGTTTCATTTTCATGAAACTTTCTATTCAATTCAATGCTTTCAAGGATGATTCATTATGTTTTGAGCAGAAACATTAAATCCAGAATACAAACCCCAAATGACTTTTAAATTTTCTCATACATTTCCAGAGAGAAAATCTATCAGTTGCTCTAAGGAATAAATCGAAGATGTAAAAAAGAAGAAAATCGCAAACTTCTGACATTGACTTGTGGTTTATTTTTCAAATGCATCTGGCGAGAAAATTTATATTGTTTCATGGGCAAAGATGGTTTAAGGAATCGTAGTAAATAAGACGAAAAAGATTTGTGGATTTCTTTTTTCTTTTTTTTTGTTTGCAAAAAGCTCAACCAACTACATCAAATGTGTATTAAACTGTTTCGCTTGAGAACACCGACAGCTGGCTTGGAAAGCTGTGTCTGATGTGATGTTTAAAAAATATTGAATCATGTTTGCCTTTCAGCTTTTCCCCCCTCACTCATGTTCGGCTTTTGGGTTGAAATGTATTCCATTCTTTCTTTTTTGTTTTTGTCTTGTTTCAACTTGTGTGTGTGTGCTAAAAACAGAAACATAGAAAACTGCTTTTTTAATGCTTAAAGCAAGCGTTCTTCTCACATATCAAACTTAAGCTTTTTCCCTTTCTCCCTTTGTTTTCCTTTATGCTGAAAATGCAGCTTTTTCCATGGAAAACTTTTATTTTGTTTGCACGATGGTGTTAGCTTTTATTATATTCTCATGTCGTCAGCTAACATTCGTTTAAAATTTAAACAGAATTCAAGACAGATCATCGTTCATCGTCTCATTGAGCTCAATGAGGTCAGTAAAAGTTTGACCAGTTTCGTTGAATACATTGTAATAATGATTCAAATTTTACAGTTTTTATGATAATTGCTTTTTGATGGAAATAACAAAAATGATTTATTTAATTGTGTGATAAAAAAACTTTTTGTTATCTCCATAAAGTTTCATCATTTTTGCTTCCTTAGATTTATTTTCTTTATTGAAAGTAAAATTTTGAGTGACGTAAAAAGGTTGATATTAATTTCGGAAAATTTGATTTCGTAAATCAATTTTGTGGAAATCAAGGTCGTAATAATAAGTTAAGGATAAGTTTGTGAATATCAAAATGAACAAAACTGTTCATAAAAAACAAGAATCGATCACAATATAAATGGGCAATTTATTGAGATAAAATTGTGATAAATGAAGGGTGGATTTGGTTAGAAAACATACAAAACAAGAATAAGGTTTTTCCCTTTCCTTCCATCAACATCGAGGTCGAGTTCGATAGCTGAAAACCCAAAATAAAGAAAGAAAAGAAAAAACTCTTCCATTATTTCTTTTTTTCATTGCTCGCTCGACAGATTATCGACATTTTTCGATTGTTCAATCGCTTTCAAATCAAATGAAGTGTAAAATCTCGAGACTTGAAGAAAATGACTTTATGGGTGGCAGAAGGGATGGTTGTTGAAGGATGAAGTAAGAGCAGACATGAAAACCACAATCTTCTCCAGAAAAAAGCAATTTTAAAGTTTTTTCATGATTGCATTTGATTTATTTTACTTTTTTTTTCGAGACAAAACTTTCCTTTCATGATCTTTTATTCTCTCATATCTCATTCCAGATCAACCCAAAGACGGTAATTACGACGATGGAAAATTGATCATTGTTACTGACAGCCAAATACTTGCTATCGCTTTACATCGTTGTAACAGTGAGAAAATAAACAGTTGCAGGTATTTTTAGCTTCACTCCCACTCAATTAAAGCTTTTCAATGGCAAAAGCTTGTATTGTTTAATTAACTTTTCAAACATTTTTTTACCATTTTTCTCTGTTTAGTGATTGTGTTGCACTGCAAGATCCTTATTGTGCATGGGACAAAATAGCTGGCAAATGTCGTTCACATGGCGCACCAAGATGGACTGACGAGACTTATTTCTATTCTCAAGTGGCTACAGGTCAACATTCTGCATGTCCATCAGGTAAAATTGGAACAGGAAAGGAAACCAACATCGAATCACAAAAAGGTTTACAATTTGCTTTCTTTTTGATAAAAATTGTAATGATGTAGAAATTCAATTTAAAACAACAAAATTTATTTTAATTAAATGAACATTCTAGAATGTTTCTTTCTTTTCTTAAATTCTGACATTCTTCATGATAAGAAGAATAAAGAAAAGGAAAGAATTGAATGAAACATTTTCATACAGCAACAGAAATTTTCATCGTGATTTATAATTTTCCATTTGAAATTTCTTTCTCGCCCACAATTTCCATTTTGAACGCAAGGTTATCGCGATGAATTTGACATGAGAAATGGAAAGGAGGCGGGAATCGTTCAAGATAAGAGCTATGATGGAATTGGTGGACCACAAATAACAGCTGATGCCATAAACGCTCAATACACTGTTGAGACTGTCGTGATGGCTGTGATTGCAGCCGCAATCTTTGCCCTTCTAGTTGGCTTCATCACCGGCTATTTCTGCGGTCGACGTTGCCACAAAGATGAAGACGATAATCTTCCATATCCTGACACTGAGTATGAGTACTTTGAACAACGATCAAATATTAATCGGTAAGCTTATAAATAATTGACTGCCAATCAATAAATTATCTTAATCTGTTTTGTTAGTTTACAAACCGAACCGAAGTTATTACCGCAAGTTGAAGAAGTGACATATGCTGAACCTGTTTTGCTACCCCAACCACCCAATCCCAATAAAATGCATCAACCGCCAATGGGTTCACCTAAAAGTACTTTACGGAAACCCATGATGGGACATCATCATGGTGGTGTCAATTCCGAAACATTATTCCAGGTAAGAAGAACTTTAAGGAAACTTTAAGCAAGAAAACTTTTCAAACTAATTTCACAACTTTTTGTTTTATTTTGTTGTGTTTGCAGTTCCAACCAGATGGTTACAATCCACCACGTGACGGCTTTCGAGGTCGCGACAATTTTGGAACATTGAGATCACATCAAGGCGACAACTATCGTCGTGATGGCTTCTCAACAACTAGAAGCGTTAAAAAGGTTTACCTCTGAGACGGGAATGGGGCGGCTGATAATCAAAACATAAATCAAACCAATAATTTATCGAATAACTTAAATAATCATCATCACAGCAACAATCAACAGCATAGCATGAATATTATAAGCAGCAATAGCGATAAAAGCAATAATTTGAATTCGCATCATCGCAGCCATCATCATCATAGCAACAGCAACAGTTCACATGGCACAACTGGAAATCGAATGCGAAGGCCGCCCCGACAACACGTTCAACATCGTTCAGAAAGTCCACAAAACTCTTCCGGCTCAGGCTCGAGTCCGGCTTTATCAAATAGTAGTTCTAGTCCAGCACCTCCGAGTTCTCCCAGTCCACAAGAATCACCGAAAAATTGCAGCTATATCTATAGAGATTGATTACAATTTAATACTACGCCGCCATCTCTAATGAATGCAACTTCAAATGCTATCGCAACTGGATCTTTTGACAAATCTTCCAATTCACCATCGAAAGTTAAAGCTATGGCAAATACTTTGCAGCCGAAGAAATCATCGTCGTCATCATCACCACTGAGCAAGATTAAATTTCATTCGATAAGTAAACGTCGATTTAGTGGTCAAAAGTTGTTGAATATGAATGAAAAGTTTCAACTTATCAACAAGAAGCATGGAACTTCGTCTTCATCATTCATCGGAAGTGATGATTATGATTATATCAACTATGGAGCGACAGATAAGTCAAGTGGAAGCGGTGGTAAGTCATCATCGTTAAAGAAATATTTTATGAAGTTTGCTGGTGACAAGACCAGCGATTCCACCAACTTAGAAGTCAAAAATCTCTTCCAACTTAAACGTCATCAACATTACCACTCACAACCAGCTGGTCGTACATCAACCAGCGATGAAAATGATTTCGACGTTTTAAATTTTTAATTTCATTTGAGATTTTGAATTTCTGATATCTGAAAGCATTGTATGAAAGGCAAAGGACAAAAATTTCTAGAAAGATGAAGAAAGTTTTCTTCTTGTTAAAGCTCTCAATAAAATGAGATAAGGGAAGGACGAAGGAAGGTAATCTGTAAGATTATGAACAACAAGAAGACGTTGAGTTTGCAGACAACTTGAAACTTTATACCGAAAACAACATGAATGGTGAGGAAGTAAAAATAAAAAGAAAATTATGCTAATGTAAGAAAATATGGCGCGGAGTATTTGATTTTAATTAAATTTGGCTTCTCTCAAAATCAACTTCTACTCAACTTTAAGCCACAAACACAAAGAAATTAAAAAAGTAAATGAATAAACTTCAAACTAAGCTTTTCCTGCTTTCTAAGCAACAAAATGAAATATTTCATAATCTCATAGACTTCAAAACAATTCATTGATATTTTTATTTGTTATTAACTAGCATTTGATGATCCTTTTTCGTTTATAACTCGGAGTTTTTCTTCCTTTTCTTCTTTAGAGAAAACTTTTTAAAAAATTATATAAATTTCATATATTTATTAATTAAACGCATAAATGCATATATCTGAAAGAAAAAAAAAAAGAAAAGTTAAAAAAAAAGTTCTTTTCTTTATTAGTAGAAGAAATCATAGCAGTAACAATAAGAAGAAGAAGAAGAAAATATTATTAAATATATGAAAAAGTAAGGATTGATAACATTTAGTGATTTGTAAAGTTTTTTCCTTAGAAAATGCTTCAGCCTTAAAATTGGCTAAGCTGAATATATGAGATTAAGAACTTGCCCACAAAATTCATTTCTTATCAATGATAACAAAAACATTTTTATAGCCAAACATTGGAGAAAAGAAAAACAAGAAAATCTTCTGTCCATTGTTTTTCAAGTTACATACTTACATATAAACTCATAATAATGATGATAGAACAAATAGAAATCTTTGTCATGTACGATACAGATAATACATATATCTTGAGTAAATATGTTTCATCATGAGGCTGCAATGAATGGCAATTCATTTGACACAAAATAAAAAATGAAAATTATAGCAAAATTGTTGATAAAACTATGTAACTCAATGACGATGCATTTAAGTAAACAAATCACGAATCTCATAAATTCATTCGAATATCTTTTATTGTTATAAACTTTTGATGATACCAAAGAGAAAAGAATTTTCTTCTTTTTATTACGTATATCTAAAACATAAAATTTTCTAGGATTTATAAATAATTTTTATTATCGCAGTTTAGGTTTGTACATAACGTTTAAGATGACTAAGTTATGATTCAAAATATCATGATTTTCAGACTGATAAATGTGTCCCTATTTAGTTTGTATTTTCGCTCCTCTTTTCTGTTTTTTTTTACTCCACGAAACAAGAAGACAAGAAAAGAAATTCTTTCATAAAAGAAGCAAAAATAAGAACATAAAAATGTAAATAGTAGAAAGTAAGAGATAAGACATTTTTGTTTATGAATTTATTATGATTTTCAATCAATCATCTGATGAATGAAAGGGATGAAAGTAAAGTAGAAAAAAAAGTAAAAACATTAGCAATAAAAGTCAACACATTTTGCATTAATCAATCAATCAATCAATCAAGTTGGAAAGAATAAAAATGGTGTGAAAAGAAAAAAAAATCTTATTATATACAAAAACACAAGGGAATAAAACTCTATTTAAACTTACAAAACTAATATGAAAAATATGACAACCTTAAAGTAAATTTACACTCTCATAATTCTATTATATTCTCAATTGAAAAATTATCTCAAGTAATTTAAATTGAACGGATAAAAACGATGACAAAAAAATTGTCATAGTGAGTTCGTTGTTTGCTACTAGTAGCAACGAATCGAGTTAAAATTTAATTAAATATTAAAGTTTTCATTGCTGCTTGAATCTTTTTAAGCTCGGTTAATGCAAGGATGAATGAATAAGCTTGTTTTCAGGTAAAACCAAACATCTGTTATCAACAAAGTCCTGGTCTAATAAATAATTAATTATCTCTTGTGAAATGCTTTCAATGGTTGAGTTGCAATAAATATTTTTTTATTTACGCGTTATTTAAGTGTTCTATAAGATATTTAAAAACAAGAAAGAAAACATACGTACAAGAACATCATTATTTTAATAAGCAAATCATTTATCTTATCACAATAATTAAATCAAATGCTCTCTTTCTCTTTTTCCTTATAATGATAAATATCAGGTAATCTTCGTCATCACGTAACAAGTTTCTTTCATCTTAAGTCTTTAATAATGAAGATTAAAGAATGAGAAGGCGTTGAAAGCTTTCTTTCCATCTCAAATATGAAGATATAAACTTGAAAAGTTTCAATTCCAAAGCTTTTGATGACAGAAGAAAGTAAAAAGATCATAAAACAATTAAATATTAATTTTTATTAATAACAAAAAAATATATATTAAAAGTGCTTCTTAAAAATGTGAAAAAGAAAAAAAAAATACATCAAAAGGAAATAAAATAAAATAAAATGAAATAAAAAATTGTCAACGTGGGCACGTGGAAGATTCTTTAGGTGAAAGACGCATTAGAATGACAAGATGCGCATTTAACAAAATAAATTAAAATGAATTATTTATTCGCTTCAAATATACTATAATAAAAGTTTTTAACATGACAATTGACTTAATGAAAATGAAAATCAGTAAAGTAGTGAATTAGAGTAGAAACAAATTTAAACGAAAATGGAAAATGGGAGAAATAAGTTCACTTATCATATGACATTCGATTTCTTTAATCGAAGAATATAATTTCCTTTAGCTCTGTTTTTCCACGAGCAAAGTTTCGATTTACACAAAATTTTATTTTAACATTGCGTGGGTGTCATCTACTCAATTTTCTTCATGGAAAATTTCGTTGCAAAATATCTTGTGAAAAAGAAGGAAAATAAAAATACGTAAAAAATGTTAGCTTTTCAGTTTAGCTTGCTCAAGAGTCTTTTATTAAAGTTTGTTTGAAAAACTGCCAATCATGCAGTCGATAAAAATAATTTCTCATCAAAAGAAAATAAAAATCACAAAATATCATCAAAAACTTAGAAAGGAAACTCATCAAACTCGTAGTGAATTTCATAGTTCTTCTTCCGACTAATAAATAAAAGCCATTAAAAGATTATTGAGAAAAAAACTTAAACTAGTGATAAACATAAGTCAAAGAAATACAAGAAATAATTACTTTTTTACCAAAATAGATTTAGTCAGCATGCAAAAGTGGATAAAAGCTCTTTCTCTCTTTCTCTCTCTCACTTTCCCCGTATTCACTTTAAAGTTTAAACACACTTACCCATCATGCTAAATAACATCAAAGAAAGACGAAAATAATTTCTTTTTTCAATGGTAGGAGAACATTCATCATAATCCATTGAATTTTCAACCATTAGACTCGACGATAGAAGGTAGAAACCTTGGCTTTATCATTCAAATAAAAAGTTCTTTTTCCTTTCACGTCATAAAAAATGGTTGAAGGAGAAACCTTATCATAAGATATTTTCCTTTCATTCTTCTTCTTCAATATTTTCCCAACGTCGGATAGCAAAACGATATCGAAAAAAAATATTCAAAGTTCCTTTTCTTCCGTTTTTTTACCCTTTAAATATCGAAAGCAGCACACAATCAAGTCAATTTCATTTTAATTTTTTATTTTCTTCTTTCGTTTTTCATATCATATAATTTAAAATGTGGCGAAAGAAAGCAAATGATGAGTCACGTTGTGAAAATTCTCTTGCCATGCTAAACATTTTCCTTTAGCTTTCGTCTCCTTCCATGAATCGTAAATAAGATAAAGCGAACAAGTGCTTAGCATGAAGCTCACGACCCCACTTTCTATCGTACGCGGGAAAAAATTTCATTGATGGTAATGTTCGAAGATAAGATGGAAAACTTCGATTAATGCCAACGCGAAGAGTTTCAACGCTACGAATCTTTAACTAATGATAAAGTGAAAAGTAAAATTCTAATTAAAATTTCAAATGTTATAAAACAGTTCGAAGAAGTTTTTCAGCTTCCAATCTTCTTCCTTTCTGTTTTATGAGTTTCAAGATGTTCAATGTTCAATTGAAGAAAGAAATCTGAATCCACGAATCCATAAGAAGAATTAAACAAAATGAAAAACAGCTAACAAAAAAATACTAAAAAGATAAAAAATTTCTGAATGAAAAGACTGAAAATGAAGAAGAAAAAATAAGTTTCGGATGAGTTAATATTTTCTTTTTTCCAATTTTCATGTCAATGCTTGGCGAGGCGAAGTTACAATATCTACGCCTATGCAAATAGATAAAAAAAAGTTGAAATTTTATTCCAATAAAATCTGAATCTCATGTGTGAAAATCTCTTTCCTATGTTTTCCATTTTGAAGTTTTTTTTTCTTTCTTTTCGTTTTGTTTTTTTGTTGTTTCGCGTACAAACAAAAAAGTTTTTTATCTCGTTCTTCTCAAAGTTCTGAATGAAAAAGCTTTTATCCAATATGAGAATTTCAAATAAAAATCCCTTAAAATTGCTAACAGCAAAGAAGAAGACACAAAAAACAAAACTCTGTGAATTTTGTTGTATGTAAATCTATGAAATTGCGGAACGTACAATTTAAAATCTTTTTGAGAAACTTCAAACGCATACAAAACTGTGATAAATAAAAAAGAATAAAATTGATGTTGCTAAAGCTAAACATTAATTTCATTTCAAATGATATTCCCATGGCGCATCACAATTTCTATCACACAATTTGACACCTTTTTTCACTCCCACACTCTGTCTCTCCGAACGAAATTTTATGTTGTGCAAATTATATATGAAGAATTCACAAAGTTGCTAATTTGACCACTGTTATGGTAATGTAAAGCGATGTGAGATATTTTCTAGCAGAGTTAAACTTCAAAAGTTAAATTCCCAAGTCACCGATAAAAGCTCTTTCATTCTTTACAATTCAAAAAAGTAAAATAAAGAGAGATTGAAGAAAAAGAATTCTTTTAAGTAATTTCGGCAAAAGAAGAAAAATAAATAAAAAGTTTCTCAAACGACACAAAACAGAAATGATTAAAAAAAAGAAAAGGAAAAAAGAAAGTTAAACTTTAAAAGAAATTTCAATTCCAATTAATTTCAACAACATGAAAAGGTTGCTATTTCGAGTTAGTTGAAGAAATGAACTTTTAATTCGTGCAGAAGTTTATCGACTAGCAGTTTGATTGAACAATTTTCCGTTGTTTGCTATTCAATTTTTTTTCTTATTTTAAATTCTATTAAGAATGAAAAATATTTAGAGCAGATACCTCTAAAGAAATGCTAAAATAATTAAATAAAATAATAAGAACGATTATAATTATTATTATTATTATGATCTTAGACCATAATTACACTAAACAAGAAGAGAAGAATTAAAACATCCCAAAAACAATTCCATCTTTTAAACAATTTAGCTGTAAGGAAAAAATTATTGAATGAAAAAGGAGCGAAAAACCTAAAAAAAAAGGCGAGACATAAATCATGAGAACCATGAATAAACAGTCCTCGAGTGGGTGAAGATGAAACTGTAACAAAAAATAATGACAAATGATGAAATATTTAAAGAATTAATTAAATTTTTTGATTAGAAATAAAAGAAGAATGAAAAATTAACAATGCGAGGGTTTTGCTTTTTTGTCATCTCTTTTGAATCGAAATTTCAGGTAGCTTTGACATTTGACGTCAAACGATTGAAATTACATTTTCAGGAAATCTTCTTTTGGATAATTAACATCAAATTCGCTCAAAATTCTCGTAAAATGTCGATAACTCAAGATCAACAACAACGTAAATAACTTCCAGCGTTTTCTATTCTAAAATTAAATTTTAATTCATTAATTTCAGTGGAAAAAGTTTCCGACAATGAAAAAGATCAAAAATCGACAGAACAAAATGCTTCTGAAAGTCAGACGCCAATCGTTGAACCTCCAAAGTCAATTCTTGATGCAAATGGCTTTAAAATCATAAAAAGCATTGGAAGCGGAAGCTACTCAAAAGTTAAGGTAATTTCCACTTACGTCTTTCAACATTGTCAAGTTATGTCCTTAACATTCTTTTTCTTTTAAAATTCGCTTCCATTTATCGTACGTGACTTCGATCTGAAGCTTGCTTTCTCAGAAAACCATAAAGCATCGGTCGCAATTAAGATCGTGCCGAAGTATAACGTCCCTGAAGAATTTTTAAGGAAATTTCTCTACAGTGAAATCACAGTGGTGAAGTTTCTCAAGCATGAAAATATCATCAAATATTATCAAAGTATTGAAACATCGCACAGGTTAAAGCTCCAACAACGTTGATTTCCTTTTTATGAAACTTTCATTCTTTCTTCTTCAGACTTTACGTTGTCATGCAATTTGCTGAAAATGGTTCAATCTTGGAACTGATTCAGAGAGAAAAACGAATCTCAGAATCGCGAGCTTGTGATTTCTTTCGACAGATTATGAATGGAGTTGAATATTGTCACAATCAGAAAGTTTGTCATCGTGATCTAAAATGTGAAAATATTCTTCTTGATGAGAGAATGGTTATTAAGATTATTGATTTTGGTTTTGCAAAATGCTACAAAGATATTCCGAAATCATCGGGGCAAGAGAAACTTGAATCTGCTTTGCCAAGCGTTTCAAAAGCCAACGAATCAATTGCAACGAAGAAATCGTCAGGCATCAAGAAGAAAGCACTTGACCCAATGCTTTCAGAGACTTATTGCGGATCATTCGCTTATGCAAGCCCAGAACTTTTAAAGTCAACACCATACGATCCTTTCATGTCTGATATTTGGGCCATGGGTTGTGTGCTTTATGCGATGGTATTCGGTCGACTTCCATTCGATGATAAATATCCAGGAAGATTGATTCGAGTATGTAAACATATTGTTGAATATTTAATAAATGAAATCCTCACAAATCTCTTCTAAAAACAGCAAGTTCAACAACCAGTTCAATTTCCAACGTCTGTTCATGCTTCTGATGAATGTAAATCTTGTATCAAGAAAATTCTCGCACCATTAAAGCGACGTTGTTCAATCGGCAACTTAAGAGAAGATCTATGGATTCAAACAGCTTACACGACTGAAAAAACACGATCATTACCACGTTCTTTAACGTCACGAAACTCAGCATCTTGATTCTAAATTTTACTTCCATCCAACATCTTTACATCGACTCATTATCCACCAAATGTTTTCGCAATCATGTTCATAATAAATTTATTTGTTGGAGAAGAGTGAGATTTATAATTTCACTTGATGATAAACTGCTGTTTGTAAAAGTTCCATGGCTTTAGCCTCCAAAACAGTAAAAAAGCCCGTCCCAAGTCTCTCGAAAACAGCGAACAAAACAAAATAAATTTTCTTTCTCTCTTTGCACAAAACTTCCATTAATGAGTCTAAGAACTATCTAATGGCTCCGAAGTGAATGAAAGAAAAACAAAAAGGAAAAACTGTAATAACCCTGATGTCACATAGTTTCACCATAAATCAATGTTTTAATTGCCTTACACACGCACTACGAAACACTGGGGATGGCCCAGATGATTTCACATAAAAGCTTCCGTTTCAGCTTTTTTTTTCCTTCTCTCTTTCTCTCTTCGTTTTCGGGTGAAATGTTTCGAAAGTTTTGTATTGTGCGGTCGTTTTGCTATCCATAAAGTGCTTATGTATGTATGTCTCATCAATTAAGCGAAATGTCAAAAGCACCTTCATAAATTTTCACGTTCGAAAGTTTCGAAAAAGCATAAATATAATGTGAATGAATGAAATTTTCTTGTTCTACCCCATGAACAGTTCATTGTAGCAAATTGGAAACGAAATAGAATTGACGATTGTCTGTTTTGTATTTATTTGGAATCAGTTGAGGGGAAATTTTCTGGGTTTTCTTCATGTTTTCAGATTTTCTAAACCTCTAAACATAAGTAAGACAAAGTTATGTAAACATTTGTGGATTTGCATCGACAACGAGAGGTTGAATGCACTTTATCAAGAATCTACTCGAGGGTTGAATAATTCAGTGAAATCTTAAAAACTTTATTAAGTTGAGAGCTGAAAGCATCTTTCGAATGATTTATTACTACCGAGAGAAACTTTTGGCATTTGTTCATCGACATTAAGTGAACAAGAACATTTCATTTCTACTTTTGTGTTCAGGAATGAAACTTAATAAATTACTTAATTTTTAATTGCTGTTGAAGATTGGAATTTCGTTTTGCGAATAAAAGAAGAAAGTTTTTGTTTAACTTGCACGCTTGCAACCGCAACAAACGTTGTTAACTTACTTGCCAATGTTCGGGTTTTAATCATTTAGAACGTCAACCGCCATTACCGTTGCATCGCAACAACTGTTGTCATAGTCATTTTAAATGTTTTGAACATACAAAAAAATGTCAAATTGAGTCTGGAAATTGTGCAAACAGACAGACGCAATTTAATTCGTTTTTAATTGCCTTGAAAGTCATGGAATTTAAACTCATATTTAAATGAAAGGATTTTTAATGTCGTTGTCTACATTGAAATGTTCTTTAAATTGTCGGAAGAATTTTCTATTTATGAATAATAAGACGACGATGATGAAAATTAAGTTAACGTTAATATAATTCATTCATTCAGTCGAGATAAATGAATTTGTTTTAATTCAATGATTTGTGGATACGATTAAATTGTTCATCAACGCTTCTCTAAGCAACTGTTACTTCAGATCATCAAGAGGTTTCTTTACAAGTACTCTCGATAGATCAAATAACATTTTGTGTTCTTCATTCCAAAAATACTTTCATTTCGATGATGGTAAACATCATAAAAGCTTCAGTGAACGACAGAAACTAAAAATGACAATGGTTTCGATGACATTGCCAACAAGATAGCGCACAATGTCAGCTCAACAGTCTTGAGTGTTGGAAGCATTGATAGCGTGCTTCTCTATGGACACGGTGAAAGAAAATTCTTTTCTGATTTAATTTTTATCTACAATTTCAACCGAAAAAAGATGAAGAAAATGAAGAAGCTCAAATAACGTGAATCATTGAAGTTTAGCTTTCTTTTTGTTTGATGTTTATCTATTTGAATTCAAGACTTCACCCTTATCATGATTATGAAATGAAAAGAAAATCAATATCGAGACGAAATCATTGGTGTCAGCTGGCAACAATTTATTATCAATGTCAATGCTTTGATCTCCCTTTCTTCCTTTGATTTCTATTCTCATGCTTTAATTAGAAAAGTTTATGAAATTTTATATCATTTATTTAATGATTTCTCAAAGAAAATGCTAACAACATGAAAATCAAAGCACGTTTCTCATAAGTATTATAATTATTTCCAACCGCTCATTATTATGGTGCAGTCGGTGAACCGCACAACTCGTTTAACAATTTCAATGAAAGATTTTTTTAATAAATGTTACGACTTCACATGATGCAATTTCTAAGAATTTCTTTTCAATTGCTTTCCTAATAACCATTTATGAATGGAGAAGTTGAAAGATTCCTCTCTCCAGGAGTCGAAGAAGTGAAGTAACTGAACTCATGTCAAGAAATTTCTTTCATTATTACACCCCGGGAAGAAACTTCATGATAGTAAGTTTAAATCAGAGATGTAACTTTGACAAATATAACTCAATTTACTCTGTAGCATGACACAAGTCATTACATTCCTGAAAACTCAAGTCAACAAGTGAAATTTACGCCAACGTAAAATGCAACAAAGTTGTCAAATCTCATCCATGAATTAAGTTTTAAAAGAACTTTATAAAGATTTAAGTGAATTTCCTTTATTTATTCTTCTTCATTTAAAAAAGAGAAATTGAAAAAATCTCAAGTTTTCATTAAAGAATACAAAACTCGATTCAATATAAAAGCTTATCTCAAGCTGAGAACTGACAGCTTAAAATCCGTCGTCATCTTCCTCGGCCATTTCCTTTGCTAATTCCAAGTCTTGCTGTTCACGTTCAATTCTCTCTTCGGCACTTTCTAATTCTTTTCCATAAGATTTCGGTGGATATCTCATCGCCTTGACACTTTGATTGTGAAGATTTAAGCAGAAAGCAATTCGTTGATGAAAAGCAAGTTGTGGCTCGCGTGTTGAATAAATGTCGGTGCTTTCCTTGCTTCTCATCACACCCTTTTCAGGATCTAAAGTTGCCTCAATTACACCATCACGAATTGCTTTCGCAACAATAAATTCCGCATCTTCTTTCGAGTGAATTCCGAGTTTTGTTGCAATGTCAGCTGGCGAAATTCGTGAATATGACAAACCAATTGAACGAATCGCTGTCTTGATGACATTATGACGCAAACGAATAATGAGAGTAAACGTGTGATCTTGACGGAATTGCTCGCCAAAATTATTGAGAACTTCACCAAACCGTTGAAGATTTCCCAAACGCACAGCTTGCGTGAGTTGGAAGTAAGGCGCAAGAGAACGTCTCAAAGCAGTTTGACGGAACGTCTGACGTTCGGGAATATCTCCAAGCAACAGTTCGACAACAATCACAAGCTTTTGAACAGTTTGACGGAATCCAATCGCAGCATGTTGAGGTGCTTTTCGCAATGCTTGAATCAAATGCTTATGAGCAACGGTATACTCTAACTTAGCAGCTTTTATGCGACCCAAATAGTACAGGAAACGAGCATGTTCATTGTTGCTAGCAGATTCAGGGAAAACGGTTTTGGTCACTAACTTGTCAGCCTGATCATAAAGTGAATAATGAAGATAATTCCGTAACAAACAATTGATAAGGACAGCTTGTCCTTCAAAATCATTGCGCAGTGTTGCTGTCCTCAAACGAGCATGAAGAAAGCCACGAATCGTGTCAAGTTTATTTGTAAGCTCAGCGACACGAGAATGGTAAAAGTAACTTTTTGCTGCAATCAAATCTAATGATCGACGGTTCTGTGTCATAATTTTATTCATAAGTTGTTGAGCTGAAATGATTATGGAAGTTAGGAATATATTTAGTGATAGATGAATGAATTAAACTTACCGCAATTTGATGCTTTGTCGAGCAAATTTGCATCCAATAATCGAACAAGCGCTAACAGATGAAAATATGCATCGACTTCTGGTAATGGCGTTTTAACAGCTGTTCGAGGACGAGCAACTTCTTGATCACCTGGACATTCTTCTAAGAATACTACAATCGCTTCTCTTTCAGATCCAATTGGATAAAGTTGAGTTGCTAAAGTTCTCAAAACATTTGCGTTCAACTTTCGACGAGTGTTCGGTAATGTACGTAAAACTCGTAAAATAAATCGAGGTTCTTTACTTGAGACTGCTTTGTCAATTTGTTTTACGTGTTCACGAATTTCTTGCATTGCATTTAAGTCTGCATCCTTCTTTAATGCTTCTGGATCTTGTTCTACATTTTCCACCACCTCCATTTCAACATCTTGTGTTGCAACCATTTTACTGCAATAACGGATAAGAATTCTTAAATATAAACTTGATTAATTCACAATATTTAATGCAATTACTTGTATTTAATAAATTTCTTTTTTCTTTCTCAGAAATCTGCAATTCATTCGGGGTATTAATCTTTCATTTAGGGAGTGCGTTCAGTGGGAAATGTAACCCCTCGAATTTCAAAAACTTTTGCAAGTTCAACGGTCGTAAAGTTTACAAACAAACAAACACATCTCGTGGATTCTTAATTATTTTGGATTTAGAAGCAATTATAGTGTAATAAAATGGAAAGCGTAACTCAAGATACAGTACTTATTTGCTGTGCTTCCATTGAATGGTTGAATTCTCAAAATGTAGCAATGAAAAAGATTATTTACAAAAATGCAAAACTAATTTTAATACGAAATGATATTCGTGAAATGTTTCTACAAATTGAACAAGATAAAATGACCACGACAAAGTTAAAATTGAAAGACATAAATGTGTTTAAAAAATTCATGGCGGAAGGAAAAGGTAACATAAATTTATACAGAATGTAATTAAGGAATTAAATAAAAATCAAAATTCCAGCGAGTATAAAATTCAATGCTGAAAAGTGCAGTGTTTATATTAGCAATGCTCCTCCTGGATGTCTCATATTTTTCCTCAAAACACTCTTTATCAAACTTACAAAAGATCATGCTGAAAATAAAACAATCAGCAAAGATGAAATGAACAAGAAACTCAGATCTCATTTATTGTCGGAGAAGTCGAATCACTTTGAAGAAATCTCACCTGTAACCAACGCTGAACTGGATCGTGCAAAAAAAGCTGTTGTTTCAAAAAGCACAGTTACGACACCATCACCACCAGCTTCCAAGAAAAGACGACTCATTGATGCGAAAGGAAATCCCAAAGCAGCTAAACAACTTTACGCTCCTTCACCTTTGTCGACCAAAAGTTCCAACGGAATCAAACCTGATGACACTGTAGCTGTCATGGAAGTTCTCAATGAAGAACAGAACCAAATAATGCAAGGTGAGTAATTAAAAACAAATTTTTCTTAAAAACTTTAATGGTTTTCTATAAATTTTCAGCATGCTTAAGCGGTCATAATATTTTCTTCACCGGTTCAGCTGGAACAGGAAAGTCCTTTTTATTGCGTAAAATTATTGCAGCATTTCCACCTGATGGCACAACAATAACAGCTTCAACTGGAGTTGCTGCTTGTCTTATTGGTGGCGTCACATTACACTCGTTTGCTTCAATTGGTGCTGGTGATCACTCATTAAAACGGTCAGTTGAATTAGCATCACGACCAGCACCTGCTCAAGTTTGGCGCAAATGTAAACGTTTGATTATTGATGAAATTTCTATGGTGGATTCAAATTATTTTGACGTGAGCAAAATCATGGAAAATCTTTGAATTTTCTTTTAATCTTTTTTTTTTACAGCTTGTTGAAGCTGTCGCTAGAGAAGTTCGACGTAATGACAAACCTTTTGGTGGAATTCAATTGATCATTTGTGGCGATTTCTTTCAACTTCCACCAGTTGTAAAAATTGATCGAGGCAATATTTACGAATATAAACGACAAGAACCAATGAAACGGTTTTGCTTTCAATCAAAATCATGGCAAAGTTGTATCAGTCGATGTTTTGAATTGAGAAAGGTTTATCGTCAAAAAGATCCGAAATTTATTGAAATACTCAACAGTATTCGGATTGGTCGTGTAACACCGGAAATAACAGAACAACTTCTAGCAACAGCACGACAAAAAATCGAGACAAATGGAATTCTCGCTACTCAATTATGTTCTCATACGAAAGATGCAGATTCGATTAATCAAAACAAACTTGCAAACCTGACGAGTGCTGAAAAAGTTTTCGAAGCAACTGATTCTGATTCTTACTTAACTAAAACAATTGACTCACAACTTCCTGTTCCTCATAAACTTGTACTGAAAATTGGCGCTCAAGTGATGTTGCTGAAAAATGTAAATTTATCAACTGGGCTCGTCAATGGAGCTCGTGGTGTTATCATTAAATACACGGATGGTTTTCCTGTAGTTCAATTCAAGAATAAGCAGGAATATATTGCAAAACCTGAGAAATGGGTCATTAAGACACCAACTGGAAGCGTTTTGCAACGCAAACAAGTCCCATTAAAACTTGCATGGGCTTTTTCCATTCACAAGAGTCAAGGACTTACACTCGATTGTCTTGAGATGTCGTTGTCAAAAGTTTTCGAAGCTGGACAAGCCTATGTAGCTTTAAGTCGTGCGCAATCATTAGACAGCGTTAGAATAATCGATTTTGAAGCTAAAACTGTGTTTGCTGATCCACAAGTTCTCTTGTTTTATAGAAACTTCCGTCGACAAATTATGGAAGTGCCAAACTACATTCCACTAGGACAAAAGAAGCAGAAAAATGATCTCAAGAGAACTTTAAGTGGATTGAAACTCACTAAGTCAATCATGGATAAACCTCTAGTGACAATAAATTAAATTAAATGAATAAAACAAACAAATTTAACTTTCACAACTAAATTATTCGTCCCGTTGATTGATTATAAAGTTTTAACGAGATAATTTACAATATTGATTAGAAATTTCTAATCATCAGCTGGTGACGTATTTGATTCAGCGTCTTTCATTCCTGATCCTACAGGTCCATGTCGTCGTTCCCAAATCATGCGATGCTTTTGTTTCATGTAACAAGTTTTGGCTGTGCCATATCCTCCTAAATCACCATACTTAGTGAACCAGTTTTCAGTTGCCTTCTCGTATATATCTAACAGTGGACGACACTTTGTCATATGATCTGGTGCTTCATACAAAACACAATCTTCAAAACGTAGACGAAGAATGTTGAGAATTTCGCTGTCCAGTTTCTTGTCACGTTTGAATTGTTCAGTAGCTTCAAATGCGCATACTTTATCATCAGAATAGCACTGATCAATAGTTGGAACACGGCGTAATTTTTCATGATACCACGGATATTTTTTCTGGTTAGGCTCGACGATTTTTTCTATGGAATTGAAAAAGAAAAAAAAATTACGCAATTAAATTATATTGATATAAAAAGATAATTTCATTAATTGAACTGTCCAACATTAAGATTGTACAATAATTAGACATTCTTTTTACACTATTTAAGGATTAAAAGGGAAATTAACAAAAATAAAACAGAAGAAAAATTATAACAACAAACCTTTGAACCAAGTAGTTGGACCATCAAGCATTGAACCAACAGCTTGTGCGAAGCCAATAATTACATTTCTCGGCTCCTGTTCCGGCATTTTTATATCGTGCTTACTTTAGAAGTGAGAGAAGTGATAATTATTATTTAAAGAAAAATTTTTATGATCAAAACTTTAATCGTTCTTCGGTAGAATAAAGTTAAGCTCAAGTCAATGATGACTTTAATTATTTTGTGTCTTTACTAAAGAATTCGTAGAAGTCATTAAGAGTTCTTTATAAAATTTGATGTATTAATTAAAATCAGACTGAAAGTTTTTCAATTTTGAGATCCTAATTTCTCGAATAATCATGAAATATGAAGTGATCTACTAATGTTTGAAAGGGAACTTTTTCAGTGAACCCGCCATACAACCAATAGTTGACTTCCCCTAAAAACATGGTGGTAGTAAAGGGTATACAACTATGAACATTTAAAATTCTCTTAAAATAAAGTCACAATAACTTGCTTTCATACGATGCGAAAATGACAAAATCAAGTGATAAGTAAATTAAATTCATAGACTACAGTTTGTCGACATCAAGTTCGAACATTACTGGCCTACCAAAACGCCGTTTTAAAGTCAAAAATAGTAAAAATATAGAAAGGAGTGAAAAAGAAGAAAACGCGAAAGTGAAAAAAATATAATTTTAGGAAATATTGTGTCTGAAAGAAGTGAAAAGAAGTTAGCTGCCATAATATTGTCAAGAACATAAATAAAAGCTCTCAAATGCAGGCGTAAAAAGAGGAAAATTAAGAAAATTGTGAGAAAATTTTATAAATTTGCTTTCAACGCAAAAAGAACTCACATAAAGAGCTTTAAAGAGCTCCCAATCCCATCATCGTGTAAAAGTTAATATATCTTAGCAAAACCATCATGGTTGAGGTGTCCAAAGAGGATCTTGTAACCTGGTTTCAAAAAATGCAAAGCTATAAACGAATCGACATAATGTGTACATTACTCAACTTGTGCCTTCCGTTTGAGTTACGTTTTCTGGGAACGTGTCTAGAAGAGTTAGGTCGACGCGATGCTCAAGATTTGCGAGGCGTCGAACTTCGTGTTAATAATCCACAAGAATTTGTTAATGAGCTGGGAGCATTCCAGAAAGGATTACCGAACGACACAAAGATCCGCAGAAAAATGGCTTTGTACCTTGCACTTATGCGTGCATGTAATCGAACTGGTGTTATTGAACTTTTCAAGACACTTGACCGATGGGGAGAATTTGATTTTACACAATTTAGCGATGGTGATCCACTAAAAGAGCTTCTGCTCGTTTATACGATGGCCGCCAATCATCCAGTCTTCAGCTTCGAGCAACGACTCAAATGCGGTGAAATTTATAGCAAAATAATATCAAGCAAAGCACATTTGAATCTACAATCACCTGAGACAACATCACCGATCACATCTCCACTAACATCGTCGAATTTTAGCACTCAACATCAGCAACAGCATCAAACGACATCACCACCTCCGTTCCCTTCAGCGACATTTCAACAACCAACACCACAGATCATCAATCCTCAAACTCAACAGCAAATACCAAATCCTATACTTATGGCTTTTCCGCCAAACGTGACTCCGGTAAGCATGAAGTCATTCGACTTTTTTCTTTCTTATCATTTGATGTGATGCGATCAATTATGTAATTTGAGTGTTTTGAATAGAAATCTCTTATCATTTTTATGCTGTTTGAGATTAATTTGTCTCTAATAAACAAGATGAATTTAATATCATTTTCATTTTTATTTCTCTTGTCCGTCATTTGATGAAGTCAGAAAAAAAGTTTAAAAATTCCACAAAATAATCATAAAGAAGAAAATGTGAGAGTATAAACATTAATGGTAGTGACGTTTTCTTATTTATTACTTTTAAGTCAGGCTTTAGAATTATTTTGAGAACTAGGGCAAAGCTTCGAACTAGAAATTGTTGAAAATTCAACATGATTCATTATTAATTTCAATTACAGTTGATTCCAACAGCTGATCCAGCAACGACGATAGCATTAAATGTTGAAAGCTTGCCTTCACACATGGGTGTGCCACAAACGGTGATGCAGATTCCACCTGACTTCAGTTCACCACCACCACTACCTTGGATACGATATCAACCGCCAATCTATCCAATGGTCCAAATGGATGTAATTAAAGTTTTTGACTTTTTTTTAACAAACACATTAAATAAAATTTTTGTTTTTATCTTTTTAGACACAATTTCCACCACAAGCTTCTTCACCACATTTGAGTCAACCATCATCACCTACACATAGTCGAACCGGAAGTCCAACACGTATACAACAACAGCAATCGAACCAAGTTCAACAACAGCAGCAACAACAAACATCGAGTCAAGCTCAACAACAAATTATGTCGAATCCAGTGACACAAAGTCAAGCACTTAGGAATAATCGTTCACTTAGGAATGCAAGACCATCAACAGAAACAACACCACCGCCATTACAATCACAACAACAACAACAGCAGCAACAGTCGAGCCAGGGAAGTGGCACCATTTATATGGGCAACGATATCATGGTGCCAACAATAAATAAGTTTGAAGAAGTAAGTTTTGTAGAAAAGTCATCTCACAAGCAAAAACTTATGAAAGCTCGCTTAAGCAAAGATAATTGATTTGCATATGACATCGGTTGCTGTTAGTTAATCAATTATCTTTGATAATAAAAAAAGATAAATTAAATAATTTAAAAAAAAATTGTGGATGGCGCGCGCATCTCACGCAACCAACCAACCAACAAAGCAAGCCATGATGATCAATCCCATATCCATTCCATTTCTAGATCAACATGGAAGGTGCCATTTCCCAACTCCATACGCTCGCCCTTAGAAATGGTTATAATCGTCAGACGAATACAATACCAAGACAAAATAAACAACAGCAGAACTGGAACGCTGTGCATGTTGCTGGTGGTGCTGGAGCTCCAATTGCCAATGCCATGAATTATACGATGCATATGGTGGATCCTTCACAATTATCGCAGATAAACATGAGGAAAACAGCAACAGGTGTCGCGCAGGGAAGTGATTCTGGTGGATCGTCAACAGGTGAAGGTTCGCCGCCACCAATACAATCTGAACATAACGTCGGATTGCACGGTAATGCAAATCAAACACAGTCAAGTGGTAGTTTAAGAAACAAACAACCATTAAATTTAAGCAGACTGAATGGGGGAAAGCATGGGACTGGTGGACCATCATCAACGTCATCATCATCATCATCCTCAACAATGACGAGTAGTAACAATAATAATAATTTAGAATTTAATAATGCTGCTGCTTCTGGTAGTCTGGTGACGAGTACATCAAGTGGAAATTTACCTCTTCTCATTGGTGGACAAATGCACAATTTTCCAACATATCGAACAATGTCACAACAGCATCCACCACCTCAACAACAGCAACGACAATTTCCAACACAACAAAACGGTGGTGATATTATGTATCCATTAACAACATCATTCCTTCCTCCGCCTCCTCCAATACCAATTGTGGTGAGTAGTGGTGGGTCACAAAGAGCATCTCCATCGTCTGTACAGGTTATTCCTACACCATATCCAACAAATAAAATGGTTCAATCGTGTTTTAATTGTGGCTCGATTAATCATACGGGACTTAATTGTTCGGAAGCATCAATGGAAGATGTGACGAGAAATGCTGTTTACAAATTAGATTACACGGTAAATACACCACAGCTTGTACAGTTTTCAACATCGACGACGGCGGTGGTGTCTGCAGCAACGGCGGCGTCGCCAGCAGTTATGATGCCGTCACCATCGGCAAATAGTTTAATATTTACCAACCTGCCATCGAACAATAATGAGTTAGATCCACAGATAACATTTATTGATTTAACACAAGACACGACAAGCAGTTCAAGTAGTTCGAGTACAAGTTCGATACACGGTGCAAAGTAAGTGAACGGTGAAAAATTTTAGATTTTAAAATTGCGCAACGGAGATTTGGGGAAAAAAAAGCTTTCAAATGAAGTTCAATTCAAATTTTTTAAAAGACATTCTTTGGCTTCAAAAGTTTTACCTAATTTACTAATCTTTTTAAAATCATGATAAACGACGATGTGCTAGAAGAGATATTTAATGTAATGAATGTAACAATAACTTGATGCATAGCCATTTGTTTTAAATTCAAATCTTTTCGAAATTTCGTCTTAAATTTGGTTTGATTTGATTTTTGAAAGCTCCACATTTATATGAAAATTTTAAGAAAAGCATAAATAATTCGGATACTTAGCCTTGAAAAAGGCTTTTTTTTTTAATGTTATTTAAATATTTTCATTCATCATTTTAAATGTTATTATAGAATTTCAGTCAATATTTTTGAGGCTTTTTCAATAGTAATGAATGTCCGTTTGATGTTGTATTAAGAGATTGAATTTCTTTTCTTTCTTTTGTCATTTCAAACCAGGCCTTGAAGACATTAATTATTGTTTTGTAATGTTGAAGTTGAAAAGAAATGAAATTTTCCATTCAAAAGTATACAAAAAAATAAAACTAAAAGCGAACAAAAAGCCGAAGTTCAAATTTTTGTTTTGTCTTTGACTGACATAAAAATCTCTTCAATAATTGTTCTGTTCTCTGTGAAATCTTAAAAGAAAACATTTGAAGATCAAATTTCTCAAGTGCATGCCACGTAACACGATCACCTCAAATATCTCTTGAAAAGAGTGCGAAAAAGTTTGCTAATTGGAATTTATGGTTTATTTCCTTTCTGCAAATTAATAAACATTGTTGTAATTTATTAATGCTATAGTTATGACATTTAAAATTAATAAAAATTCTTGGAATCGTTAGAAGGAGCGAAGAAAGAAAATTTTGGTTTCCGTTGTGCAAGTTAAATGCACGAGTATTCTGTGATAAGATAAATTGGAAAAGAAAACTTGAATTAAACATTTTTTATCTGTCGTCAATAAATAAAAATCTAAAAAGAAAGAAAAGTTTGATCATGAGAATCGTTTGCTTTATGGCCACAATTAAAAAAATTAAAAGGAAAAGCGAATAATGTTGTAACAACGATAAATATTCTTACAATTGATTCAAAAAGATTTTTTAATTTACAATTTATTCTTCATTTCATAAAAATCTTTGATCATATACAATAACTATGCAAATTAAATAAATTCTTGAACTTTTAATTTAAATATTATTTTTATTTCTTCTGAGATTAAACACATGAAAGCATCGTTAAACTTAACCGATAAAAGGGAAATATTTATTATAAAAATATCATGCCGATTATTAAAAATGAGAAAATAGTTTCGATGTTTCCACATTAAGATACTAACTATCCACAACATCTTTAAACCTGATGATAAACTCTCAAAAATTAAAGTTTTACGAAAAGTAACTTCTTCAAGTCGACAATGGCTTGAAGAGAAGTCTCTGATCATTGAACTTTACTAAAACTATTGTAAAAAGTTAGTTAGAAAAACTTTGATGATATAACAAGGAAAAAAAGGTGTAAAAATTTCCAAAAAAAATAAAGAAAATTAATAATTTTTTATCATTTGATGTGTAAATAATCTTATCAATATTATTGTTATTATCTGAGAGTTGATTGACAGAATAAAAGCAGATGAGAAAGCGCGAGATCAGATTTGTAATTCTTATAAATCTTAATAACAAAAACTTGCTAATGAAGATTGATAATTGATAATATTATAAACTAAAAAATAAAAAGAAACTCTACTTAAAGAATTGCCTGATATTTTTTTTTCTATTAGATTGAAAACGAAATTTAATATGAAAACTATAAATTAAAAACTACAGTAAATGTCTGTAAGCTTCATTGCTTATCGTTTTACATTTTAAGACTATGCAAAGCAATTTATTTTCTACTTGCAACTACTAAGGAGTTGTCAGAGTGTTGGAAAATCATCAACGTTAAACTTACACAGAACGCGAATGACAAAAAAAAGGTTTATGACTCACTGACGAAGCTTTTCTTTTATTGTTTTCCTACTTGTATTTAAAATTTAAAGTAAATGAATTAAACAACAACCTTGACCCAACACACTGACTTCTCGTCATAAATTTCCTTTCATACCAAAACTATATATAAAAATTCAAAGGAAACGAAAAGAAATTAATACCTCAGCTGAAAAAATTGAAGAAAAACAAACTTTTTTTAGATTTCTTATGTAGAATGTGATTTTATTTTTTAATTTACGATAAGAAACTATTAAAAAGACTACGTACAGATGCTTCTCATAGCACGTCAATCGCTATATTCTCTTTGATTATTATTATATTGTTTGTGTTGAATAAAACAGTCAGCGAAACGTCGAAGTTAGTCAAGTTATTATAATTTAACAAGCAAACTTAAATTTCTGCAAGAAAGAAAGAAAAATTTTCATTGTTTAAATTTCCCTTTGAGAAATGTTTGATTTCGCTTTAAGCTAATTAATCTAGAAGAAATAGAGGAAGAAAGAATCAAATGGATAAGAACAAACAAAGAAAATATTGTAATAAAAAAATGAATAAGTTTTAGCTTATCAAATGAATTAATGACTCATTTTTATATGTTCTTAAGACATTTCAAGTAAACCTAATTTAAACAAGAAAGCTATTTATGTGTAGTTAGAAATGTTTTAAATAATTTCCTTTTCTTTTTAATTCAATTTCTCCCAAGAATGAATAATTAATAATTTCCAATTTTCTTAACTTTGAATTCTTTTTTAATTAATTAAATAAAATTTGAAGCTACAATAATTATTCGTATAACATGAAAAGATCATAAATAAACTTAAAGAAGAAAAAAATAAAGCAACAACTGAGAATTTAATTCGATTAAGTGTATAAAAAATGTAAATAGTTAAGAAAATATCTTTATTAAAAAAATAATTAAAAAAAAACCAGAAAAAAAGTGAAGAAAAAGGAAATGAAAAATCATAGTAATTTATATGAAGAAAATCTGAAAAGAAAAAAATAAAAATAAAGCGAAAAACCAAAAAAAGTTCAAAACTGAAAAGAAAGATTTTTTATTTTGCAATTATCAGAATTTCGATGACAAATGAAGGAAGAATGTTTTGAATGTTGAATGAGGTGATTAAATTAAAATTTACTTAGTTTCAGTTCAAGACAGCTGTATGAACATCGGAAGAACACGCGCGGATGTCAAATTATTCGTGTCATGGTAAAGTTCTGTGTCATGTCAAAAATTTATCCGGAAAAATAAATAAGAAAACTTATGACAAGATGTGGAATTATAAAAGTTATTCATTCATAAACTGAAATGTGCTAATTAAGTAATTAAAACAGGTTTTGAATTTTCGTTTTTGTATTTTTTTCGTATTTTTCTTTATTAGGATTAATTAATTCTATTATAAAGTAAGATTTAGATCCGTACAAAAATTATCTCCATGTTTCTTTCGACATTTATCCAAATTTATCCGTGAATAAATCAACAAGAAAATGTTAGACTTTTAAACCATCAAATTTTGGTGAAAAATCGATTATAAATCGAGAGAAAAATATGTTTAGGTAATAGAAAACAATTAATGATTGAAGTTCAACAACCATTTTCCATCAATTTATATCACGACATCTCTTTTTGATTAAGTTGATGATGAAAGGGAAAAAAGTTTTTGTTTTCATGTCTTAATTGGTGGTGGTGGGTGGTTGTAGAATTAAGGATTTTGTAGCATAATTTTCACTAATTTTTCTTGTGATGAAAATGAAAATCTATTCAACAGGGAGCAAGCTAAAAAAATATGAAACTAAAATTAAAACTTAATGACTGCGCGCTTCAGCTCTTCTGCTTTTGACTGAACCGAACCTTTAATCGAAGAACGAGAGAAAAGATTTTATGTTTGTTTCGCTTTTCTACATCTTTCATGCCACGAGTCGTGGGCGCTCATCAAACGTCATTTAATCAAAAAGAATGTTTAACATGTTCAAATGATATTCTAATTTAGAATATTTTAGAGGTTCGTAAACAATTTTTTAAATTTATAAGCTAAAGCATTGAGTTTTTTTTTCTTTTCTTTCCTTTTCTTCTTGATTTTAATATCTTAACATCTAGATTATTAATTTTTTATCTGCTTTCATGTTTTTAAACTTTTTTTTTTGTGTTTTTGATTTTTGTTTTGTGATCGACTAAATAATCTTGAAACAAGTAGAAAGAAAAGAGAAAAAAAGTAAAAAATTTAAGACGCAAACGTCTGCAAATAATGCTTATCAGCTTCAAGTAAATGATGAAAGAATGAAACGCTTAAATATCCATATCGAATTGATGTTCTTCAGCGTCAGACGATCCTCTGACTTTGCTCCATCCATTGCTCTTATCTTTCTCCTTGTGTAATTGATGTTGATTGTTGTTGTTATTCTTATTATGATGTTGTTGAGGCGGGTGATAAGTTCCATTCATTTGGTTTTGATGATTGCGATTATGAAAATTGCTTCGATCATCTTTCATCAAATGACATGGAATATTTTTAGGCGGTGTTTGACTCAACGGTGAGTTGCGCAAATTCATCAAAAATGTTCTTTCATAAACGATCTTTGTGCCTGAAATAGAACAAAAACAAGACTTAAAATCATTGCTTAAAGGTTTTTAACATGCAAATGGAATTGCTGTTGAATCGTAAACACAGAATGAACACATGGGGTGGGTTGAATGAACCCGCATAAACTCGAAGGTCGAAAAACATTTTTTGCTCTCTCAATCTATTGCTCAATCAAGTATCGTGAGATATTTGCATCTCACTCTTGCCTGTTTGCCAATTTTTGTTGACCTGATTTTGAAAAAAAAATGTTTTCGTTTTCTTCAAACTCAACAAACTTCTAGCGATTAAACATCGAACAAATAATATTTCATTACGCGTGTGAGACGAGAATCAAATTTTTTTGTGTGTGTTTTTCTTCTTTTTCAAAAAATTATTTCAACAAACAGCGAAGATTTTTTTTTGTTCATTTTTGTTGCGATTTCGAGTGGAAAATTTTTTAAGTTTAAATGATTAGAAATGAATGAAACTCGATGGCTAAAAATAACAAAAATTTATCTTTGTTTGAGGATGATAAAGTTCCAACGTGGAAGTCGCGATTGGTATACAAAAAAATGCGAAACAAGAAAAGTCTGGTTTACCTCCAGGTGTTGTTCCATAAATAGTTCCATTCGGTGTCGACGAATAAACGTCAGGCATTTGAGATGGATCGCTAATGAGAACCCTGCGCATGGATGGAATCATTTGAGCGTGGGTGTGCGCTTGGCGGGCAATTGGTGATGCTGACATTTTACTTAATTTTCAAATTTAACTTTAAGCTTCCCTAATTTAATTTTTTAAACTTTTTTGTTTTTTTTTGGTTGAAGCTAAGAACACTGAATAATTTTATTCTCTGCTTTAGATATCACTTGAAAAGCTTACGAAGTAAGTAGGCTGAAAGTCAATGACTAGAAGTGTAATGCTTTTCTGCTGTCAAATTAATTTATTTTATCTTCAATCGACTCTTGGCTCTCGTAGTCACGTAGTCACTTTTTAGATTTTTTTTTTTTCGTTGTTGCTACTTTGCGTTTGCTCAGATTTTATTTTTCAACTTTTTTTCCGGCTGTTCTTTTACTTTTTTTTTCAGCAATTGAACTCTTCGTAGAGGCTATGGCAGTGTTGAAAATTTTCCAATTAGGTTTGTCTCAAACATAAAAATTTATTGCATTAACATGCTCTCGTCTCAAACTTCCCGAGAATTTTCTTTCGAAATTTTCAAGAAAATAATTTTTTTCTGCTTCTAAGTTGAAATGAAAAGTTCACAATCGTGATAAACGAGAAGTTACGATTTTTCTCCGTTGAGAAACAAACAGAAACTGAAAATTCTTCTACATATGTTTCGCTATAAATACGTGAAATTTGAGTGTTGGTAAAAGAAGCAAAGTGTGAGTGTGTTGCTACGTCGATGATGATTATAGTTCATGACTGCTTCGTATTTATGGCTGGTTGGAAGAAAAAGTGTGTTGAGAATAAAAGCAGAGTAGAAGCGAAACACTCTTTGTTCCTTTTGGATAAATATATTCAGGGGGAGCCATACACACTCACATTGACTGAATTGACCTTGAATATGTCGCTGCTGGAAGTAGTCAAGTGAATTCGTTTTACTTTAACTCTTTATCGCGACCGTCTAATTCTTAATTTTTATTTTCTTCTTTCTTTCATTATACACAATCATTGCGAAGCAAAGCAATCTTATGATTACACATTTTCACCGGCTTTATCAGAAAACTTTATAAGCTTAACCGGCGAAAAAGAAAGAAAAAAGGTAATGAAATTGTTTTCCTTCAAAATGAAGTCATGTTTTTACAACAACGCAATACCGAGATAGCACATAAAATTTATTTGTTATTTTTTTGAAAAAAAAAGATTCATGTATGAAACTCAAATCTTCTTTTTCTTGTTATTTCTGTTGTTTTGTGATATTCTTCATTTCTTCTTCGCAGACTTTAAATTTAATTGTATTAGAGAGGGCTACGATATCTTTACCGTTGGTTGTGTTAAGCTATCGTATGAGCCGATGTTAGCACAATTTGTTCAAGGAGAATCGAAGAGACTCAGTGTCCCAAAGTGTACTTACACGAATCTCATTTCAAATCTAAATAATTGACTTTTAAAGCGACAAAATAATATTTTTGTACTTTTGTTGATAAGTGAAATGAATGTTTACAATACTTCTCGTCTGTGAAGCTGGTTGTAACCAGTTATTGTTTAATAAATGAGATTTCGTAACAGAACTTTTATTGCTCTCTTGATGTTCACGCTTTTAGGTACTGCTGGTGGATATTATTTGATAAAAACATCAAATGCTTTGTTATTGTTTACTTTTTTTGTTATGATTAATTTACCCAAGCATTTATAGGTCGAAAAATGTCAGCACGTGAACGGCAAATGCTGCCAATTTATTTTTTCTCTCTCTCATGTCAAATATTGAAAGTTTTTTTGTCGATCCATGAACTTGAGAATTAAATTTCTTTCCAACCACGTGGTGTGAATGAATAACTGCGTAGTAGCGAACTTTGTCGACATCAAGACAACTTTCAAAGTCGCATTTACTTTAAGGTGATAAGAAAACATTCCTTTATCAACATGAAATATATATTTGTACAGTACATAAATATTTATACATACATACGTAAAAGCATTAAATATTCTAGTATTATGACGTTCCCAATCTTGTCGTCAAAGTAAAATTCGCAGGAGATTCAATGAACTTAAATTTGACACAAATATTTCGTCTTCAAAAGACAAATTCAAATCCATATCAATATGAATTATCTGAGTATTAAATCAATTTCAAGAAACAAAAAGAAATAATTGTAATTGATTGTTTTTATCAAAGTAGGTATCATTAAAAGCTTGATCTGACTACACTGAATTTGTTCCCATAATAATTGTTGATGAACGATACAATCTTAAGAGAGAAAAAGCCTTGAAGTCTATGATTAGATAAGATATCAGCAACAAACACGTTTTAAACCCAGACGTACACAAATGATAAGGTTCACAATATAACAAGATTATTGCCCACGAAAGTTTATGATGATAACACAAAGTATTTGGGGTAAGCTTTTCAACTACTATCAAAAGAAATATATTAAAAATAACTTTTATAGTTCATGTCGATCATAAACATAACACAAACTACCTTAGTAAGGTTTCGAAAGGAGAAAATCTGCTTTATCAATTGTTATTCAATTTAACTTTAATACTTATGTCGTCGCAATTTTTTTTCTCTTCTCTCTGTCTGTTTTCTAGTCACTCACTCGTTCCTAAGTCTGAGGAAATTGTTTACAAGGTTTGCATCATCCTTGATACGATTACGATGATCGTACACAGCGTTTTTTTTTTTGACAATGATGATCGAGAGAAACAACTTGGAAGGCAGATATTTATAGACATTTTTTCCTTTCAAACGAATCTCGAAAAATATTTTTAACACATTTCTCAGCCGGTGTTGATTAATTTTGACTGCTTTTATTTTGTGAAAGAAGGAAAACAATTTTTTTGTATCTATCTGTATGTGATTTTTAAAGTTCTCGCATGTTAACGACTTTTTTGTTATTTTCGATTGTTGAAACCAGTTGAAGCGAAACGGGACGAATTGAAATGACTTTCATGACAATAATCACGCCAGTAGAAAGATTTGCATATAAATATCACCGTCATTGGATCTGGGCAATTGCAAGTCAAGTACATACGTGTATATGCAATCATTTCATCAGATGTTGTTGTGAACAGAAGTATAAACGACATTGTAAATCTGATTCTCTCAGTTTAAATGTGTGACGTTAAAAGGGGATATTGTACAACATACGCGAATTGATCGTGACTCGAGATCTTCAAATCTTTAATAGCGAAACATGAAGTCATTTCATTTCATTTTATTTAATGAAAATTTACTTCAACCAACAACTGTCACTGACGATATTTTTGGCGATAAAAAAATTGCGCATTTCTCAAGTTTCCAAGGTCTTTCCTATATAAAAACATATCACTCTTGTATATAAGTTATTTTTGGAGTTCTTTTCCTTGCTTCAGTGTCTCTTGTGCGAAATAGGCAAATATTTCCAATTTCTACATGTGTGAAGAGTGTAAAGGAATGTGAAAAACATTTACAGAGATGAGAAGCATTGATTACGCATACATACATAAATATTTCACTTATCTACCGGCCGGAATTGTTTCATTAAATAAACATTCATTACATAATGCATATTTCTTCTTTTTTCTTTTTCTTCATTGTTCCCGGTTTTGTTTTTTGAGGAATCAAAAGTTTCTTTTTATTTTATTTTAAAGAGATGAGATGAAAAGTGTTCGTGTGGTTAAGAATAAATGTGGTCATGGGATGAATGAAAGTAAATATGAGACTGATGTAAAACAAACGATGAGAGAGCTTTATTAATCGATTTGCTGATTAAATAAAATATTTTGCAATCACGATTTTCATTTTAAGAACAAGCGCAACTTGAAGAGTTTCTCACTTTAAAAGTTTTAGTGAGTTAAACATTTTTCGATATCACACGTCGATAACAGCCGAGATGAGACTCAGAGCATTTATTTACATGAATATTCAACAAATATCGTATGATGTTTCTATCTCGAGTTTGCGCTGTTGTCACATCTAAAACTGCGTAATATTTTTGTTACAGTCATCAATACTGATGATGATGATTCTTAATGATTCAAAGTAAGATTGTATAAGTTGGTGGATAACCATTGAACAAATTGTGAACCTTCGTAGAAAAGAATGTCTTTAAGAAAAGAATAAAAAGAAAGCAAGGTTGAAATTAAGAACATCTGTTTTTAAACTTTCATTTAATTTCTCGAATACCTCAAAGTTCTTAACTTATAATGAAACTTTCCATCGCATTTTATTCTGATGACAAAGGAAAAGAAGAAAAAGAACTTTAAAGATAAATTTAATGGAAAGCTGTGCAAACATTTCAGTCATCTCATTATTATCTTGAATTGATATGACTGACACTGATGAAATGATGTGAATCATTAATCAAAGGAATTTCTTTCCTACTTTTGGTGATCTAACTGCTGACTCCACAATCAACCCAACCTACAGAGGAAAACTTAAAAAAAATCATCAAAAAGAAAAGCTGTTTTTTATGTACGTGTTTTGTTCGTGTCGACTATGACACATCAACGTTTGAGGTCGTTGAACGGTTTATGCAATACAATTCTGAGTTTGATGAGTTTGCCAAACTCTTACGATGAAAAATTGTGTCAAAATAAACTCTCGTTTTCTCATGAGATATTTCTAAAATAAATGATCACAAGTTACTCTTAAAACTAAAAAAAATGTTTGCTTCGTGCTACTCAAAACGTAATTTTATTCTGAGAAAAAAATAATTTATCCGTCTGATGGCTTTTATCATCGAAAAACAATTCGAGGTGAACACGAAATTTATATCATTTCAAAACAATTGATATTGAAATGTTGAAATGTAAACATGAGTCATATGATTAAAAACTTAATTAATTTTTTTCTTCAAAATATCGCACAATTCAAACAAAAACACTCTTTGAATATCTGAGTGTAGGAAAAGAAATATGCGATAAACAGAAATCTTGACAATGTTAAATTACCTTTGTTATTTGCATTCAATTAATGGATAATGAAATGCAGTTTGTACACAATTCTTTTATGTCTCTGTTAGTCGCCTTCATTTTTTTTTTCCTACTTCCTGTAAACATCAAGTTGAATGCTACGTGCGTTTCATCTCGAATCATGATAAAAATCTGCATTTTACATTAAATAATATTAATAATTGTATTAGAATAAACAACAAAATCCGGATTTCTCGAGACTTACTTCTGGGGGCTTGACAAGTTCGTGAAACAAATTTAACTTTTGAAACTTGTTTACAAGCTTTACAGTCGTTTGAGTTGCTGTTTTCAATATTTCATATTCATCGAAATAAATTATGAATATATTAAAAGTTTTCACAGAAAATAGAAAAACGAGTTTTTCGTTTCTTATTCATGACGCTTAGTTAAATGAAGTCAGCTTCTCATTGGTGTTGGTTTGTGGCGGTATCAAACGTCTTCATTGAACTTTTACGACGTTTTATATACTATCGGATGATACTATCGAATGATGAAATCAAAGAGTATTGAAGAAGAAACTCATAAAAGAATTCAGCTGATAAGATATCGAATAACATACAAAAATCTGAAGCTAACTTTGATGCATTCGGTTTTTATCTTATGGAACTCAGGGTGAAACTTGACAAATGAATTCTTCTTATATTTAATCAATAATTTCATTCGCACAGCAGTTTTTAAATATACGCTCCTAAGTTTACGAAAACAATGATTGTGAATCAACAGCTTAAACTTTGTAAACAAGATTTGCATAAATCCCTTTAAGTGTTGACATTGTAATTGAAATGTTAAAGGTCGCAAAACAAGCGCTTCTGTGGGCTGAATGAACGCTTTTGAACTTTACTCTTTTATTTAGAAGTGTTTTTACTTGTAAATATATGCATAGTAAGCCAGTATAGTTTAAAATTCCGTCTCTGATGTGTAAAATATCTTTAAAGCTATGAAATTGTGTTTACGATTCGGATGAAAATACTTTTGAAGAAAATGTTTCCGTAATTTAAAGTCTTGGGATTTGAACATTTTCATCCTCCGCATAACCGTAATATTTATTGACGAACTCACACGTGTAAACACAGCTTTAAATAATCTTAGCCTTCTTTAAAGCTATAATTGGCACAAGAAGCAGAAACGTCTGCAGTCACCAAGGAACCAATTTTTGATTAATTCAATGTGTAAATACGACAAATAAACAAGTTGTCAACATTGACTTATGTCTTATTTGGATTTAAAAATTAATTAGGTACAATGTTGATAAATCTTCCTTTTTATTTTTCTTCAAGAGCTTTCATTTTAAATCAAATTGACAATAATTTTATCTTTCATGTGAAATTTGATCGATTGGACGATATTAAATTAAATTTCTTATAAATTACGTTTCATATAAAATTAAAAAAAAATTACGGAATAAGCCAGCAAAACAAGAAAATCTAAAAACTTTCCGTCCGTTCGCTGATAGTTGAATTTACGCACATATATCTAATGAAATGATTAAAAGCTTACTTAACCATAACATTAACTCTTAACAAAAACAGATATTTTTCATTCAAAGATGTAAATTCAACAAACAAGAATGGTTTAAAGTTGATTTCGAGGAAAACAAACGGTTTCATTTGCAGCCTTGTGTAAATCTGTGAAACGAAAATATTATTTAATAACTAAAGCTTCGTCATTGGGCACTCTAATCCATGACATATTGGCAAAGCATTTGAGTTTAAAAACAATATTTTGAACGTAAACAACTTGTTTTTCTTGGAATTCCTTTAAGTTTGTTTACTACTGAAAGTCGAGCCCCTATTTAAATTTTTATCACATATCGTGATGAATAATATGAGATATTTCCAAACAATTCATTGTAAAAATTTATTTACAACTATTTTACTATTAAAAAAGAGATAAAAGTGGGAATACAATTTTTATTTCCTTCAAGTTCTTATTTGATACTTTTCAGTAAAATCATTTTACAAACTTGTGACCTATTTTCTGTTTCTAATTACAGCAAATTATAAACAATTTGGTGTATTTTATTGAGAATTACATTTTATATTTAAATATTATTCAATCCTAAATTCATTCACTATTAAAATGATGGGAAAAAATTCCAATGAAGTGTTAAATTTTTTTTAACGTTTTAAAAAAATTTAAATTTTAATCAATGTTTTGATTGTTTCATTGCCCTATCACAATGTTTTGATTGTTTCATTGCTTCATCCCAATGTTTTGATTGTTTCATCCAATGTTTTGTTATTTTTCACTAAAACAACATAAACAACTTTCATAACATTACAAATTCTTTGTTTAAGAAATCAAAAGAAAGTCGTGTTGTTTCTCCTGTGGTCTTGTGAAAAGTCTCAATTTTTGTTTCGTTTCGAAAAAAAAATCCCAGGATCATCAAATCTAAAAATATTTTCAAATGAAATAAAGATGAGTGTTTGCGATTAAAATTTATCCAAAAGAAACATGAAACAGTGGAGAAATGTTATGAACGCAATCTCAGAAGGAAAATATGTTGTGGAAGTTTTCACAGCATTTTATATGAAAATGAATTTTCATCTATTTTCCCAATTTAGAGTAGCACAATATTCCCCATACGAAATTATTTCAAACACGTTGTCGTTTGTTACTTTATAAACAGGCGGGAGAATTTCGAAGTGAGTTTGAAGGGAAAATAAAAGATCAAGAAAGTTGAAAGTTAATTCTTTCATTTTTTCATTTAAAATTATTTAATTAAAAAAATATGCAGTTGCTGTGTTTCATGAGCTTTCATGATTTTTTACTATTTCTGCTTAATGTTGAACTTAATCACCTTGAAATGGCAATTTCACTTGAGAAAACAACAAACTCACAGCTCCATGCGCTCATGTTCCCCTGGTCATTTTTCTAGTTCCTCATTTTTGCAATTGAGGAGCAAGATTTCCATTTTAGGCCTAAATTATCAATACTAGAATGATCCATGTGCGAAATACTTTGAAAACAGAGTCTTAACTCGTTGTATTCGAAGGTTTTAATTCGATAGTTGAATTTTGGGGAACTTAGATCGTTATGACAGAATGAGAGAACAGTTTGAAAGGTAGAGCTAGAGTGTAGTTTAATGGAATTTTTTCCAATGAATGTAAATGCAATTGGAGTCGTTTCAGGTCGGCTGGTTTTATAAGTGAACGTTTAATTTACTGTCACTCTCATAACTTGTCAACTTTAGACTTAAAAACACTAATTCATGATGATTGTTGACAACATTCAAGTACACAAATATTAAACTCATTTCATTTAGTTTAATCGCAGATTGATTTAAAGTTGAAATGAACTGAAACTTGAAGTCCCCCTTTTGAACAGTTTCTTTGTTAAATAAAATATCTACAGATATCTCATGTTTGTAAAGAATAATAAACTTGAACAAACCCTAGAGCTTCTTAAACTTTTCAATTTCCATTTGTAATGAATCTTTCTACTCATATAATTTTCGCTAGCCACCAGCAACCAACTTGCTATTGAATGGTGGAAAAAAACAAACTTTTCTGTATCTGACTTTACATGGTTTCTTGGTATATAAAAAAAGACATGAAAATATAAATAATAATAGCGCTCATTTATTAAATATTATGATTAGTTTTATAACGTTCATGATTTCAGACAGAAGTTGAACAAACAATTTTTTAAAAAAACTACAATTTAATTTCAAGATCATTTAATTTAAATATGATCCAAAATATCACATGAAACGGTTCTAAAATGTATGAAAGAAAAATTGTTTTATTATTCACGGGTTTGTTCGTATTTAACGTTTATTTCATTTAAATAAAGTTTTATTTTCGTGCAACAAAATGAAACTAAAACATTAACAATTCCAATGAACATCTTTCGCACATAGAATCGTTTTAAATAAATGTTTTTGTCGAAAGTTTGTGATGTTTTCTCATGTTCGCTTGGTGTCTAGCTGAACAAAGTGTTCAAACTCTTCGCAAACGTTCAAGAGGTATGTCGAAATTAAAACGATGAATGTGTCCACAAGGAATTTACCCACAAAAGCTTTTTACACTTATGAAAATTTTTTCAGTTGATTCTGTGTTTATTTCATAGTGTCATTTGTTGCATGGCCATTAAATCAAGTTATCTAATTAATTAAGAGACTAGAAATTAATGACTTAAGTAACTTAAACCTCATTAGGCATCTCTAAATGAATCAACTTACAACATACAAATAAATTTTAAAATTTCTTTTACTGACTGTTTTAGGTTTCGACTTATTCTCGTTCGCTTTATTTGCTTCTCGACACAAAGTAACAGAAACGATACGACAAAATGTTTAAAAGTGGGGGGAGAAAACTTTTCTCATACACAAAAATAAAATATTGTGAAGTTGCAATCCGCATTCATTTCATGAAAAATCATTGTACAATGTAAAAATGAATACCAAGCGAACATATTTCATCAACAATTACACTTCAATTACGCCAAGTACTTTATTTTCTTCTTCGTGGTGCTTTTTTTCTTTTACTTTTGGAATGAAAAATTGTAAAAAATCTTTTTCTTTACTTTACGTTTTCTCTTATGCTTGTGAATTGCAAACTGGATCTCGCAGATAAATTTACATTAAGATTGGTTGATGTTCACAGTGAAGTTTTGGGTTTAATCTCACAACATTAAGGAAGATTAATAACATGTAATAAACATGCCGCTTAATGTGATCTTGAAGATGACACAATAAGTTCAAGTGTTTCAAGTATTCACCATGAAGATTTATCAACAAGTCTATCTATGAGAAAATGTAAAAATAGAAACTAGAAAGTCGTTGACCATTTAAACGTTTATTTTATTGATAATGTCATTTTAACACGAATGAATGAGTAAATATATTTCACTGTCTCATCTTGAAATTTACAACATAAAGTAAATTTATATTCTTTTATTGCTTTTGATTTCAGGAAAAAATAAATAAAATTTTATTCTACTTTGTGAGTTATGCAAATAGAAGTTCTGTTCCCTGTCAATAAATTTCTTAAATAAGACAGTAGTAATGTTGGGTTATTTCTTTCAATTAAAATTGAAAACAAAATATCACAATGTTGTTCGATTAAAAAGCCTAAGGTAACATTTTTCTTCTACTAGAGTAAAACACCAAATTATGGAATGAATCGCAACTGAAACTTATGACATGAAAATAAATAATCATTCCGTAATTCGATTCTTTACTCTATTCAGATATGTTAATGATATGATTGTTGATTTATAAAAATTTCTTTTGTTTAAATGTATGAATTTCTCTCGAAGAAACAAGCATCTTTAAAGTTCGTAACATTCATCATAACAAAGTAATCGTCGTGAATAAACCTTATGATGTTCTCAATAGGACATAAATGTGCCGCCTTTCCACGACCACGATTCACTCGAAGGCTTTTCCCATCCAAGCACAAAGTCATTTTTCTTGTAACGTCTTTTCCGTTGTACACTAAACGAAAGTAGTGCTGACTATCGGTATTGCTTTGATAAACTTCAAAAGCCATTCGCGTTGCATAAGGAATAAACGACGACTCTTCCAACAATCCAATGGCTGCTAATACATTTTGAATCGTTTGATCGTGCGATGAGTATAAAACCATTTTCAATTTATCACCCGAAATCATTTTCAACATATAATTGACGATGTTTCGAATGAGACCATAAGCTCGAAGTAACCGTTCGATAATTTTCAAACGATTGTTACTCTCTCGAAGCTCGTATAAGTTCGTGTAAGTCAAAAGTGTCTCAACGTGACTATGTTCGATGCAATTGTCGGTTAGACTGTTTGGAATCGCTTCCTCGATGTCATCGTCATCATCTTTTGTCGTCGGACTATCAATAGATTGTTGCTGGCTCTCATCTAAATCAATAATATCGTTTATATCGCTATCGTGATGTGATTGCGTTGTTGATTGATGTGATTTCTTTTGACACGGCAACTCCTGATTATGACACAAATACATCAACAAAACATCACGTAATTCCAAAGGATTTAAAATCGATACATCTTGTGATTGAAGTAATGACGTTCCAATCCAATGTACGAGAGATGCCACCGTTGGATTTGATGTGAAGTCTTTTGACTTTTTCTTTGACAATTGTTTTTTGATGTATTCAGCATTTGGACAAGCACAATCACTGAAACAATAAGCTAAGCTATGACTTTCTTGGACTTGCACATTATGCCATCGATCGATCGGTAAAAAATTGTGCAATAAAGCCATTGCTGATTGAAATGTTCTCCGATATCTTGTACTGTAAACAATAATCTCTTCACTGTTAAGAATTTGACTAAAAAGATTCTCGGATGTGTTTGATGATGATTTTGGTGATGGTGGAAGTTTTCGAAACAAGTTAAGTGGATGAGCGTAAGCGATTTTCATTAATTCACCAACATGAAGCAATTGAGAAATGCCTTTGTAAGTTAATTGTCCAAGCAGACAAACACGATTGTCAGCTGGAAGCATTGGAAATCCATGAAACGGTCCCTGGCGATTCCAAGCTGCATGTCCATTATTGCTTCCATTTGGACCAGACAATGTTGAGTTGAGTAAATAATTGCGATATTTTGTCAACATTGAATCGTTCTCATGGCTGCAATCAATCGAACTATCACGAACATGGTTGAGTGAAGCTCGAACGCCATGTCGAATCAGCAAGAGAATTCCTTAAACAAAAAGTTTTAACTTTCATGAAAGTTTAATTAAAATGTCGCGTTTACCTTGAAGTGTCCATCCTTCGATAATTCCGCCTTCTTCAGCTGGCACCAGACCTTCAATATTATTGCAAAACAGTTGATTTGACTCTTCCATTTGCATTTGTCGCGTTTCATGTTCGCTGAGGTGTTGTTTGTTCTTGTTAAATGATTTTGTTGCTAATATGTTCATATTCGTATCAGACGACACATATTTGTACATTCCAAGGATTATTAGCAGAATCCACAACAGCAGATAACAGTAAAGAGTTCGATTATGTGAAGACAATCGAAGAAGATCCTTGAGAAGCATTATTACTAATTAAATAAAATATTTTACAAGAAATGAAAATGTAAATAAAATCAAATTTCAATGTGCGCATGTCAAGGATCGTCAACAACTTGTCGGTAATTTTATGATTTGAATTTTTTAGCCGTTTATTTACTGTTTAAAAGAATTTAATTAATCTAGAGATAGACTGTCTGAAAAAAATTCTTTTAATTTATTGTAGGTTTAAAGAAAAAACATCAACAAAATTATATATTTTAAAGTGAAACTTTTATTTCTACATAGTTTTAAATCCAGTTTTTATTTAAAATTGATGATGATAGAGACAAAAACATTCTAAAATTTCATTTCTTATCACAGTTAAAGGCTTTCTCGAAATAAAAACATTACAAATAAAAAGATTGTGAATATAAATATTTTACAATAAGTATTTTCAATGGGAGAGAGACAGAAAAAGAAAACAGAATTAAGGATGGATTGATTGGGAGATGAAGAGTTGAAGTATATTTTCGCATTTAATTGCATTAAATGGCAGGTTTTTATTTTCATCTATGAAGAATTCTTGAAAAGCTTCATAAAGTTAATGATTCTTTAAATCTTGAAGACATCAGCTCACTAACACTATGAAATCTCTTCCTTTCGTAGACGTAACGTAAACGTAGCATCATTACGTAAAGTCAAACTTCTCATCTCGAAGCGATAATCAACTTAAAGAAAAAATGACATATTTGAAACTTCCGTAATAAATTAGAAAAAAAAAATCATTTCAAATCCTTCCGATCATCATCAGGTTTTTTGTTTTCTTATCTCAGATCAGGAAGCATGGACATTAACATAACTTATACAATAAAGGAAATAAATTTAAATTTTCTACAGTTTAGATTGAAGGCACAGGAATTAAAAAACTATTAGAAGTTTCATCGCATGGCGCTTTCCGACAAACTTTCGGCGTTGTTGGTGCATCAGGAAAAAGGGAAATTGAAGATGACTTTTCAAGACGAAGCTTTGTGTTTGTAGCTGCGATATGATGTTGTACGATTGATGTAATCGTTGATGCATCTTTCTCTCCATTCTCCATCGTTTTAACAGAATTTTCTTTGTCTTCATCATAATTTAAGAACGAATCTGATTCATTCGTGATGTCATTGTCATTGAAAGGAATTGCTGTGATGGTGACGTTAAGATTTTGTACGTTGAGGATTGTCGACGAATTATCATCATTTGACATGATCTCATCTGTCAGCCATTTATGATTCAAACATTCATTTACATTTGGACGTTTACTACGAAAAGAAAGAAGAATTTGCATAAATTTTAAATCAATTTTTTTTCTTTTCTTCATGTCAACTTACCACGATTTAAGTCGCATTGTAATTTTCATAAAATCAATGGCATCATCAGAAATGCCTTCGAAAAGATCATCGGGAAACGTTAAATTACATTGTGTAATGTTAAGGAAAGTCTCCTGTTTATCATCGCTACCAAATGGACTAAAGCCCGATAAAAGCACATAAGTCAACACACCAATTGACCAAATATCGGTCTTTAATGAAAGTGGCTCGTATTGAATGATCTCAGGCGCGACAAAGTCTGGTGTTCCTTGAATCTCACACACATTGCTATTGCCCTCAATTGCACGAGAGAAACCAAAGTCGCACAACTTCAAACCATCTGCAAAAACAAAAAAAGGAAAGAGAGTTGAAAAAGACGAACCGTGAAATGATCATCATCGTCACTTACCTTCCAAATTGTTTGAATTATTAAGCAGAATATTTTGTGGTTTGATGTCGAGATGAGCGACGTTTCTTCGATGTAAATAATCCAAAGCTTTAAGAACTTCACGAATGCAATTGCGAGTCTTTTGTTCGGTCAGTGAACCATCGTCATCTAAGATCGCTTGCAAGTCACCAGAAGCCCTTTTGTAAAATAAGAAAGTAAAGAAAAAAAACATTACAAAGAACTTTTTCTTTTCTTTTATTTGTTTTCATTTACATTTCAAGAACCAAAACGAATTCATTGCGTGTTTCATACACAGCATGAAGTTTCACGATTTGCTTTGAATCGGTGCTTAACATCAGAACAGCAATTTCATGTTGAATTTGTTTGATCCAACAAGTGGCACGACGACGACGTCTCAAGAATTTTGCTGCATATTTTATGCCCGTTTCTTTATGCGTCGCTCGACGAACCGTGCCGAAATTTCCTCTGTAAAGGAGAGAGAAAAAGAGAAATGGGTTAGCACAACAAATATTTATTTAATTTTATATTATAAATGACAATGATGAGAACGTTCCCGAAATGAATGAATGAAAGAAAAGTTAAATGTTTAACCTTAATTCATGGGAAGTTCTTTAGTCATTAAATCATTCAATGGTTTCGTCCTAAAAAGTAGAAAAAAAAAAGATGAAACTCGTAAGAATTGCAAACTGGGACAATTATGTAGCAGAAAGAAAGAAGACATTAACAGTTAGGTTCATCTACGAGTTGAACCATTCTAGTCATTCACCACATCATAATTTTATATTTTTGCGCTATTCTTTCCGCTTCTTTCTTCTCCTAATGCCAAATAAAGAGAAATTCGATAACAGTCACATAACATTAATGTCGTTTTCTAATCTTTAAACATGTGTGATAATATCAACAGATCAGCACATGATGTGAGGTAATGAGACTACTTAATTAACAATCATCATTGAAGTAATGAAGAAGAAATTCTCACACAAATCATTACGCAACATTATTCAAGTTGATGGGAGCCCGAAACAGAGAAATAAAAATAAAAAAGTATACTGCGAAAGAAGAAATTGATGCGCTTACATTTGTAATTGTCGGTTGGAGTGTTAGATAACTTACACGCAAAAATAAAATATCTTTCATTTAGATGAAAACAACAAACGAAAGTACCGCAAGTTGTGGCGATTATCAGCATCACAATTTGGATTCATGTCGAAATGATTTTGGCGACAAAGATGACAACTATTATTAAGTTTTTGAAGATGGGAAAAACACATACGGAAGCTTTAAATGTTTCTCTCTTTTTTTATTATTATTTACACGCATTTATCTACTTAAAAAGAAGCGAAGTTATAAAACAATGGTTAACAAGTGAGATGGTGATCAAGTGTATTGCTAAAGTTTTGCTTTTACCAGCTTTAATTAAGTTTCAATGTGTGACCTACATTTGAGTGGCTGATTGAAAAATTGTGGGAGATAATAAATGTCCACAGTTGGTGAATGGAACTCATTAGTGTCGTTTAAAATGAGATTTTGCAAAGTCGCGAGATGTTTACCATCAACAAACTTCCATCGCTGGTTTGTCCACCCCGACTTCCTTTTACATCAACAAACTCTCTCGTAAATGCGAATTTAACAGTCTTGCGATATAATTCAAAAGACATTTATTGATGATGATGTGATGATATTTATCCATGTGAGAGATTACAGTTGTGGGATGATACACAAGGATGACAATTCATTAATAATTTCAGCACATAAATAAAGAAGATCCATTACATTGAATTGTATTTCTCATTGCTGAATTATTATTTATTTATAAAGGTCTGCAAATCGAAATCGTTCGAGTGTTACGTAAGGTTTTGTTCTTTCTCTCTTCACCTCTACGAGTCGATTCTTGATTTCCGCTTTCATTATCGACTTCACTGTGGTTCATAATTTACAGTTACTTGCTACCTCTCTCGAGTCTCGAAATAAAATAAAATGAATTTCTTTTTTAATGTCTTCGGTTCACGAACAGAACGACAAGAACAAAAAGAAGAAATCGAGTGAACACCCAACCGACTCTAACAGAAACTAACTGCTCAGTTCAAAGCCTTTTTTGATCAATCGCGAGACATCATGTTGGGTGTCGCAGGCAGAAACGACAAACAACGCAAAATTTCGGACGTCCACAAAAAAGTTTTTTTGACCTAATTTGGTATTTGTCCCATCAGGTTTTTTCCGCTACTTAATTATGCAAAAAGGAAAAAAAGGTAAATTGCCTTTGAATCAGCGGAACTTGTTCTGTGTTTAGTTTTGTGAGAAATAAATCAGTAACGACATTTAAATAATGACTCACAAGTGATCTTTGACGCATTTCGTCGATCACAAAATATCTAAAATCACATAAAAAACTTCCTCGTTGTTGGCCCCCAAAATAAAGCAAAAAGTATTGCAATAAACAACAAGACAACAATTTTTTTGTTATCTCCTTTCAATGTAGCGACATTTCATGTTAAAGTTAAAAAATATTATTTCGCAATCGAATAAAAGAAATGAAAAATAAAAAAAGAGACTTGAGGAATTTGTAGCACATGATTATGCAATTAATCGGGCGAGAGAGCAGACCGAAAAACATGAATTTGAATTTTTATTCTCTTCATGCATTTTTAAAGTGTTTCAACGTTGCCAATGAACTTGTTTTGCTTTCTGTCGCTTTTTTTTTCTTCCTTTTCTCGTTGCTCGAAAAAAAATTAAAATTATAATAGCCAAACAAACAAAACTTGATTCAGCGACTTTTCGGATATTTTTCTTACTTTTTACGGTGATATGAACAGCGACCTAAAAAAATACCCAGCCGAAGATTGCTCTAGACATTCAGAAAACTGAATTTTCGCTGCATAAAATTAACAACGAAAGAAAAATTCACCGATGAAGTTCGATGAGTGAATTATTCAAGTTTCCGTCTTATAAATAAGCAAAGCAAAGCATCGTATGTTGAACATGGAAAAAGATGTTGAAAATTCAACATTCCAATTGGTTCCATTGCGTTACATTTTCTCTCTCTCGAATCGATCGTCCATCGTTGCTTTTTGTTTTTATTTTTGCTCGAACTGTCTCGAAGTTATCTCGTGTTTTGATACGAATACAAATTCGATCTTTTTTTTTCAATTTCCTGGAGCGTGAGTTTCGTGTAGTAATTCTACGAAACTCATCATTATCGTTGAAAATAAATAATAATTAAAAAAAGATTGGAACACGAAGACCTGCGGAAATGTCCAGTTCAGGAAAATTTACGCAAAAATAAGATTTGTGTTATTAAAAGTTTCGAAACGAACTTTTGGCGCCGATCGTCTAAAAATCTTTTTAATGCCAAGCCTTAAACAGCCGGCAAATGAGAAGAATTCCTTCAATAATGTGCAGCAACACTGAATATAATTAGAAAAGAATTTCAAGGCAACACGCAAAACACTTTGACATCGCGCACATTGCCCGCCGCCGCCTTTCTGACGTGATTGATGAAACATTCGAGCATAAATTCTTTCTTCCCATCAACCAATAACCAAACGCTTGACCCAAAAAACAAATGAAAATGGAAAATAGAAGAAATATTCAATCTTGACAGTTTGCAGACCTATTCGAGTAAAAATCTTCGTTCGAGCATAAAATGAAAATGCATTTAGTCATGCTGCATTCTTCGCCACATCATTAGCGGTTATTTTTAGTCGCGAAGATCATCGCACATTCCACAAATTTTCGTCGTCGTGTCGCTTGCATATATTTAGAATATCATTCACTTAAATTTCATTTCAAATTCAATTCTAATAAAAGTCAAAAGCAACTATGTCGTTGAATCTTCTTCTCTCGTCTATAAAAATGATTTACTCAATGTGTCTTGCTGTTGACATTATGGCAATAAGATTCATTCCACATTCGGTGTCTCCACACATCCACTCATCATTCACGGAAAGAAAAAGCGAGCGAATAATAAGATTTTAGCGCCAGTAAACAATATAAAACATCTTTGATTGCCTTCAAAATATGGAAGACGACTTTTGATTTATTTGTTTGCATATTTCGCAGCTGAGTGGCAAATTTCAATTGTTTTTATTGGATAATCAACGTGAAGAATGCTTGAAGACATTTCGTGGGTGATCTCAAGATGCTGAGTGTCTTTAAATATTTTATTTCAGCTAAATATCATGTAAATGAACTGATTTGGAATTCTATTTCTAGTCTCTTGTCTCTAGACACGACAAAAATTATTCTGCAAGATTTTTTTTCTTTTAAATATTCTTTTCGTCGCATAAAAGTAAAAATGAGATGAATAAAGTAAATATGGCAACATCGCTTTTAGTGAGAGAATCCCACACAAAATTGATCTTAAAAAATTTATAAGCTTCCAATTTCCATGTACAACTTGACATCAACAAACAATGTCTCAACAAAAACACCTTCTGGTATCGAAGTCAAGCTTCGACGTGTATAAGAAATATCGCCAAAAATGATCATTTTCCTTCTTCTTCTTCATCATCTGGCACGGTAGGAAAAGCATCGGCAACATTTTATTATTTTTATATTTTGTGACGCTTCCGACTACGCTTTCAAACTTTTATAAAACTTAAAAGTCATGAGAAATAGTTAAACAGCGAAGAACTGTGAAGCATCTTTAAGGGAAAATCTTTCTCTTTCACTTTAAGTAAAGCAGAAAAAGTCCATTTAACTAAATGTTAATTAAATTCTTTGTTGTCTCTTACATAAGTTAGTTTGCGAGTTTCTACTTTGTGTCTTTGTATTGTAGGTGTTTCTTATTATATTTTTCATCTCTCACTTTATTTTAAAGTTTCGCTACAGCCAGCAGCAACCTTGCTGACGTTTTGTATGATCAACTAAAGCAAAAAGGCAAAGAAAAGAAATAATAAAAAAAACTGGATAAAAATCAAACCTGAGCAAAAATGGGCATCGAGTGTAACAAGCGTTCAATGTGTAAGCGTGACGAGCATCTGATTTCAATAGATATAGAACCTGACGTTTTGAGTTGACACGATTTCAACTGCCTTCTCAATGACCCTAAACAGAGCTCCAACTCCAATGAAGAATCACGATTGACCTCTTTTAAAATAGATTTCAGATTTTCATCGGGATGATTTTAATGTTTAACGTTCACGAAACAGTAACGACTATTTCTTTTTCAGATCTTTTCCGCAACACAAAACTTCAATGAAACTTAGTTGAAGTCAATAAATGAGAGAAAAACAATAATTAAACCTTCGATAGCTTCGTACCCGGATTGTCAGCTTCAGTTAGAGACTCCAATAGTCATGAGCATCGATCTTTCCTTAAACGAAGTCTCTCTCGAGAGCTGTCAAAACTAGAAGAATATTCTTGGACATGGTCGTCATGAGAAAACATTTGAATTTGTTTCTATCGATGGACTTTTAAGGCGATCGATGATCAAGCTTGTTTTGTTTGTTCTTCTTTTCAATATTTTTTCATGCCGAAAAGAAGTTTTTCAATTTAATTTGTTCAAGATGCTCAATTCAAAAGATTCACTGATTAAATCAATGTTTGAATTAAGAATTTTTGGTTATTTATCTAAGAACATTTGAGTGATTTCTAAAGGCAGCAAAGATCAATCAAGAAATGAATTTTTTTTATATTTTTTTGATGAAGTCAAGTTTGGTTGGTTGTTATGAAGGCGATTTATCAAAATTTAAAAAGCTGAAAAGCTTCGCTGTTGTGGTAACTTTGTACTTGTTGTGGTATCTTTGTGACTCAATTCAACTCTGAAAAATGTTTTTAATCAAACTGAGCTTACTTTATCACTTCTTGTTTTGTTATTAATTTGTAGATAAGATAAGAAAGAAAAATTCCCTAGTTGCGCATATAACTAATGTCAATAAAAGGAACAGACAACTGCCATCAGTTTTTTGCAAAGTATTTCAATAAAAAAACTTCTTTTTCTTCATATCAAGATGAAAGCAATCAGAAAACTAAATCATTCTTCATGATGCCTACTTTCATTTTCATCATTTAAACGTAACAAACGCAAGCTGCTTATGCAAAAGAAAAATATTAAAATAACTGAGTTAAAAGTGAGAATGAAAAGTTGCATCAACATGAAAAACGAGTTATCATTGTGAAACATAATCCTCCATCTTTCTACAACAAACGTATGCACAAATGCACTTAGAGACTTTAATGATGATATATTGCTCGCATTAGATGACTAATGGAGAGGAAATGGATCATAAAGTGATCGCTTGAGAGACGTTATTTAGATTTATGGAATGTTCATTTGTCGCTCCCGATGTCTTCGACCCGAATCATTCCAAAATGAAATTAAATAAACCCAAATGTCAGTCAAGTCAATCTTTTATTATTTTTCTGTTTTAAGAATTATTTCTTTCTTTCCTTACTAAGTTAAGCTAGACACTTCTCTCTTATAAAGTGTTCTTAACATTAAAATAAAACGTTAAGCTGAACAAACAAATCGGCAAAAGCTAACGTTACATTTCCAACAACACGAAAATATTCGCGAAATTCCACAAATAACTTTTTATTCCAATTTGATTTGCAAGCCGAGCATGACCTGATTTAAGCGCAGAAGCACGAAATGCTTTCGTGTGTGATAAAAGGTAGAACTAACAGCAAGAAACAACAGAATTTAATTCGTTCCAATCATATCGTGGTGCTTTGCCCACTTCAAACTGAGTCATTTCGAATGTTTTTACCTTCACATGCGGCGCAGAAAAATCTTAAAATTTATGACTTAATTATCTCCACATTTCGACGACTCTAGAATTCTCCTTTCAGATGCTTTCAACATCCAGTGAATATAATAATGTAGCAGGAATTCCTTTCATATGAGTTCATTCACTCGAATTGCTTCTCTAGCTATCTTCGTTAACAATCGTGAACCCGAAACGCGGAAAAGCAAATAAAAAAAAATGTTGAATTGAAAATGCTGTTAATTCAAGATTGAATTTGCCAAATGAAAATTTCGATGCTTAAATTAATGTAAAATTGAGATCAGAAAAGGCTTCTTTTGTTGTACTTTATCTGACACCGTTTTGTAAATGTTTGCAACAGCAGTAAATGTAATGAAAAAAGGTTAAAAGTGAATCAAGCCTTAAATCTTTCACAGTTTGAACTTTAGAAGGAACAAATCTGCAGATTTATGGTCTTACTTGCCTCACAATGATGAATTATGATTCATAAAATAAGATAAAAATCATATTTGCACAAAAGATTCTTGCGAAAGCTGAGCAGTTTTGAAAGAATATTAACAATGTTGAAAGGAAACCTTCGATCTTGCAAAAGAACGAGACACATTAACGAGGTTTCTTTAATTTACCGAGTCCGGAACCAGTTGAATGATTTTAACATTAGTGTCGCGACAAATTGAATTTATTGCGAAACGAAAGAGAAGAAACCGTTGAAGATATTCCGCAAATATTTGCTGCTTAAATCGAACATTCTCTTGCCTCCACATATTCAACGAAAAAAAAAAGTTTCTTGAACTTTAAACCGATTAAAAGCTGATAAAAAGAGTTGGTAAAATTCCACCCAGCTTATGATTGTGAATTAATGTGATCACGTTTTTTATGTAATCAACTTTGCTGACATTTTCTCAATCGACCATAAAGTGAAATGACAGAACGACAAAACAACAGCAGAATAAATTTTCGACGATCAAAAATTATTTTTTAATGACTCATAAGATTCTTTTTCTTTACCTTTTTTGTGCCTTGGCGGATAACGGCGGAATTTTGGCGGTTACACACTCTCACGCCTCAAGAAGCTTCGCCATTGAGAAACAGAGAATCAAAGAAGTTAATAAAAAAAAATTCGTTAAACGGCCTTGCGAAGCGATCAACAGAAGATGAGAAGAAAAAATTATTTTTTTATACTTTGATTCATCATCTAAGAAAAGATCTGATAATGTTTAAATGATTTTAAGCTATCGATACACGATGAGAATCAACTAAGCATTAAAAAGTGAATTTTGATGTGAATGACTGACCATTCAATGACGACAACATGAAAAAAAAGAGAAAAGTAAGAAAGAAAAAAACTTTCACTGAACCAGAATGTGTCTGAGCTTCAGATTGGGACCAATTGATGTTAATTGGAAACAATCACTATTCGATGAAGGCACGCGAATTGCTTTTAAATATTTTACTTCTTTTCTTTGTCGTCTGAAAATATCATTTCAAAGACCTCGTGAAAAATATTTTTTTCATTGCTGTTGTTATTGCGCGCAATAATCGATGAATGAAAATGAAAACTGACGAGAGAGAGGGAGGAGAATTAAAAAAAATTGCATCAAACATTTGTTGAAGCAAAGCGTATCAAAGGTCAAAACAAAGTGTTGTGAGTGATATTCGATTTGACATAAAATCGACAGCCGAACAAAAATGTCGGCTTTCGTTTGATGTCCAAATAATGTTGTGACCTAAAGTGGCAGTCGGATTGCAGCAACACTTAAGTGAACATGCTTTTTGCTCTCATGCGTGAACGACGTTCTGTTTTTACAGCTTTTAATTATGTACGAAGTAAACTCAATATTTATGTGTTTTTTTTTATACTTCTAGTTTTCATATCCATCATCGCCACGATCATGCATGATTATTGGCTTTTAAATCAAGCAAATGTGTTCTCTGTAACTCATGTAAGTAATTGTCTAGGAAGCCATAAGGAAAAGTCATAAATGGGTTGTAAAAATCACCACTTAAGCAGGGGCTATTTTGATGCATTGAATTCAAACGTTGACACTGAATTGTCGGCAAACGACTTAAAGTAACAAAACAAAAAAAATATTTCTTTTCTTTCCGTCAACACAACTCAAAAGCCGCAACTCAATTTTATATTATTTTTTTGCACACATGATAGACGTTCAATGATGTACATCATGTACATGTTTACAATACTACTTCGTGTCATGTCAACATACGAAATAATCCAATCAATCAATCATACGATTTAGTCGATTAGTTCCACTAAAAAAAACATTTAAAGAGTTTCCGCAAGTATCTTCGGGTTTGGACAAACCGCAATTAAGTAATAGAAGAAGTGATAGTTAATGAGACAATGACATAATGGATGAAATGCTGCTCCTATCTGTGAATGATCTCATGTTGTCTCATTAATACCTTATTGTTTATTTGGAGCGCATAAATGTCGAAATTTATCAGCTACTCGAATATAAATTTAACGGCTGCTTCCTGGAAGACCGAAAGCGTTTAGGAAGATAAGACTTCGCGCTTAATCTCTCGCTTCGCTTTTGCAATTCATAAACCGATCGATAAAAATATAGGAAACGTTTATCGATGTGAAACCTTTTTGAAATATTCACTGATAACGATTTCATGTAAATGTAGAGAAAAAATTGAGCTCGTGAAGATCGAAGGCAGAAGAAATCAATTTGTAGTTAGCGAAAGTTTTTACTTTGTTTTTGTTTTTCTATTCGCTCAAAGCATCAGCATGATTCCAACAAATTGTCTCAACTTGATTGATCTTTTCGATGAATCTTGAAGGAGAAGTGAAAATTTTGCTTCCAGCTGATGCAAATGACCTTACAATGAACTCGAAATGTATCATCGCGAAGCTAAGCTATGATCTTTAATGTTTTTTCTTTTATTCTTAATTTCCTCGTCTCCATCAAGACGCTCAACAAGATAATCTCCATAGGCGACATGCTGTTACATTAAGCACGTATATCATTTCACTCGCACATTTCTAAATTGATGTCTAACTAAATTTTTGATGAGAAGATATTTGAATGAAAGCAATTGCAAGTAAGAGAAGTAAAAAAAATAAACAAACAAACAAAAAATGATTTCCCGTCTTCAATTTAGGAATTTGGAAGTTTCATTTTACTTACTGATCTTTCTTAAAGCTTAAAATTTTTACTTTTCATGTCAGCGTTAACGGAAAGTTTGACCGACTTCAAAAGACCTTCCTTCATCGTCTCAACACTTTAATCTTATTAAAAACTACTTAAAGTTTTTAAAGAAACAAAAGTGTTTCTTTTTTTTCTGCTACATGTATCGTATTGGTGACATTAAACTTATGAACAAACAAATAAGATGTAGGAGAGAAACAGAAGAATAGTTAATGGAATTTGCAAATGTAAATAAATTCCAAGTGTCTCAATGGCTCCACATCGTCATTTTCCATTTGATGTTCTCGGCTGACTCTCTTTATTCTTTTTTTTATATTTTTGCCTCATCAAAGTAAACTATTTGCTGCAATTTTTCTTCTTTTTTTTATTAGGTATTTCATTGCAACAACGTCTGTCCAGATCGAATGCCCATAAAAAGAAACATTCAATTGTTCGATGAATGACATTTGCGTAATTTGAATTAAATTTTTTGCTATAATTACACTTGGAATGTTTAATGGATGTGAATGAATCATGTGTTGTATTAATTGAAAAGGAAGCGATACTTTTGGCTTTAACCGTGTTCATGTTCATGTTCATGTGTCGCCGACACGATGACGACGATATTGAATTCAAACGCGCCATATGCGATTCAATTAATTGAACCCTAACATTGAACTATTCGATTCGACGCATAATTTTTCAATCAAGAACATCTTGTTATTGATCTGGATCAATTTACAGTTTGTTGTTTTTGGACTCGCGTGTCTTCCGGGATTTTTATTTCACATTCTCAATTCCATTATGTCAAACTTTTTGAGATTTCTCATTTCTAAACGACGTACTTTTGTCTACTCATAGGGAAATAGTCAGTCAGACAAGTCAAAGAAATCCATTTATCAAGGAAGTGACGATCAAGGAGTGTAAACAACAAAATCTAAAGAACTATCTCCGTTTCTAAAATAAAACTAAGTCCAAAGACCAATCTGTAATTATAACATGTCACTCCTTTTATGGACATCATGAAAACATTATTGAACTTTGATGCAAACATCATTTTATGATAATAAATAAAAGCTTCCTTTACATAAAGCTTCCTCATTGTTTTATGGAATGATGCTTAACCGTTCAATAACAAAATCACAGCATCCAATATTTACGTTCAAGTTGATCACTTCTCAATGTCAAAAGTAAACGCAAATTAATATTTTTTTAACTAATTCTTCAGACAAATGGCTTGCATTTTAAGAGAAATAAGTGTGAGATTAGATTAGATTGTTGTTTCCTGAGTAACTCAACAAAAATAGAAATACTATCCGGAACAACGTTCATCTCGACTATGAACAGCATGAAATTTTAACAACATTAATCTGAGGGAGAGAATTAATTTATGTTGTGACTGCTATAAGAAGAAACCTGTCACAAGTTAAGAGACAATCCACATACACATATTGATCACGATCATGCCGGCTGATTTGGTTTCGTTTTAACAAACGATTCCCACTCTCACTTTGAGGTATTAGTTGCGTTGCTTGACTTTCTTTCGTCCGTTTTCTCGCGACGAGTGTGAGTCGTCGATGCTTTTTATCTTTATTTTATTTTTGTTGTCTGTACCATGCTCATGATAACCTACATTTGATAAACTTCCAAACAAGCTATATGAAGCAATAACTCTTTTTTTCTCCATCGCAGATGGATGGAATTTGGAGAAAAAAAAAAAAAAAAAAACATTTTGATTTGATCCAAACATGAGCACGAAGATAAAATGTGTGTTAAGGTTTCCAATGTCGATTGGACCATTAAAATATTTTTCGATACTTAAAATTTACATCATGACGATTGACAACTTCATTTAGTTGGTAAACGAGCAAAAAGAAAATAAAAGAAAAGAAAAAGACAGAATCGAGTGGTGATCATCAACACGAGATGTGAAACTTTCGCGAAAAGAAAACTATTTTAATCGCAGCATCAGAACCAAGTTATTTAGTCAGCAGAAAAGTAAACGAAGAGAAAAAGAAAAATGAAAGGAAAATTCATTTCACGACCACTTTATGATATATTCGTTATTGTGGTTGTTGCTGTTAAGTCTTGTTGCAATTGCACTTAAACACATCTTTATTTATTTCTTGAAATTGAAATTTCTAGCAGAAGAAAACTTACCTTGCGAACGGCTTTTCTTCTACCACATAATGCTGCTCAATTTCAGCATCAACAAGAATTTTCTTGAGATATTCTGGCTTTGTTTGAAGGATTCCATCGCCGATATGTAAAACTTCTCTCGGTAACATTGTCTTACAGAATTTATAAATCTTTCAAAGATGATCAACTCGACAATATTTTTCTGAACAAGCACTAAAGTATTTTCCGTCAATTTTTCAAAATGAATTTGTAAACTTAAATAATTTTCACACTATTTCTTTCATTCATAAAAAAATTTACCGAAATAAACAATCACGAGTTTCGTGTTTTAAAGTATTTTACAGCACTTTAGTAAAAATATTAAACACTTTTATGATCTTTAACTTTCAAATGCTTCCAAGAATCATTCTGAATAAATTATCTGAAGCACAATGAGCATAATGAACATTATCCGAAGGCTTAAAGACGAAGACTGAAGCTTGTTTCAATTTAAACTTCAGTTATTTTGAACACAAACACATTCACACTCAATACAAAAGAAATATAACAATAATTTGACTTTTGTTATAATAATTGTACTGTTATATTTCAAGCATATTTTTATCCGTTAAAAAAAGTTAACATATTGCTATAGGTTTGATACACAAACGTTCTATTTATTCTAGTCTAACTCTTTCAAAATAACTACAACATGATATTAACAACTCAATATAAAGGATCTTTAATTAAGTTGACGTACAACTCTTTCTCAGATTGCATCAAAAAAGCATTTTTTTCAATGACAATTTCCTTTGGAGTTTGTGATGATGTTTCCAATCTAAAATCTTTCAAAATTTTTACAATTCCTGTCTTCACTTGCATTAATCCGAAACGTTCACCGATACAGTTTCGGGGACCAGTTCCAAAGGGGAAAAATGTAAATGGTTTGACGTTTTGAATGTTTTCTGGGGAGAATCTGTCAGGGTCGAATTTTCTTGGTTCAGGGAAATTGTTTTCATTAAGATGAAGTGCATAGATCGGAATGTGTAAGGGCATTCCAAAAGGAATTTTATAATCACTGTAAGGTTCCAATGAATATCCATCCGGTTTTGTACAAATTCTATCAAGAATTGGTAGGATTGGATACATTCGAAGGGTCTCATTAATTATTTGATTCAGATAAGGCATCTCTGTTGGATGCATTAACGAATCGTAAGTCACTTTGCCTCCATTTCTCTTAAGCATGTCTCGGATCTCATTCCTAAGACGATCTTGAATTTTCTTGCTTTTTGCAATCTCGTACATGGCAAACGAATTAGTTGCACTTGATGTCTCGTAACCTGAGGAATTATTTTGATTTATTTAATTGTTCAGTAAAAGATTTCTATAAAATAATTTATTCATTACCTGCAGTGAAGAATATTGCAGCTTGAGCCAAAATGACATCGAAGTCCAATTGATCTTCATCCTTTTTCAATTCAATAAGCGTGTCAATCAAATCATTTCTTTTTTTCTGACTTCGCTCCCTATCACCCATCACTTCTGTAACTGTTTCTCTTATGAACTTGTTCCCTTTGTCTGTAAATATTTTAAATCCAAAAAATTTTGTTATTTGTGGTAGCAAAAATGCAGCCGTAAATTCAAAGCCACGCCAAAGTGTTGGCTGAAACATGTAACGACCCATCGCTCTGAACTCTGCTTTCGGATTCTCCAAACTCTTTGCATCAACACCAAAAGCACAACTAGCAATCACATCAGTGGAAAACAAAGCTGCTAATTCCTTAAGTTCCAACTCAACTTTTCCATCTTTGTCAAGTCTTTTGTGAACATAATTAACAAGGTCATTGCTGATTTGTTCCAAAATATAATACATCGTCTTCAACTTTCCACTAGTAAAGAATGGCGAAAGCTTTCCTCGCATTTTCTTCCACAAAGGGTTTTTCAAAGAGAACAATTGATTATATCCAAGCGAATCATGAACATCCGTGCTTGTGTATCGATTGTTGAAGTATTGAAAGTCTTTTACCAATATGTTTTTGATAATTTCCGGTTCCTTTACCATCAAAGCAGGTTTATGGAATAAAAATATTCCGAAGAAAGGTTTATCTTTGACATCAGGTTGGTTACATAGTTCCAAAATATTGTCATAAAACGATACTTTTCCAAATAATGTGTCAGTAAGTGTTCCCAAAAGTGGAAACGATTTTATGTAGGGAACATTGTGATTCTTGAAGTAACTTTGACGCCGCAGTATCCAAAATATGAACGTAGCTGATATAAATGATAATGCCACAAAAACATTTGATAACAAACTGTCCATTTTTCTATTCACAGAAATTTGTATCTGAATATCTTCAGCTTCGAGAACCAACTGAAACTTAACTTACTTCGTCAAAGGTATTTATAGAAACAGTCAAGGTTGTTAAGGGATTCCGAAAATACTATGGACTTCGATGTGAAGTGGAACCAGAGCTAGGAATCATCTTTCATTAACTAGTTAAATTTAAAATGAGTAAGTTTTTGGAAGGAACTTCATTGAGTATTAAATTTTGATTACAACGAGAACAAGAATGAAGTCAAAATTCTGAAATAATTGCTTTAAGGTGTTTTAACGGCATATCTTGTATTAGATCATGAGATCATCTCTGAATAGATCATTTAAGTAATGACAGTCGAGTAATAAGTAATCAAATAAGCGTGCACTGTTTAAATTTAATATTTCAGTCTAAACAACTTCTCAAAGTTAATTACACTCATGTTAAAAACTGACTAGAAATGTCAAATCATTATTAAGTATAAAATTAGAGTCAATTCCATATACGTATTTTTATCAATATGAAATTTTAAAGATAAGACGCACTTAACTCCTATCATAATCTTTAGATAAAGAAATTGCAATTATTATTTAAATACAATAAAAAATATTTTTTTATCAACCCTTCATATTAATAGAGAGTTCATACTTTGAACGGCTATCCCACTTTTGGATAACAATTTTAATTTTTGCTTAGTATTTAATCCCACAAGTAACAAATAAGCAAACATTGCATGCTGCGTGCAATTTAATACAGTGAACTCTCGATATAACAACAGCTGAACGAACTGGAAAAGTGTTGCTCGAGAGAAATATTGTATCAATAACATTTTACTCTCGCTTTCTAGCTAATTAGATACAACGAACTATCAAGAGAATTGTTGTATCGATGCATTATTTTATCAAGAGTTCACTGTATTTAGATGGATGACTTTCAATTTTATATTTGCAAAACACAGCATTGAATGAAGTTCAATTTTAACTGAATATTTGTGAACGTATGAAAATACAATTTCATGAATATGTGTGTAACTTTATTTACTTCATATAGGTATTAAAGTTTTTACATCAGAAGCTTAGAAAATGCTTCAAGCAATTAAATTTAAATCGAAAATTACTCAACATACGAATTTCTTTATTTTAGTTTTAAGAATATTTTTATTTACTGTGTTTTAGACAATTGATCGATGTGTTCATCACAAAGGATCTTTAATTAAGTTCACTCGAAGCCCTTTATCTGACAGCATCAAAAAAGCTTTCTTTTCTAAGATAATTTCCTTTGGAGTCTGTGATGATGTTTCCAATCTGAAATCCTTCAAGATTTTTACAATTCCTGTCTTCACCTGCATTAATCCGAAGCGTTCACCGATGCAGTTTCGGGGACCACTTCCAAAGGGGAAGAATGTAAATGGTTTGACGCTTTGAATGTTTTCTGGGGAGAATCTGTCAGGGTCGAACTTTCTTGGTTCAGGGAAATTGTTTTCATCAAGATGAAGTGCATAGATCGGGATGTGTAAGGGCATTCCAAAAGGAATTTTATAATCACTGTAAGGTTCCAATGAATATCCATCCGGTTTTGTACAAACTCTATCAAGGAGTGGTATAATTGGATACATTCGAAGGGTCTCATTAATTATTTGATTCAGATAAGGCATCTCTGTTGGATGCATTAACGAATCGTAAGTCACTTTGCCTCCATTTCTCTTAAGCATGTCTCGGATCTCATTCCTAAGACGATCTTGAATTTTCTTGCTTTTTGCAATCTCGTACATGGCAAACGAATTAGTTGCACTTGATGTCTCGTAACCTGAGGAATTATTTTGATTTATTTAATTGTTCAGTAAAAGATTTCTATAAAATAATTTATTCATTACCTGCAGTGAAGAATATTGCAGCTTGAGCCAAAATGACATCGAAGTCCAATTGATCTTCATCCTTTTTCAATTCAATAAGCGTGTCAATTAAATCATTTCTCTTGTTCTTACTTCTTTCCCTATCACTCATCACTTCTGTAAGTGTTTCTCTTATAAACTTGTCCCCCTTCTCTGTGAACACTTTAAATCCAAAAAGTTTTGTTATTTGTGGTAGCAAAAATGCAGCCGTAAATTCAATAGATCTCCAAAATGATGGCTCAAACATGTACCGGCCCATCGTTCTGAACTCTGCTTTCGGATTCTCCAAACTCTTTGCATCAACACCATAAGCACAACTTGCAATCACATCAGTTGAATACAAAGCTGCTAATTCCTTAAGTTCCAACTCAACTTTTCCATCTTTGTCAAGTCTTTTGTGAACATAATTGACAAGGTCATTGCTGATTTGTTCCAAAATATAATACATCGTCTTCAACTTTCCACTAGTAAAGAATGGCGAAAGCTTTCCTCGCATTTTCTTCCACAAAGGGNATAAAGCAAAATTACCTGCAAGGAAGAACATTGCAGCTTGAGCCATTAGAATATGAATTTCAAGAGGGTTATCGCCATTTTTCAATTCAATAAGCGTGTCAATTAAATCATTTCTAATGTTTCCATTCTTTTCTCTTTCCCTCATCACTTCTGTGACTATCTCTGTTATTTTCTTGCCTCCTTTATCACTAAACAGTTTAAATCCAAAAAGTTTTGTTATTTGTGGTAACATAAATAAAGATGAAAATTCAAAAGCACGCCAAATTGTTGGCTTAAACATGTATTCAGCAATCATTCCAAACTCTCCTTTCGAATTCTCGAAACTTTTTGCATCAACACCATAAGCACAACTTGCAATCACATCAGTTGAATACAAAGCTGCTAATTCCTTAAGTTCCAACTCAACTTTTCCATCTTTGTCAAGTCTTTTGTGAACATAATTAACAAGGTCATTGCTGATATGTTCCAAAATATAATACATCGTCTTCAACTTTCCGCTACTGAAGAATGGCGAAAGCTTTCCTCGCATTTTCTTCCACAAAGGATTTTTCAAAGAGAACAATTGATTGTATCCAAGCGAATCATGAACATCTGTGGTTGTGTATCGATCATTAAAGTATTGAAAGTCCTTCACCAAAATCTTTTTGATGATTTCAGGCTCCTTGATCATCAAAGCAGGTTTATGGAATAGAAATATTCCGAAGAAAGGATTGTCTTTGACATCAGGTCGATTATATAAACTTAAAACATTGTCATAAAATGCCAATTTTCTGAATATTGCGTCAGTATATGATCCCAAAAGTGGAAATGATTTTATGTAGGGAACATTGTGATTTTTAAAGTAATCTTGACGTCTAAGAATCCAAAATATGAACAAAACGATTACAAATGGCACTACCATAAGATAATTTGATAACAAATTCATTCCGAATAGCGATCCCATTTTCGCGATCACACAATATTTCGTTTTAATATCTTCAACTTCAAAAACAAACTGAAACTTAACTTATTCCGTCGTAGGTATTTATAACGAAAAACTCAAGGTGATTAAGAGAGTTAAGTCAAAAAAAAAGAAGAGAATTGTGACATCATCAAGTCTGGATAGAGCAGAATTATAAGCTTAAATTTGAAGTGGAATCAGAGCTAGATAGAGTTTGTTATGGCATTCATTTGTGCTTTATTTTTCCATAGTAAATTTTAAGAAACAAGAATAAAATTAAAGAACTTAAAACTTTTCTTTCTTTTTCAGAAGAGAGAAATTAGTGAAAATATTTATTAATTAAAAGTCATGCAATCAAAAGAATTCGATGTTTAATTTTATATATTGCATAACTCATCTCTGAGTAGATCATCAAGATAAATGTAAATAGACGAGCAGCGATTCTTTTAATATTCCAGTCAAAACATCTGCTCAAAGTTCATCTACACCCATGTAGAATAATTAACTGGAATGATTTTCAAAATTACTGCCATTTCCATATTCGTTCTCTTTTATTGATAGAATTATAATGATAAGACTCTCCTAATTACTTTTGATAAAGAGTTTTCTTAACTTTTCTTTAATTATTTTGATATTTGTACACAGATTAGATGACACTCCAAGAATGGTTCGGTCTTATCGAGGTAATAAGATTAAAGTTCCAATGAACATAAATATTTTATGTCGACTTATCTTTTCTATTGATTAGATCATATCTATGAANGAATGCCATTGAAAAGGATACCACAATATGATTCAAAAAAATATTTTGCATTGTCTTTCCTTCTTCCAAATTATGCAATGTTATGTTATGCTAGAAGTTATGTTATCTTTCTATAAAATGAATAACGAGACATAGACCAAGAAAAAATGATCTACAAATACAAATTTATCTTTTTGGATGATAAAGAACAACACCATGAAAAACATATAAAAAACAATAAAACTTTCATTTGCAATTTTATTTGTACATCGTCATTTTGTGTTGAGAAACTGTGGCTGGAAAAACATTTTGGGAATTGAAAAGAGCAGAAACTTTTCTTATGTTTCAGGCTTTAATGTGATAGAAAAAATTATTGCAAGTTGTTCTTGTTATGAATTAATATCTTTATTGTTTGAGAGTTGACTATTAATTAATTATTGTAAAGAGATTATTCTCCTTTTATAGAGAATAATCTTATTTAGTATTAGTGAAATAATAATATATTCGTATCTAGGATATTATATATCCAACAAAAATATCTCACAAATCTCAATCTATTTTAATAATGAAATCTAAATTTTAATTATGAAAATTTTCAACGTCGTTCGGAACTAGTAATTTACTAACTTTGTAGTTTTTTCTAACATTTTACAAACTTTTTGTTATTTATTTAAAGATTTATCTAGATAGAATAAGAACAAGTAAATAAACTTTGACCACGTTTGGCTATCATTTTTTTAGATTACATTTTGATTAATCGCATGTTGCATGTATGTAAATAGATTTTCATTTACGTTTTTTTAAAGCACAAAATTGAGTTAAATTTAAATCTGTATAAATTAGCGTGCATGTATGTAAAATTTACTTACATCTGCATGAATAATTGCGTAGTTATATTTACATAAGTTTAATTTCTTTGCAGTAATATTAGAAGCTTCGAAAATATTAAAAAATATTGAAACCAAATAAATCGTAACATTTTCAAGATTTTTAAATTTTTGAACAAATTTTTACATTTAGAATTAATTTTTATTTTCTGAAATTATTCAAGAAATAATTTTCAGGAATACATTACAAAGGATCTTTGATTAAGTTTACGTACAACCCTTTATCAGATTGAATCATAAATGCTTTCTTTTCTATGACAACTTCTTTTGGAGTTTGTGATGATGTTTCCAATCTGAAATCCTTCAGGACTTTTACAATTCCTGTCTTCACCTGCATCAATGCGAAACGTTCACCGATGCAGCTTCGGGGACCACTTCCAAAGGGGAAGAATGTAAATGGTTTGACGTTTTGAATGTTTTCTGGGGAGAATCTGTCAGGGTCGAACTTTTTAGGTTCAGGAAAATTATTTTCATCAAGATGAAGTGCATAGATCGGGATATGTAAGGGCATTCCAAAAGGAATCTTAAAATCACTGTAAGGTTCCAATGAATATCCATCTGGCTTAGTACAAACTCTGTCAAGGATTGGTATGACTGGATACATTCGAAGGGTCTCATTAATTATTTGATTCAGATAAGGCATCTCTGTTGGATGCATTAAAGAATCGTAAGTCACTTTGCCTCCGTTTCTCCTAAGCATGTCTCGAATCTCATTCCTAAGACGATCTTGAATTTCTTTGTTTTTTGCAATCTCGTACATGGCAAACGAATTAGTTGCACTTGATGTTTCGTACCCTTAAAAAATATTTACAAATGCTTCATTTAAATTTCAAAAAAGATAAATCAAAATTACCCGCAAGGAAGAACATTGCAGCTTGAGCCATTAGAATATGAATTTTAATCGGGTCTTCGCCATTTTTCAATTCAATAAGCGTGTCAATTAAATCATTTCTAATGCTTCCATTTTTTTCTCTCTCAGTCATTACTTCTGTGATTATCTCTGTCATCAGCTTGCCTCCTTTATCACTAAACAGTTTAAATCCAAAAAGTTTTGTTATTTGTGGTAACATAAATAAAGATGAAAATTCAAAAGCACGCCAAATTGTTGGCTTAAACATGTATTCAGCAATCATTCCAAACTCTCCTTTCGAATTCTCGAAACTTTTTGCATCAACACCATAAGCACAACTTGCAATCACATCAGTTGAATACAAAGCTGCTAATTCCTTAAGTTCCAACTCAACTTTTCCATCTTTGTCAAGTCTTTTGTGAACATAATTGACAAGGTCATTGCTAATATGTTCCAAAATATAATACATCGTCTTCAACTTTCCACTACTGAAGAATGGCGAAAGCTTTCCTCGCAATTTCTTCCACAAATGGTTTTTCGAAAAGAACAAGGTATTATATCCAAGCGAATCATGAACATCAGTGCTTGTGTATCGAATGTGGAAATTGCAAAAATCCTTCACCAAAATCTTTTTGATGATTTCAGGCTCCTTTATCATCAAAGTAGGTTTATGAAATAGAAATAATCCGAAGAAAGGTTTATCTTTGACATTAGGTTGGTTGCAAACATCTAATACGTTATAGTAAAACGATATTTTTCCGAATAATGTGTCAGTATATGATCCCAGAAGTGGAAATGATTTAACATACGGAATTTTACGAGTTTTGAAATAATCTTGATATCGAAAAATCCAAAATATAAACGTAACGAAAACAAAAATTAATGCGAGACTTAAATTTGATAACAAATTTATTCCTAAAAGATTTTCCATTTTTTATAATTTTGTCTGATTCTTTTAACGTTTGGAAATAAACTGAAAGTTCGCTCATTTGAAAACAAATATTTATGTATAATAAAGCTCAAAAGAACGCAAGTGAATGTGAGAGAGAATATGTAATTGATAGCAATTTGTTTACGAAATTTGTAACCTTTCATACATAATGAAGATAAGACAAAAGTTTAAGACTTCTTTTTTGAATATAATATAAATGAAGAGAATGTTTATATCACCATTCATAGTTGTTTCAATACTCAATAATCATAATAAAGAATTTTAATTGTTAACAATCGTTCAATTAAAAATGTTTCAATTCTCAACTCAAATATT